GAACGTTTGGTGATTTCGCAAAACGTGATTACTTGCCTGCAGGCAGGCGATCACTAAATGTTATGTAGTGAACTATTAGACACCTGACGAGATGTTCTGAACACATTGGCAACGGACATATGATATCGTGTCATTCTTCCGGTGTTATATCTAAGACCTGTGATGTGCTGTACCGTACGACCTTTTGTAAATGTAGCGTGCATTTACAGTGAAACATAATGCGTGCAGCAAACATCAAACAGTCATTAGCTAATTTACCTCTGTATTCACAAGGACGAAGATAGATATATTTATCTGCCGTCCAAATCGACACACGATGGTGGAGCAGCGAAGCGCGGCGATGCGCCCGCGTGACCTCGTTCCCACGCGCCCAGGCCAGGTGCGGGCGACCTCTCCCGGCAGACAATGCGCGCGTCCTTGACGCGGCCGAAACAAATCATCATAGCAATCAAACCTTTGACTGACGCCAGGAACTGGTACACAAACACTCGAACCCGATTGACGCTAATCGAGTGCATTACCATATCCAAACAGATGGTCCAGAATTATCTACAGTTCCATACAATTTGGCACTAACAACTAAAACTTTCGATTAAATGTGGAGCTGAATTTGAAACAAATCATACAAGAGATACTTATTGAGTGACGTTTATCACCGCCGCGACTCAACAATTTAGGCTAAGTTGCGGCAGCTTAGGAGTGGCATCTCTACCACAGACGGGTGAAAGTGGTGTTGCTACGCGACGACCTTGCCTATTCACTGCGTAACAAATCTCACTCGGATATCCCCTGTTCCTCATGTAATCCCCCCGATACGGCTTCATGTCACGACCTGGACGTACTCGAAACAGGTTGCGGTGTTTAGATGGATGATACGCTATTTACTGATAAGGAAAACAACAGCTTAAAACGTTTTCCTTCATACGTAAACAAAATTGCTAGCGTTTAAAGACTCAAAATTAGTCACATAATTTGTATAATTGTAGCTAAGTAGCGAGTCGGAGAAGGGTCAAGCGAGATGCCATGGCGTCGTCCGCAAACTAGGTTACCGCAGAACGAGACGGCATCATCGGTCGCCGAGAAAGACGCAACGCGACAGGTATCACCCACCATGCGTGTGCGCCGGTGCGGCTGATAGCGAAGAGAAATGTCTCTGCGTTTCACCCAATCTAAATTGATGCAATCACGTACGCACCTCAAAGAATTTGCGTTCCACCACATGTATGCGTTCACACAATTTACAAGCCCAGCTCCTTTCCCACAGCGCGTAAATCAGATAAATCACCATCATTAAGCCAAGTTATGACGTTGAAATCTGCAAAACGATCGGAAGATGCATTTTGAAACATATTGCATTGAATATGATATTTGTGCTTTGGAAATAAATTGACGCTCCACCCATTAAGACAGAACTGGAAATTGCGAGTGGTATTCCATTTTTATCTAAGTCAAAGATTGCATACCGGAGTAGAGTTTTTAGAAATTCCAATGCATCAAAAGTATGTATCCAGGATAGAAGCGCATATTCTGCGTATGTGCAAACAAGAACAGCTGATTGTGCAGCGCGGGCGCGGGGTCAACGCCCGTACTTTCGCCGCTCCCACGGCTGACTGCTGCGTTGCTCAATCCTAGTTGTGAGGCCTCTAACACTCTGCTAATTCATGTCTCATGTCTAGCGTCTTTAGAATTTATCTACTTCAATCAACTCCATAAGTCTTAATATCAAGACAAAAGTAAATGTGTGTTTGGTCAAATGTTGTTCATTCTATACGCTCGGCTGCGCAGCGGTCCGAGTCGTTCCACTTTTTCAATAAAATCCATCATATTCGAGCATGTAAATTTTCCATTCGCCAGTTCTATGAATCGATATCGTATCGTAAATTCATGGAACTAAAGAATTAATAAGTACGAAATGTTTTTGTGGTTTGTGTTCGTTAATTAATTGAATGAATGTTCCAAAAGTATTCCAAAGTTGAATTAAGTATTTGTATTATCTTTATCTCTCTAAGCCTGACTCTATTGTGGAAAAGACCACAAGGTTCATCACAAGCACGGTGAAGAAATTCTCCACTCCCGAAGAAGACGATGAAGAAGCTGCTTATGATAGGGGTGATGACCTGGTAAGACCCGGGCCTGATGTTTATGCTAGACCAGATGCAGTAGATACGCTAGAAGCGTGATTTGTAGAAGCTAACGATAAAAATTGGAGAAATAACGAGTATGATAATGTAGAAAGTGTGTTATGTAACAAGAAACTGAATGAAAGTAATTTAAAGGAAGGTCAAGGTATGACGGAAAGAAAGTAGGTGCCTAAAGTGGTGACAACTGTTCTATTATTGACTGCAGTTGAATGTCATATTAGCATACCAAAGTCAACAATTTGCTCGTATTCTTAATTTGTATGTACAGAAAGACGATTCGACACGTTTCGGGTGCCCATTCTCTACGGTTCTTGAAATCATTGTTTGCCAGTTAATTTATTTCACATCTCGTAGAATATAACTCGTCTACAGATGTGATAAGATAAATTTTACAAGAAATGACGTAAGCAGATACGAGTTTTTGTTTGTTTGTAAACTTTTGATTATTATTTTAAAGATATTGTTGTACTTGAAATAAGATTTCAGGATGTATGGAAAAACCCATTTTTTGTGGACTAACAATACGTAACAAAAAGAACCTTAATAAAATTGTAAATTCAATTGCATTTTATCTACATGTCCGCATCAGTGAATTTGCCCATTATACTAGTTTAATATTTTGATTGATAACTTAATATTTCAGGCGGCCCCCGACTCGTCGGTCGCCGTATCAGCGTCCATGCTTATCTTATCGCCATCTCACAGTTTCGCCATTACACAATGTTCCCAAACACCGCTCCACAGCGACAATCATTTCACGCTTTCTCTCTTATCACCGAATTCACAAACCACTATTGGAAATAATAAGCAGCGCGTAACATGATATTACCAAAACTCTGGATATGTGTGTCAAACAAATACACACGCATTTCTAGTTGGACTTATTGTGTGCGTGAAATCGCTGGAACATTACCCAAAGATTCTGATTCCTCTTAGCATCGACAGCTTCTTTGAAGACCCAGTAACAATTACAAGTACGAACGACGCATATCAAAGTAAACGTCTTATGTGCTTGTAGTAAAATACATAGTCAGATGTGCTGTCAAGTGTACTTACTCTTAATGGATAACCTTGTTCCGACAACGCACCCATCAACTTTCAGTAGGTAGTACAAGACAACTGCATATTCATTGAAATTAACCTTCGATTAAAGTCAAATCGTCATGTGTACACGTAATCTCTCGTTGGAGCGACCTTGCGTGGTTACTACAATGGAAACAGGTGATGCTAAACAGATCCTTGTGTTCAATGCAGTAAGGGTCAGGTGCTCTTGTGGCGGGTGTACAGCTAGGAGCGGTTGACTGAAGCGCCTCGACGCGTGAAGCCCCCACAGTTGTATTAATCATTATGCTTATTAACTTGAATTAACTTACCTTTAGAGAACTTTGAGATTTGCTAGTAGAAAAATACTATGTATTTACGGTAAAATAATTTACATAAACGTAAAGAAACATCTAGACCCGTATTATGAAGACATGTGCACAAAATCAAGCCTTCGTTCGATTGGTTTAACTATTTAAATTGATTGTTACACATATGCCGTAGATCACCATTTGCGTTCTGTCATACACGCTTCATTAATTATGTATGATTAATTAAAACTCCTGAATTTTAGGCTAATTACAATAGCTAGATATTATAGTACGTAATGTTTTATTTCCTCGGGGAAACAGTCATAAATTGTGACACACATTTGTACAGTGTCGATTACCGGCAGCACGAAATGAGTTTATAGTACGTATAATTACCGCGCTCTCCTCAAGAGTAATTTCGACTAATTTGACGACAACTGGCCTAATGGGGTTTTACAATTCAGTCAATAAGGCCGTTAACATCGCCTGTGACATCATCCGTTTGTTTGGCTTCTGACTGAACGAACATGTTCACATTTTATTTCAATTCGGCACGAATGACCTTTAGTTAGTTCCATCAGGGATTACGACCAGGGAGACACTCATTTCTCTGTCAAATCCTTCGATGGCAAGTTGGTCTTGTAGACTTGCTTACATTTTAAAATTTTGTCTTTAGTATAACGAACACTTCGTGTACAAGTCTACGTCTAAAAATCGCCAATAAATGCTTAACGGATTCATGATTTGATGGTTTCTCTTATTTTGTAGTTAGCTCAATGAGCAGTACCTACCTATGTAGTATGCTAAATTATTATTTAAGATGAATATTAATAATTTTTATTTTAACAATGACCTTGTAAGGGTGACTACTTATTTTTAAGAATGGCGCTATCGAAACATAACCTATCTGGTTTCTTTTCAACCTTTGCGTCATTATTTTTAGAAGCTAAGTTAATGTTTGGCTAGTGTTGATGAACATGAGTTGGCCAGAATCTGTGGCTGAATTGTAATTAATTGTTGCCTTTTTAACGCTCCCCTGGATCACTTGGTCGGCACACCACGAAGTCAGGGTCGCTACCGTTCTCCAGATGGGTAAGATTTGTGTGTAAACCAATTAAAATTTTAAGAAAAGAAGATAAAATATGTGTTATTTTAAACATGTCCAAAAGATTGCGCCATTTTGTGTGGTAGTATCAGACTTCGAACAAGCTGTACAGATTGACGTTGCCTCAAATAACTTCAAATGTAAATAAAATGAGCATGTAAATAATGACGTTTTCTACTGACCACATTTAATAAAGCGAGTGTTAATTTGTCAATTACAATCTTCACGGGCCTCGCGGCACATCTCCCCTCGCTCGTCGCCATCTACAAATGGGTTTGTGATAGCAATCACAGACTGCTCCAATGTCTTAGTTCAAGACAGCCTGTCTAGTTGTAGTGTAGTTGGTAGTAATAAGTCTGAAATATGGTGAACCTTGTTAAAACTGTGTCGTTCTCTTTGCAGGTGATGCAACAGGACGTAAAGAAGGAGAACCCCCTTCAGTTCAAGTTCCGCGCCAAATTCTACCCCGAAGACGTTGCCGACGAGCTCATCCAGGAGATCACACTCAAACTCTTCTACCTGCAAGTAAGTTCAACTTTAAGTTAATGCTGTAAAAGCTAAATTGGAAAATTGGATATCGTTGTAGCTTATTTTAAAAACTTAAGAAAATATGCTATAAGGATTAAATTCTCATATGCATGGTTCCACAGACGGTGCGCTTTTATAGTCACGCGTCTTCTAAGAACATGCTACAGAAGTATTTGTGTCCCTATTTCAAGTCGACCACCTTTGTGAATCGACTCAATGGGATACAAATTACAATTCAATTTGTTAATTTCAATTATACATTCCCTATACCATTCGCCCGACATCATTTATCACCAGCACAATGTATAACACAGCGATATCGCCGATGTGTGAAAACGAAAGGCAAGGCAACCACCCCATTAGTCCCAAGAAAGTAATTCCACGTATCTCCGGAGATTGGCCGCGATAGGCGAGCGCTCGAGATGTAACTGCATCGTTTATCTTAAGCGTCTCCGTCGGATAATGCAATAACACCTTTTCCTATTCGGTTTAGTCAGTTATAATCTTGAAAACATGACGGGTTTTCCAAGAATATTAGTTTCACTTAGCATGTGGTTTTTTAGTTTACCTATTTACCTATACATGTTCTTACAGAGGGAAAAACATTTGATTGATTTGACTTATTAGTATGCGCATCTAAAGAAGCATTATTTTTGTTGCCTTGTTCAGTGTCTCGGAGAAAATTTACTGCATACGAATTAGATGCAATAAGTATATTAAAATAACTTTGAAAACCAAAGCTAGTGACGCAGTTCGCAGGAGTTCATGCATTGTTTTCCATACGAAAATCTCCAGCTTTTAGTATCATTCTTTTTCTCAGTATTATGTATCGTGGTCAGACGCAACTGTCCAACTTTCCATACGCTGATCACTATATGTAGCAAAGGTGTTATAACCTTTTATACCATGTCCTAAAAGTTTAATCCAGTGTAAACCTTTTGCTCTACAAGTTATCGAATATTTAGTTCTCTCATCATTTCTATTTCTCCGTCCATCATCCTCCATTGCGACTCCTCTTCTAGAAATCACAACTTCAGATAGAAAATGCGATCTTATCCAACGAGATCTACTATCCGCTAGAGACGATTCCTCCTTGTCCGACTAATAGTTCTCACCATTTCTACTCCACATCATCCACCTGTCCATCATTCCCCTTTGTGACATCTCTTCAGAAGCCATAGGCGATTTTCTAAGTTTAAAATATGTTGCCAAGTGAAAAATGCGATCTACCGATTACTAGTTCTCACCATTTTTATTTTTCTCTCTGCATCATCTTTTATCATCTGTCCATGTCAATTATTCTTCTATGACGTTTCTTTAGAAATCATTAGCAGTGTTCTAAGTTAAAAATATGTTGCCAGGTGAAAAATGCGATCTTATCCGACGAGATCTACTGCCCGCCGGAGACGTCGGTGCTCCTGGCCTCGTACGCGGTGCAGGCGCGACATGGCGACCACAACCCCGCCCTGCACGGGCCCGGCTTCCTCGCCAACGACCGCCTGCTGCCGCAGCGCGTCACCGACCAGCACAAGGTATGACGTCACACCACGCGACCACAACCCCGCCCTGCACGGGCCCGGCTTCCTCGCCAACGACCGCCTGCTGCCGCAGCGCGTCACCGACCAGCACAAGGTATGACGTCACACCACGCGACCACAACCCCGCCCTGCACGGGCCCGGCTTCCTCGCCAACGACCGCCTGCTGCCGCAGCGCGTCACCGACCAGCACAAGGTATGACGTCACACCACGCGACCACAACCCCGCCCTGCACGGGCCCGGCTTGCCACGGCACCGACCAGCACAAGGTATGACGTCATCATTAGGCCAAGGATCCGCGCCGCGATAAACGGTTATCACGCCATTTTATTTTATTTTAGACTTTATTGCACACACATAAGAATGTTCCGTACAAAAAGGCGAGTTTAATGACATAAGTCATTTATTATCGATTTTGACATCGATAAAGTATATCACGGCGCGCATCCTTGCCCGGCTGATCGTGTCTCCACCGAAGGTGCACGACCTCAGATCATAGAAGGGAATAGATGTGAAACGGGGGCGTGGCGCGTGTCTCCGCGATATGCCCAGAAACGAACATCGGCCGCGTAGCTAGGTTAGTCGCGATTCAGTCGTACTAAGGAAATGTTCTCCGAATTTTTTGGATAATGCGTCGTTACGTGCAATAAAACAAGTGAAACGAAGAACTACAGGAACAATGGAGTCATTTACTACATGTAAGTATTGCAAATCCATTGGTATTTTGGTTATAAATAAAAAAAACTTAACATTTTTACGAACGAATTCAGTGCCGTAACAGTTACTGCGATATCGAAATCAGTGGTGATAAAAATTCTAACACACTTGTACATTGACGATTTAGTTAGCAACCACTTTATGTCATGCTCAACTACTGCGCGATGTATTTAATTTCTTCCGATATCCACTATCGTGGGAAAATACACAGTACGGCCGCATGTGCCGGTCGTAACATAGTGCCGTGCTCGTGTTCTAATGCGGTTTCCTACTATCGATAAATAGAAGTAAATTATGATTTTCTATTTTGTAATTTTAAATAAAAAAAATATGTGTTACATGCGATTATAAGATTTTACAAAAAAAATAATGTATTTAATTTCTTCCGATATCCACTGTCGTGTGAAAATACACAGTACGGCCGCATGTGCCGGTCGTAACATAGTGCCGTGCTCGTGTTCTAATGCGGTTTCCTATTATCGATAAATAGAAGTAAATTATAATTTTCTATTTTGTAATTTTAAATAAAAAAATTATGTGTTACTTGCGATTATAAGATTTTACAAAAAAAATAATAACAGTAGAAGTAATTAGTAACTGTCAACTATGTAATTACTATAAGAGCTAGTTGAAAGCCTAATTTAGGCATTATTTTTGATAAACATATGCGGTACGCAGATCGCCATAATTAATCCTTCAAGGCCCGCGAATCTAGACACAATAGATAATCAATTGTTATGACATTAATTAATGCCGTCTGGGACTCAAGCGGTTAAAAAGTAAATGCGTGATAGTAGTTAATAATTAGCCTAATTGTACCTTATGTGTTCCTTTTCTTTCTGTTTCTTTTTACAATGTGGTGAGCAATAAAGAGTATTTATTATTATTCCTTTATTCATCTTACTTTCTTATTTTTATTTTTTTCTTTTTACAATGTAATTATTATCAAAAAATAAAAATACATTATAAAAACAAAAATCTTAAAAATAGTTAACCCACTGGCAGCGGAGCAGGGCCCAGGCTACCGGTGGTCAGGGTCACAGGCTGAGGAACCTCCGGACAATGCGTGCCGTGCTGAGGATCACCGCCTTTTGAATCTGCCCCTTGAGCCAACCATCTAGCGAGAGCTTCTTTAGATGTTGGTCGAAGCTCTTCGCTATTAGCCCGTTTGCCGAGACAACTATCGGGACAATGATCGTCGAGTCAACATCCCACATGGCGGTCACCTCGTGGGCCAAGTCAAGGTATTTGCTTTGTTTTTCCTTTTCGGCCTTCACGAGGTTTTCGTCATGCGGGATGGTGATGTCAACGAGCACTGCCCGACGTTGGGATCGATCAACCACCACAATATCAGGTTTATTACAGACAATAGTCCTGTCTGTGATGATAGTTTTCAAAGTGTGCGTCACGTCACGCGGCCATTGATTGGCCATAAGGCACGCCTTCTGGCCAATCACAGCACTTTTAAGCCGGTTGCACATGTTGTCGTAGACTCTCAGTCGCTTTGTTTTTACACAGTTGAATGTGTGTGTGGGAGCTGTGGTGGGGGAAATGTGGGGACACTGGTTCTCGTTGTAGTTACGCGCGACTTCATATCTATTCTCTTTCTATGATCTGAGTGCACGACCCTCTCCAATACCAGAGAAAACTTGCAGTTTCTTCAAAGCGTAGTAAACTACGATAAAGCATGCACACTTGCTCCGTAATTATTCATTAACTCAAGTTTTAAAATTTTCTATTGTGCGATCCACTTTGATATCATCTGGTTAACTCCAACAACGAGTACTGGCAAGAAATGTACATTCAAATTCAACAAGATATTATACATTTAAATCACAGGTAGATAAAGTACCTAGTGGAAGTTTGAATAATATTAATTTACATAGTTACATATTCAAAGGGAAAATGTTTAAAAAATCTCAATACTCAAGTTAAAACAAAAAACAAAATATACCTAGTATCACACCTACAAACTAAAATGGTGTATAATAATGCAGTTTTTAGTTGCGTTCTTTATTCACAACCATTGAATCAGTTCCAAGTGCATTACAAAGCAACAATTTGTGAGCTTCAGTTACAGGAGAGGACAAATAGAGACAGGTATTTTCTGACCAATAGGTCTGTGAATCACAGAATCATCTTTTCTTTCAAACGATTAACTAAATTCGGTACTCTCTTTAGACCAGAGTAAATACAAAGGAGTAGGTTATCTTCATAGAAACGCACCGAATTCGGCGCAACTCCCCGATAATCCATGCTAAATTTTGTCAGTGTGTGCGTGCGCGCCGCATACGTATTGGCGCGCTCACATACAAACCGCTCTCGATGTGTTTCTATGAAGATAACCTACTCATTTGCAGTGGCGGGGCAAGACCTAAATTTGATGTGGGCAAGACAGATTTCGCGAGGCCTTGTTCTGTGGCGACCTGAAGACGGATTTTATGAAATAATAAAAAAAAAAGGGTCAATGGTCTATTCATTGACAGTTTCTGATTTCTTGATTAAGTGATTATTTTTAAAGGAATATTGCGCCAAGGAATAATGTTCGTCACTTAAAACCGTGTTGTTGCTTAATTTTGAGTCTGATTATGGCTGAATTTGTTTGGAAAAAAATATATTTTATTTTTAACTACATTGTTTAGCTATCAAGAATTTATATTTAATAGTCAATGTTTGCATTTATTGTCGTATTGTGATATTGTCATCCCCACCTTGTATACATTTTTTCAAAATTTTTAATGCGCGAGGCCCCTTGTACCGCGAAGCCGTAGGCGGTGGCCCACGTCGCCCACGCCTTACGCCGCCACTGCTCATTTGTATTTACTCTGTTTAAACTAAGTCGTGGTTTCTCTCCCCAGATGTCCCGCGAGGAGTGGGAGCAAAGCATCACGAACTGGTGGCAGGAGCACCGCGGCATGCTGCGCGAGGACGCCATGATGGAGTACCTCAAGATCGCGCAGGACCTCGAAATGTACGGCGTCAACTACTTCGAGATCCGCAACAAGAAGAACACGGAACTCTGGCTGGGCGTCGACGCGCTCGGACTCAACATCTACGAGAAGGATGACAAGTGAGTGCTGGTTACGGGACTATTCCCACCTCTCCAGTGAGTGCTGGGTGTTCTTGAGTGGTCTGGTTGGTTTAGCGTGGTCTGATGTAAGGTGTCAACTACTTCGAGATCCGCAACAAGAAGAACACGAAACTGTGGCTGGGTGTCGACGCGCTCGGGCTCAATATCTACGAGAAGGACGACAAGTGAGTGCTGGTTGTTCTTGGTTTCCTGGTCAAGATGTTAGAAGTCAACTACTTCGAGATCCGCAACAAGAAGAACACCGAGCTCTGGCTTTGCGTCGACGCGCTTGGGCTCAACATCTACGAAAAGGATGACAAGTGAGTGCTGGTTGTTCTTGAGTGGTCTGGTTGGTTTAGCGTGGTCTGATGTAAGGTGTCAACTACTTCGAGATCCGCAACAAGAAGAACACGAAACTGTGGCTGGGTGTCGACGCGCTTGGACTCAACATCTATGAAAAGGATGACAAGTGAGTGCTGGTTACGGGACTATTCCCACCTCTCGTTCCCACCGCTGCAACTCCTGTGTAGCCAGGATCACACTACAGCTTGACCGCCATAAAATAACCCAACCAATGAAGGTCAAGTTTGCATGGAGAGAAAGTTAAACTGTCATTGGACCCCCAACCAAAATTATCAGAAGAACATAGGAGTTCGAAGTTAAGGTTCGACTTCCCTCCAGTGAGTGCTGGTTGTTCTTGGTTTCCTGGTCAAGATGTTAGAAGTCAACTGCTTCGAGATCCGCAACAAGAAGAACACGGAACTCTGGCTGGGCGTCGACGCGCTCGGGCTCAACATCTATGAAAAGGACGACAAGTGAGTGCTGGCTGTTCTTGTGTGGTCTGGTTGGTTTAGCATGGTTTGATGTACGGCGTCAACTACTTCGAGATCCGCAACAAGAAGAACACGGAACTCTGGCTGGGCGTCGACGCGCTTGGACTCAACATCTATGAAAAGGACGACAAGTGAGTGCTGGGTGTTCTCGAGTGGTCTGATTGGTTTACCTTGGTTTCCTGGCCAGGATGTAAAGTGTCAACTGCTTCGAGATCCGCAACAAGAAGAACACGGAGCTCTGGCTGGGCGTCGACGTGCTCGGGCTAAACATCTACGAGAAGAATGACAAGTGAGTAGTGCTGGGTGATCTTGGGAATGGTCTGGTTGGTTTAGCTTCATGTACCGGTCAGGATCTACGGCGTCAACTACTTCGAGAAGGACAAATGAGTTCTGGGTTGTTCTTGGGTTGGTTTGCTGGTCAATCTTCTTGAAGAACGAGCTAAGTCACAGAATCATAATTTTCGACAAATTACCCAAATATGTTGTAACTGTAACACCTATGTAAATTTTACACACTTTAAGCAAATAAATTGTATTTATTTATTTATGAGCTGTTACGTCTTTGACATTATTTTGACCTCCACTTACACTAGGACCCAAATGTTACTCAAAAGGTTATTTGCAGGATTAGAATCATTGTCAAATATTCCAGTGAAAAAGTCGCATGCAAAAAATATACAAATATCATAATTAAGTATCCACTACCTACCTACACCGAATAGGTATCGCTCAAGGTTGTTATGGATATCCGTAACCGTAACCGAAACCGGTATAATATTATTCCTATATTCGTAACCGTATCCATAACCGAAACTACATATCCATAACAGCCCTAGTATCGCTGACAGTTTCTTGTTGTAAAAAAAGCTGTTACATTAACATGTAAATCCCTCCATCCGCAGACTAACGCCAAAGATCGGCTTCCCGTGGTCGGAGATCCGCAACATATCGTTCAACGACCGCAAATTCATCATCAAGCCGATCGACAAGAAGGCGCCGGACTTCGTGTTCTTCGCGCCTCGCGTGCGCGTCAACAAGCGCATCCTCGCGCTGTGCATGGGCAACCACGAGCTGTACATGCGGCGCCGCAAGCCAGACACCATTGACGTGCAGCAGATGAAGGCGCAGGCGCGCGAGGAGAAGCTGGCCAAGCAGGCGCAGAGGTGAGGCAAATAGGAACATTATTTGACAAAATATAAAGAGAAAAACAAGAAAATATTATAACATAAAGCCTGGTCCGTGAGCACGTAGATGTTTGTCCAATGACCCCAAGCTACCCATCCTTATCGCTCGCGCGTAATTATATTGCTGTCGCGACTGTGCGACGGGCGCCCGCAGTGAGTGTGCGAGCGCGACAGCAACATAATTACGCGCGAGCGATAAGGATGGGTAGCTTGGGGTCATTGGACAAAATGCTACGTGCTCACGGACCAGGCTTTAGTTATTAAGGTGTTTTTGTGCCCGCTCAGCACTGGTCTTCAGCAAGTGAGGTCAAGGCCTGCCCAATAAAGGCTGAACTGGAGGGCGGGGCCTACAGACTACACTACCTGAATGTTTCCACCGGAGCCCAATGAAACGGAACAGCGAGTATATGTCCTAAGTTGGATCTTAGACATTAGTCCGCAGCTCCGTCTCAGGCTATGTCCGGCTTAGAGGGGACCCCCAATCCCCTCCTCCAGCCTCTACCCGAAACCCGGAGGCGCGTCAGAAGGCAGAGCAAACTGCACACGGAGAGACCTCCTGGACTCGCCATCCCGTGTGCCGCCTTACTGCCGATTCTCAATAAACCAAAATAAGATAGCGAGGTTTACAAGCCACAAGTGCAGCCAGAGAGACCCTTATGGGAAACTCTTCAGCTAACGATTACTAGTTTTGCGGTCTGTAAAGGCACTCATGAGTCACGGATTATGTGGAACTCCCTCATAGTACGTGACAGTGATTCATACTGACTTTGTCGTCATTTCAGGGAGAAACTGCAGTTGGAGATCGCGGCGCGCGAGCGTGCTGAGAAAAAGCAGCAGGAGTATGAGGACCGCTTGCGTCACATGCAAGAAGAGATGGAGCGCTCGCAGGTGACATACCATTTTCTCTCTTGCCTACTTTCTAGCCCAATATCGTCTATGTAACAATGAAGTAACAGGTGTACCAATACCAGCGAAACAAAACCAGTGTTTGCTGACGTCGTACCCTGTAAAGTAACAGATAAATTCTATTTACGGAGGTTATACCTTGTAAAGTAACAGACCATCGTGTCTGCTGACGTTGTAACTCGTAAAGTAACAGACCATCTTATCTGCTAACATTTTACCCTGCAAAGTAACAGACTATCGTGTCTGCTGATATTGTACCCTAAAGTAACAGGCCATCGTGTCTGCTGACGTTGTACCCTGTAAAGTCACAAACCATCGTGTGTACTGGAATTGTACCCCGTAAAGTAACCATGTTTACTGATATTAACACTATTTTGTGTGCTGACGTTGTACCCTGCAATGTAACACTATTTTGTGTGCTGACGTTGTATCCTGTAAAGTAACACTATTTTGTGTGCTGAAATTGTACTCTGTAAAGTAACACAATTTTGTGTTCTGAGGTTGTACCCTGTACAGTAACAAACCATCGTGTCTGCTGACGTTGTACCCTGTAATGTAACACTATTTTGTGTGCTGATATTGTACCCTGTAATGTAACACTATTTTGTGTGCTGACATTGTACCCTGTAATGTCACACTATATTGTCTGCTGACGTTGTACCCTGTAAAGTGACAAACCACTGTCTACTGACGTTCTCTTTGTAAAGTAACACTATTTTGTGTGCTCACATTGTACCCTGTAAAGTAACACAATTTTGTCTGCTGCCGTTGTACCTTAAAGTAGCGGACCATCTTGCATGCAGACGTCCCAAGAGACAGGCTAATGTAACATACCGTCCCCAGGCGAACCTGCTAGAAGCTCAGGACATGATCCGGCGGCTGGAGGAGCAGCTGAAGCAGCTGCAGGCCGCCAAGGACGAGCTGGAGCGCCGTCAGGGCGAACTGCACGCCATGATGCAGCGCCTCGAGGAGACCAAGGTAACGTGCACCCCACCGCTAATGATTGGGTAGTTCATTGACGAAGATAGAAGTGCGTACTTCTATCTTCGTCAATCAAAAAGAACAATAAAAAACTTGATAACTTGATCTAGGTATCCCCCACCCCCCAATAGGACTAAAGAAACAATTTACTAATGAGGGTTTTCGCGATTGAAAAATCCACATTGACATGACATTGACAGATATGTCAAAATCCACCAATCACGCAGCATTTGGACCTCGCGTCTACGTATTGCCATCTGGCGGATTTTTCAATCGCGAATACCCTCATTCATTGCCAATATTTTTTAGAACAAACTTTTTATAAAAGAATACTATGTATTGTAAATTTTGACCGATTGAGTTGACGAAAACAAAAATAATATCGTAGGTAAAAGAATTGAACCGTATCACATACCTTCTTAGTTCTAATTGGCATACCCATTGATCCTCAGAACATGGAAGCAGTGGAGCGCGCGAAGCTAGAAGAGGAAATCCGCGCCAAACAGGAGGAAGTGGCTCGCATCCAGACCGAGGTGGAGGCCAAGGACTCCGAGACGCGCCGTCTGCAGGAGGAGGTCGAGGAGGCGCGCCGCAAGCAGGTAACATACCCTGCCCGAATGAGGCAATAGTACGCAGAACTGACGGCCGATGGGGCAGAAAGGTTCTGGAATGGAGACCGGAAAATGCAGCGTGGGACGTCCACCTACAAGGTGGACCGACGACATCGTAAAGGTAGCAAGTGCTGGACGCAGGCCGCTACCAATCGATCAACATGGAAAGCATTGGGGGAGGCCTATGTTCAGCAGTGGACGTCCTATGGCTGAAATGATTAATGAGGCAACTGACACTCCAGACTTCACCCACATCAGGAGCTGACACTCCGTCTAGAAGCTGACACTTCGCCCACATTAGGAAGCTGACACTTCGCCCACATTAGGAAGCTGACACTTCGCCCACATTAGGAAGCTGACACTTCGCCCACATTAGGAAGCTGACACTTCGCCCACATTAGGAAGCTGACACTTCGCCCACATTAGGAAGCTGACACTTCGCCTACATTAGGAAGCTGATACTTCGTCCACAACAGGAAGCTGACACTTCGCCCGCACGCGTTGACAACAGAGCTAACACTCTACCCATTATACCGGCTCAAGTTACATCCCTGTGACATACCCCTACCTTTTCATGGTTATACCAACCCTATGGATATCTCTGTTCAGTCAGAAAATGGGCGCGGAATTGCGGCTTTAGAAGATTGCTTTCCACGATGCTGCATATTTTATCACCCTTTATATGGTTTAATTCTTCGTTCATACATTCGAACATAAGAACATTCTTATGACGCGACTTTATAGTGACACATACCACAAATAGGTGGTGTTCTATGACGTCGACCATTTCTTTTCAAGATACCTTTTCTTTTATGCCACCAATTCCGAACCATGAAGTCGTATGAAGTTTGCTTCTAAGGTTTGGGGGATCTCGTGCATACTCAGATAGTTAATAAGTCAATTAACACTGTTTGTTTTCCGAATAAAGTAAAATAAAATTAAATGAATACCCAGTACAGTACGCGACGTTTAGAGCACCGTACCACATTACCGTGGTGCTCATTTTCTCCGCATTCCTTGCTCCGTATCAGTAGATTCTTCGAGTACAAAATGTTAACTGCTTCGTATTTCAGGACGAGGCGGCAGCCATGCTGGCAGCGGCCACGACGCCGACGCACCACCACGTGGCGGAGCAGCGCGGCGGCGAGGAGGGCTCCGCGGCCGAGGACGGCGGCTCCGACGCCGGCTCCGAGTCCGGCGGCGGCGACCTCGTGCGAGGACCCGACAACCTCGTCGACCCCGTCGCCGACCGCCGCACGCTCGCCGAGCGCTCCGAGCGCCTGCACAGCCAGCTCAACGTGAGTACAGCGAGCACTACCGGCGGGCTCACCAATTGACGCCATTATTGTAAAGTGGGTCTAGTGGCTAAGTCAGTGATGCCAACTGGTGAACGCTAAAGAGTTAGGAAAACTATCGCATTTGCACTCACCCACCAGGATAGCGTCACTATGATTAAGCCCTGTCACTAGCCAGTGGTGCCTCATTTACCAGAGCCAAAAAAGAGGATTTGACATACACTCCACGTTAATTCAACTGGCGGATCCTTTTTTTAACCACAAAGTGGAAGTTCATGGAGGAAATCCGGGAAGCTTAGTGCTCCCAATATTTCTCCCTTGATCACTTCTTACAACATCCACAGGAAAATTGGGGCTGGTTATATCTATTCTGCTAGAACCACAATTTAAAAAACCCACACTCAATCCTCATGTTTCCTCCGCAGGCCCTGAAACAAGACTTAGCGCAGTCCCGCGACGAGACGAAAGAGACGGCGATGGACAAGATACACCGCGAAAACGTGCGCCAGGGCCGCGACAAGTACAAGACTCTGCGTGAGATCCGCAAGGGGAACACCAAGCGGCGCGTCGACCAATTCGAGAATATGTAGGGGCCCGACGTCCTGGGGCGGTGGCCGTTTGCTGAGTGCCTGGTGCTAAGCCGAACTATTGCTGAACGGTCGGACACTTGACACGGACTACTTTTGATAATTCTATGTAGGATTTTATACGATTATGGACGATAACGTCACTTTTAAGGACTGGAACGCAACTGCAACGAAACTACAACTTCTAGTCACTTTTGAGTTGCATCAAGTTTCTACCATAGCGACCGTTGAGATACCACACGTTGCAACGCGTTTCAAACTGGTCGCGTCATGTGTCTCCCAACGGAATCTATGGCAGAAACTTAGATGCAACTCAAAAGTAACTAGAAGTTGAAGTTCGTTGCAATTGCGTTTCACCGTGTGTTCTGGGCCTAACTGTCGCGTTTCGAAGTCAATTCATCAAATTGATTTCGGATATTTTGAGTAACGAATAATACTTTTAAAAACCTCACATTGTTAATTAATACATTATTTAGGTACCAGTGTCACCTGTCCTATTGAATTCGACTTCTATTAAACCGGGAGGCGAAGATTCAACGATAGTTTGGCGGTCCAAATGTAGCGTGACTTATCGTGCGCTTCCGAAGCACCACATATCGAGTCCTATTGCACTAAACATTAATTGATTTATTTGACGTCACTGAAACTATAAACGCAACTCGTACGGAGTCAATTCATTATTATGAATAGTGTACTTGGCTTGTAAATCTAGATAGGTCTATATTTAAGTGCCAAAAGTATATTTTTACAATCTCAAAGCAAACGACAGGAACTGTCACCGCTGCCGCTCGGTGCGGCCGGCCGCTAGGAGTAGGCTAAGGATACAATTGTAGTCTTTACAGTTGAGGTTTAAAGGTTATAATTGTGTGGCGCGCGGCAACCCCGAACATAGCGTGGATCCACCGCATTCAATCGAAAAATATCGACATTGCATTGGCAATTTTTAACCAAACTGCATTTTAGTTGCATTTAAAATACCTCTTCAAGGGGATTTCCCTCTCGACGAGGCGAAACTTACTTCATTGATACAAATCAAAGCATAGTATTGTCCCGTCCCCTAGTGCTGTGGGTCCAGGCATGCCGCGCCGCAGTCGGGACTGCAATGTAAATATTGATTATTACTTAATAGTAATTTTATTTTAGACCATAATGTGCTATAACCGAGTAATGTATACGTCGTCCCTCGATATTTCGTATATATTTTACCGCCGCCCGCAATCGAATCGACGGGCGCGCAGATTGTTTTTATTATTATTGTAATTTATTTTTAAGCGATTCGGATTTTATTCTATAACCTATTATGTTGTATTTGTATCGGACGGATGCGAGTCATAAATTAGAGAGCTGTGCGCTTCGAGTTGATGGTAGATTCGTTTTATTATAGTTGGCCTGTTGATTTATTTTAGTGGTCGTGTGGCCGAGGATGACGGGAGCGCTTCGGGGGCGCGGGTGAAAGGTGGGGGCGTCGCCCCTTATTTATTTTTATAATCATTTATATTTTAGATATAGGAGTTGAATTAGAGCTTCGAGTGTAATTATCGTTTCAGACAGATTTGTTGTTCACCACTTGATGTTCTGTAAATGTGCGCTGATATTATGTTATGTATGATACGCGAATATATGCAGTCGGCTCGGTCGCCCGGCCGCCGCGGGTTGGATTCGCAAACGATCGGCCTACGATTCTGTCCCCACTTAACTCTTGAACAAAATTTTAAATAGTTACTGAGACTATTCGATTGTATGCTTAAAGAAAGTGTATGATTTAATTTTTAAGTGAAATAAAAGGCATTCCATAAGTTACTGAGCGGTGGCGTTTACTTGATTTCGATGAAAATTAAAAATAGTTGCAATAACTTGTTTGCGTTTTGTTTTGACATAAACATAAGTGCCATCCGTCGCATGTCCCCGTCTGAGTCCAGCGAGCCCCGCGGGCCGTGACGTCACGCGCGCCCGTGACGTCATGCGCGGGCCCGTGACGTCACGCACACGCGAGGGGCCCAGTATTGTCCTGGACCTTACAACAGTATTGACGTATTTATCTTGTCATTATTTTCTAAAATATACAATACCATGTTGCCTTTCAAATTTTAGGATGAAATTTTTTTCCAATAAAATGTTTAAGTGAATACAAATTGTGTTTTATTTTCTATTACGTTATGCTACCTTTGTACAAATAACTTTTCAAATAAAAATAATACTTATAAATAACAATATATTAACACTTATTGATCTACATTTGAAATTCATTTGCTAATAATTGTGTCGCTTAACTTCAAACTCGGATAAATCCAATTCTTAGATTTTTTGAGATTTTGGTGTCAAATCAAAGAGAAAAAAAATATCTTTTAAATATTTTTATCAGTCGTGTGTAAATCAGCGTGGTTCTTGAGAAATAAGCCGTTAAAGTCGTAATATTTTATCTAAGAGAGATAGATCCATGAGACATTTTTTTTCAAACGTAGCTAAGTCCATGAGAGCCAATCAGGTAATTGCGTTTCTTCAACATGGCCGCCAGTTGACGAAAACTCAGCGACCAGCGGCACCATGCGCTCCCGCTTTTTAATGTTTATTTGCGATATTCAGACAGTTCCCATGGATAATTATATTAAAATTGTGTCACCAACTAAAGCCCGCAAGCGGCTTAATATAAAAGTTCGCCTTAGGAAAGAGGAAAAAGCGAAAACTCGGTAAATTTGAAATACCTATCCCTGTGCGGCGTTTGGAATTTTGAGTTGGCACTAGTGTTGTGTTAACTATTATCGATTATTATTTTGTCCTTCTAATGTTACAGAATATTTTGGACATAAGTATGTTTATGACATACCTAATATTGAGTAGGTACATTTCTTTTTCTGATCAAATGGCAATGCCAGATTTAGTATGGAAAGTGGCGTCTTTTTTTTTTCGCGCGGCCATCGACCAAACTTTGTTTTTTGATTACAAAATAGTGTAATAAACCAAACTTAATATGGCATGTATACCTCTAAACTCAGTCTGAACTGAGTTACGAGCATTAGAAGTTTGATGATTTTCATACTAGATTTGCTTTTTGTGCGCAAGTTTTGTAAGAAATTGCAACAAAATATTGCGCTATTTTTTTATTGCGCTGATTCTGCTCCATATTGATGTCTGGAGCCTTTAATGGATGGTATTGTTTGTTTACACATACAATCTCACTATTTTGTTGCAATTTCTTACAAAACTTTGCGCGCAAAAAGCAAATCTAGTATGAAAATCATCAAACTTCTAATGCTTGTAACTCAGTTCAGACTGAGTTTAGAGGTATACATGTCATAGTAAGTTTGGTTTATTACACTATTTTGTAATCAAAAAACAAAGTTTGGTCGATGGCCGCGCGAAAAAAAAAAGACGCCAATTTCCGGCATTGTCTTNGGGGCTGGAAACGCACTTTAGCTAATTGGGCATAATGGGCATTGTTGGTGGAATTGAAATATGTATTATAAAAAATGCTTAATATTGAAAATGTGATAGGGCGACCAATTCACGAAGAAGAAATTGAAAAAGATGACTGAAGAAATATTGAATTTTGTTTAAAATTATTAAATTGGGTACTTCCTATTTTTATAAAATAAAAACTAGATTTTCTTATTTTGTTTTATTATTCTATTCAGTTTGCTGCTACTAATTTGACTGTCGATGGTAGGTATACCGTGATTTCGTCACTACCACATGTGCTACCACATCCCTAGCTCTAATCGTGTTTTTTCATAACTAGATAAATCCGTATCTATTAAATCAAAATTAGATAAATCCTCATTGCGTTTTTTCAAAGTTGGATAAATTGCATTCCATTATATCAAATGAAGGTAAATCCAAACTAAATATTAAATTTTTGGGAGAATGCGTGATTTAAATACTGAAATGAATAAACAGGATCATTTATTTCAATAGTAGTGCCATAATAAAAACAAACTGCCTTTTAATTCATGAAAATAAGACTATAAACACTTTTTATTAAATATCTCCGAACAGGGTAGAGTGGATTTATCCGAGTTTGAAGTTAAGCGACACAATTATACTTCATAATTTGTAAACGGGTTTTAATTTTCTTTTATAATAAATAAATTTCTAGCTATTAGACATTTGAGGTTTTTATCAATTGATATAGTATTTATTTTCACATAATTTAGCTATAATAGAAATATAAATTGAAGGTGAAGAAATTGATTAGACTTACATTGGTCATTTTATGTTCTTGAATCCATAACCTTCGTTGTATATCTTCAGTAATTATTCCATGAAAATAACATTATGTTCAGATTTCATTAAAATACACTGTGCTCTGTTTGCAATCGCTTTAAAAATTGTGCACACGGTAACACATTGACTGTGCGAAAACGACGATCCTTGTTTGAAAAAATAAAATGCATTAATTCGCAAAATTCATATCCTTCACTTTCTTGAGTCAGTATCAGTGGTTTTTCTTTTAGAACACAATTTTCATGCCAGACGTGATCACATAGGTTGTCATTCCACAGATGTCCATCTCATTGTATGTCAACCAGCAGAGAGCATAGCAGTGTCTCTCTAGTCATTCTTCAAAGAGCACAGCAATTAGCTCGCTGACATACCTGTCGGTTTCACATTCAGTCTTCTAGCCTCAATCCTGCGGCGGGGACTGAGATAGGGGCGCCGACGGCCATCGATACTGTTGATACTATCGCTTTTGATAGCTATTGATAGCTTTTTATTCAAAAGCGACAATACTATCGATAGTATTGCACATATTCATTAGTATTGCCTCGTTTTGAGCTATTCAGTTTCGTCCAGCGCTTGTCGCCTCAGTCCTCCGGCTGCGATGTGATGCTCAAACATGGTGCCTGCGCGATGTCCATACCTCTCGGTTTGCATTCAGCCCCCTGCCTCAATACTGCGTACTTCTGAGCAGCTGGTGTACTTCTGAGCTTCGTTCGGCGCCTGTCTCAGTTCTACGGCTGCGATGTGATGCTCAAACATGGTGCCTGCGCGATGTCCATAGCTCTCAGTTTGCATTCAGACCCCTGCCTTAGTCAGACCGCTGTCGAAGGCCGAGGTTGTTGGTGTACCTCTAGGTTCCGTTTGGGCCTGTCACCTTAGTCCTGCGGCGGCGGGGACTGAGACAGGGCCGGGGAGGGGGCGGTTGGTGTACCTCTGAGCTTCTTATACGCCTGTCTCAGTCCTGCGGCTGCGAGGTGATGCTCAAACATGGTGCCTGCGCGATGTCCATAGCTCTCAGTTTGCATTCAGACCCCTGCCTTAGTCTTGCGCGGGCGTCGAAGGCCGAGGTAGTTGGTGTACCTACCTCTAGGTTCCGTTTGGCGCCTGTCACCTTAGTCCTGCGGCGGCGGGGACTGAGACAGGGAGGGGGCGGGTGGTGTACCTCTGAGCTTCTTATACGCCTGTCTCAGTCCTGCGGCAGCGAGGTGATGCTCAAACATGGTGCCTGCGCGATGTCCATACCTCTCGGTTTGCATTCAGTCCCCTGCCTCAATACTGCGTACTTCTGAGCGGCTGGTGTACTTCTGAGCTGCGTACTTCTGAGCGGCTGGTGTACTTCTGAGCTGCGTACTTCTGAGCGGCTGGTGTACTTCTGAGCTGCGTACTTCTGAGCGGCTGGTGTACTTCTGAGCTGAGGGGCGGGGAGGGGGCGACTGGTGTACCTCTGAGCTTCGTATACGCCTGTCTCAGTCCTGCGGCGGAGGGGGCGTGGTCTCCCCGGGGAGGGTGTGGTGTCTTCGCGCGTGTCGCCGCAACGCGCTTGGGTCTGAGTAAGCCCGGCCGCACGTGGCGCAGTGGTAGCGCCGTCCCGTGTGCACCGGCATGTGACGGCTCAGGCCTGAGGGAGATGGCTTAGGTTTAGGTCCTGTCACGGAGACTTTTTGTAATGCTGTCGCGCGTTTCGCTAACGAGCGACAGCATCGCTACTAACGCGTGTTAGGCCCAGAACAGACGGTGAAACGCAACTGCAACGAAACTGCAACTGCTAGTTACTTTTGAGTTGCACTTAAGTTTCTGCCATAGCGTCCGTTGAGAGACCACACATGACGCGATCAGTTTGAAACTTTCAGTTTCAGTTACATTCATAAGAATCATCAGAAAGTTGCAGTTTCGTTGCAGTTGCGTTTCACCGTCTGCTCTGGGCCTTAGTCGCATTTGCAATGCGCTACAGAAGTTATATCAACGCCCTACTATTGATTTAACAGAAGGGAAAGTAGAAGGAAATACTGCCGGTCGTGGGTGGCAGGTGGCAGGGGAAAAGTAACTACCCCTCTGAAAAATGTAGTCTCTGGCCTCCATCACTTGTTGAAACGAAGACTAGCAGTGAGTGAAGGCATAGACCGCACATACCAGAAAACGTCCATCCACAAGGGGAACCGATGACTTCAGAAGGTAGCAGGAAGGTGCTCGATGCCGCTACCAACCGGGCGATGTGGAAATAATTGACTATTCCCACCTCTCGTTCCCACCACTGCAATTCCTGTGTAGCCAGGATCTACAGCTTGACCGCCACAAAAACCCAACCAATGAAGGTCAAGTTTGTCCCGGGGGAAAGTTGAACTGTCATTGGACCCGCAACGAAATTAATCAGAAGAACAGGAGTTCGAAATTAAGGTTCGACTTCCCTCCATTGCAAAGCGGATGACAGGTGACAAACAAAGGTTTAGTAACCGTTATGAAAAGATATGCCAATGTTCAGCAGTGGACGTCCTGTGGCCGAAATGATGATGATGACGGCTTTTACCCGTGGTCCTCCCAACATGTCCCCCTGGTGGGTCCACGGGTAATTTTTTTTACCCGTTGTCCCACCGTTCTGAACAGTGTTTTAACCATGGTCCCACCACACTAAGTGGCAAACATTGCCTAGTAGGATATGAGTGACTTTAACCCACATGTGTGATGTGAAGATATTATAAAAAATGTTCTTGCAATTATTAATTTCGATGTATCCTTTATTCTCTAATAAACATGAACATAGGAATTAAGTCATAAATCTATGATGGTGCCGTACCTACCTATAATTATTTTCTATAATTAATTATAGATTTTTTTATAATATTATAGATACCTAGGTGACATGCAATGTTTGCCATTTAGTGCGGTGGAACCATGGTTAAAATAAATTACCCGTAGACCCACTGGCAAACACTGTTCAGAACGGTGGGACAACGGGTAGAAAAAATTACCCGTGGACCCACCAGGGGGACATGTTGGGGGGACCACGGGTAAAAGCCGGATGATGAAAGCATAGCCAACTCACCGGAGGCGTAGAGGAAGACTTTGTCGCAGGCGGGGCAGCTGTGTAATAAGATGAAGGCATAGCCAACTCACCGGAGGCGTAGAGGAAGACTTTGTCGCAGGCGGGGCAGCTGTGTAGCGCGAGCGCGCGCGCGTGCGGCGGCGCGTGCTTGCGCGCGTGCTGCTCGAGCGCGCCGCGCTGCGTGAAGCTCTTTGGGCATTGCGTGCACGCGAACGGACGCTTGTCTGCAATCACATGACTCTTTAATAGACTTATTTATGTTTACGACAAAATTTTCAAATTAAGTATGTAGACAAAAAATAAGACGTAGTTCTTGGCATACTCGGCCGTGCCGTGGCCGTGCCCACTGACCAGCCGGCCCCCCCAGAATGGTCTAGTGCCCCCCTTCCCTCAGGGTGTTATGCCCGTTTTCACCATCAATCCCTAAGAGACCCCTTTGAAAACAAATCCTTGCTGTGTGTTACCATACCCCTTGGTAACACACAGCAAGATTTGTTTTCATTTGTTTTCAAGAAAAATTAGGGATGAAAACGGGCATTAAGCTACCACTTCGAATGAATCGAATGGCTCATATAATCCTAGGTACGCCAATGATGGGCAGGAATGAAAATAATTATGCACTTGTCATTTTGTGTTGAATTCTGCCACCCAAATATTGTGGGTAGAAAGCAAATTTTAAAGTTCGGTCGATTTTATTGGAAAAGTGTAAACAATTCAACCCCATCAGAAAAATAATGATGTAACACAGTGCTTCAAAACTTAGTTACCATGTAGAATAGTTTCAATCACAATAAATAAGTACGTATAATCAGCCTCAAGTATTGTGTAACTTACTCCTGAGAGAGAACCTATAACTAGTTTACCTGTTGCTTAAGAGTAGGCGCACACCGATTTTTCGTCGGCCGAAAGTTTAGTCGGGCAGTTGATCAGTATGGGCATGTATGGGAGTGCGCACACTACGCCGATTCGATTTGGCCGTTTCTTCATACAATTTAAAATCGGGCGCAACTATCGGCCAACTAAAAATCAACGGTGTGCGCCTACTCTAAGTTGTTATTCATCTAGACATCGGATTATATGCACTATCAAAATGCCAAAATATGCATGCAAATATGCACTAAAAAAGGGCGAAATATGCACAAAATATGCACAATCAAACAAACATTATTAGAATTAACTTTATATTCACAATACATAATTAATTAATTATATAGGTACTTATTGGTTGTAATTCTTGTGACAATATAAATATAGTAAAAAATATTCATAGTGACAATTTAAAAATTATGTCATAAACTGCATTTAAACATGAATTTGATTTATTGTTTGTTAAAAAATGAATTTTAGCGATGTTTTTCGATAATAAAACGCAAATCCAGGAAACGTTTTTATACGACCGGCCACTTTTCGGTCTTCATGGAATGGTCATTCATTTTCGCTCCGCAACCCCCCCCCCCCCCNCAATATAAATATAGTAAAAAATATTCATAGTGACAATTTAAAAATTATGTCATAAACTGCATTTAAACATGAATTTGATTTATTGTTTGTTAAAAAAAATGAATTTTAGCGAATGTTTTTCGATAATAAAACGCAAATCCAGGAAACGTTTTTATACGACCGGTCACTTTTCGGTCTTCATGGAATGGTCATTCATTTTCGCTCCGCAACCCCCCCCGTATGAAGGTTACTTTTTATTCAAAAAGGTTACATTTTTTTATATTTCTGGTAATTTCTGACAAGACCCGACTGGCAACACTGGTACGGATCGCTCTCAATGCGCTCTCGCAGTGCGTGCGAGGGCGATGTGTTGATGTTTGGTGTGGAGACGGCGGCGAAGTACAACACGTCTAACACGTATAAATACTAAAATAAGCACTGTCAATGAAAATGTACCAAAATATGCAATAACGCTATAAAAATAGCATTATATGCGTTTGCATATTTGCAATAATGCAAATGCATATAATCCGATGTCTATTCATCACCTATTCGAAAATAAATAATGAAACAAAGTACGTACCGCGATGCACGAGCTCGTGTCGCTTGAGCACGGCGCGCTGCGCGAAGCGGCGGCCGCACGTGGCGCACGCGTGCGGCCGCGCGCCCGAGTGCACGCGCGCGTGACGCGCCAGCACGCTGCGCGACGTGAACCGCTTCGCGCACACGCGGCACGTCGTGCTGGGGGCACGCCGACGTTAATCAATAATAAATAAATATCCGACGACATTTTACACTGCGCTTCTAGTCCCAAAGACGATTATCACACTGCACCGCGGTCCGCGTGGCTACATATAAAGAATCCGGCGCGCAGACGCGTTGTCAGTGTGTTGTGCCGCGCATGTTTTCTATACAAACTGAACTTGCATACAATTATTAAATTTGTCGTCCCGCGTACCGCGGCGGAGCGCGGTGCAGTGTGATAATCGCCAAACTAAGCATTCAAAGCTTATACTATGGGTACTAGACAACGAATATAAACATACTTAAATACTTTTTTTTTGTAAATACATACATAATATTATACATAGAAAACACACAGTCCAATACAAACATATGTTCATGCACACAAATGTTTGTACAGTGCGAGAATCGAACCCGCTACCTCCGGAATAGTAGTCCGTTTCAAACCACTACACCAAACGGCCGAAAACTTATCACTACTCGACGCCCTAAGGCTCGACGCAAATGGGCCACCGACCACAGCCCCCGGTGGCCGACGACGCCGACTTAACACACTTTTTGTATAGTGGCGAGTCGCGGACACTACTGTAGCGAGTGGCCGCCACTGGATAAGTGTGCGGCGCGCCTATACAAAATATATTAAAAAGTGTGTTAAGTCGCCGTCGCTGGCCACCAGTGGCTGTGGTCGGTGGCCCATTTGCGCTGACACTTAGAGCCTTGCCACACTGGCGAATTACAAACGATTTCAAAGCGGAGCGGTGACGCGACGAAAACTAGACGGAAACGTTACGTGTTCGCTGGGTCGCCGCTCCGCTTTGAAAACGTTTGCAATCCGCCAGTGTGGCAAGGCTCTAAGACCGCCTTCATCTTCATATGCAAATCAGGCACTGGCAACGGTCTTTTTTTTTAATTAAAAATAAAATAACTATCAATCACGTACTAGAAAAGTGCATGCACAGGAGAATAATAATAACTTTATTTGGCATAAAATGCAAGACAACAAAGTGGGTAGGAAAATAAAATTTAAGATGAACGACGAAGAAAGGTTTAAAAAAATACACATTAATGCATCTCGCCAGTAAAAAGAAGAATTCATTTGAACGTTACAGTAACTTACTCTCCCTTAGTCCCTTTTTCTTTGCTTGTCTTACTTGTCTTGCTTGCTTGCTGTCTTGGTTTGTTTGATTTTATTATACCCTCCTTTAATAAAGTTAAGGTATATAAAGGTTCAACTTCTATGGTTTTTTTATTAATCTCTACAGGTACATCTTTTTCTTCCTGAAAAGAAATTGGATTACATACATTAGCTTTAAAGATAATCACCACTCCACTCAAGCAAGTCTATTACACAATATCTCTTGATTTCTTATCAAATTCACTTCTGTATTCCATTTTTATGGTGTACGGCATTGTGATAGTTGAATTATAATATTTGCAATTATAAATATTATTATATTCTCCTTCTTTAGAGAATACCCAATCTTTTTCTATACATGTTTTATAATTACTTGTATAATGTTTCTGCCAATTTGTAACTACCTGACTTGCTTACTAACCTCGTCTTCTTCTACTAGTTGCAGTATGACCTTGGTGTTATCTGCTCCTTCCAGCTCCACAGTCCTGAGGCCCTCGTCTGCGAGGATCAGGCCCTCGCCCTCTTGCCCGAGAACGCCTAGCTCCAGCAGCATCGTGGACATTATCAGGGAGAGGTCAGAGGCGCTCTCTTCTATTTCTAACGGAGTTGTACTAGGGTTCGGTATCGATTCATCAACTGTAACAGTCTGGAGAATTAACAAAAAGGTTAGTCTCAACAAAACGTTACATTAAAAACATGTTATGAATGAAAAAAGGTATCCTTCCGTTTGGCCAAATTACTTTTCGCCAAATTTCACTTCGCAAACAACTTATCGCCAAAGTTTCATTTCCCAAATAAACTTTTAGCAACTGTACTTTTCGCAACTAATTCATTTGGTCAAATTAACATTTGGCCTAATTTTACTTGGCAAATGTTTATATAGCAAATGTTTTATTTTGCCAAATATTATATCCCAAATAATTTGCTTGGTCAAATTGACACTTCACATACTTACGAGTACCCACCGTTACCCACAAATCAAAGCATAAGGCACATGGTCATGGTTTTCACAATAATTTTATGTAAAACAGAGAGATTGCAGAAAATAGTATGGTTGCAAAAAGTAGGTATTGTAACAAATCAAAGCATAAGGCACATGGTCATGGTTTTCACAATAATTTTATGTAAAACAGAGAGATTGCAGAAAATAGTATGGTTGCAAAAAGTAGGTATTGTAGAAAATAGTAGGTTAGGTTAGGTTAGAACAGTGACCCTTAATGCGCGAAGGCGAGCGAAGCGTGCCGCGGCAGCGGCCGCCGAGCGCTAGAATCATCTCTATTGTTAATTAATAATTTGTAAATTTCGATAAAAAGAATGAAATATGAAAATTTATTTAGAAAAAAATTTATATTAACTACCCACTAAACAAAATAATAACCACAAGCTAATTTGTATTCCATTCTATGCACCAATCAAATTGTTTTGTAAATAGTTTATCGTGAAATATTTTTGCCAAATGAAACATTTGGCAAAACATACTTTGCCAAACAATAATTTGCTAAACAATAATATGCCAAAAACGACATTTGCGAATTAAAAGTTTGCAATAAGTTGTTTTGCCAAATGAGAATTTGCCAAATGAAAATTTGCGAAACGTTGTTTGCGATGTGATAATTTGGGAAACGTTTTTTGGCCAAACATTAGTAATCCATGAAAAAAACATACATACATTTACTTCATCACATGTTGATTTCTCTAATTCATTTGATAAAACTTCCAACGTTGCTGTGTCATATATGTTCTGGGAATAAAGCAAGATTGTTAACGTCTATACTTACTATACATGTTTACAGATAAAAATGAGTACTTGCTAACTTAATCGACCTTACCTCAGTTGTATCTAACTGCACACTATTGGAATTGACTAGATTGAGTAATTGCATTTGCTGGGCTTCGTCGTAGGTCAAAACTAATTGTTCCTGCTCGTTGCTCTCAACTGGAGAAGGCTCGCTGTCAGCTGCTTCCATAGTCTTCATGGCCGTGGGGTTTAGATGTCTCCCTTTCATAGCCAACACATGAGCCTTCAGCTTTTGATACGTCACTTCACACTTTTTACGGAATGTATAGCACTGTTCCAATTGTTTATAACATTCTACGCATATTGCATTAGGTAGATCGCTGTCACGAGTCATCTAAAATATTAAATTATATTCAGGTATTTGGACTAGGATAACTAATGCTAATCGTAAACATTTATGGGTCATTCCACAAAAATATGTCAACTCTTAGTCCGCGCCACATTTCACATGAAATATTTGTTAATATTTTATTCCAAAATTGTTAAATAACAGCTCGCAATGTGCTTTATTCATCACCCATTTATATTTTTTGAAACTATTTTTAAAACATCTTCAATTACTTTTGAACGACCCAAAACGTCATTCCCTAGGCATGTCCGTACTCCAAAAGTTTGTGTTTTGGGACCCACATTTATAAAAACATCAACTTTATCCTTTGTTTTAATTAACGAATAATCTATTTAAATGTATATTACAATTTTCTTTAGTTGAAAAAGAGTCTACAGCTTTTAGCGTCATTCCCTCGCCACGCACTGATTTTATAATTTTGCGCTTTAATATGTATTTAGAGTGCATGACATTTAGTTGAGTTTAAAGTACGATACGAAGTTATCCTCAGACCATACTGGCTTTGCGGTAGCCGTTTTTTGAATTAGTGTAAACGTGCCAGTTGTTGGGGAAACATGTGTTAATCCAGTCACTTCGTCAGTCCCTAGTTGAGTAGCTTTATTGATTACAATAGGAAATTGTATATAATTTAATAGTATTTACGTGTGGTTTTTTGGCTATTTTCGGCACATCGTATTAAGCATCTTATAATATAAAGTTAATCTGCATTTGTGTTAAGTTTTACTCCAAATCATCAGTCCCTAGAGCGTCAGGCCCTAGCTTTAAACGGCACTTGGGACTAAATTACTAGTTAGGGAATGATATTTTTTATATAGTAATAATAACAAAATAACTACATTATGTATATTAACTTCTCTGTAAATGTTAAGGTTATAAGTTTTATACTTTATTAGAAGTCATATAGGAGTAATGTAGTATGAAAAAATTGAAAATTATAATTTCTCCTAAAATAAAGCATAAAATGACTGGCCCTTTTAGACATAACATAATTAATTAATAACCTATAATTTACACTAATAAAGTATTCAAAAGCATCTTAAAAAAGTTACGGACAAAATGACGTCGAAAATATACAGATTTTTATGGAATGACCCTTATCTCAAAAAATTTACTGTAATCACTACAGAATGCTCTATTAGCTGTGGGAATTCCAAAGAAGGACAATTTATTTTTAATTACTTAATTGAGTCAATGAATGTTGCCACTTAGAAATGAAGATTCACCAGTTATAAGAATGTACGCTTGCTTTAGAGTAAAAATTTTAACTGTTAATACAATCTATGTCCAATCTACAAAGGTTAAAAAGTTGCTCATGCAAAATTAACACAAAAAAGCACTGGCTATTTACACAGCTATGACTACAGACTAGGCTAAACACCAAGAAAATTGGTAGTAATCTGGTGCTTACTTATGATAGCCTCACCTCCAGCCCCACACAGATCATGATACGCAGCGACAGGGCGGCGCAAAGCTGGTCCGCGTCGTCGAAGATCGGCACCGACACCTCGTCGCGGCCCAGGCACAGCCGACACAGTTCCGACACACCCTTGATCGCCTGGTAGACAGGCCGCTTGCGCGAATACGTTCGCATTTTAGCAAAAAAACAAAGTTCAGTCGATAAACAACCACTGGAAGGTCCCAATCATAACCTCGATCTAAGGTATTGGATATGTTGATATCTAAGTCTGTACATAATCACAAATAATGTAATTCATTAAAACCTACGGAATGATTTATAATTTTATTTTAATTTGAAACGTTTATTGGCAAATTTTTGTGGGTAAATTAAAAATTTGCCAAAAAAAGTTTGACATTTATGACAGCCTTTTTTCTAGTGTGACCACTTTTTCATCAGAAAATCTACCAAAAACGATGCTCAAATCTACCAAAATCTAGCAAGACCTATTTAAAATTCTACTTAAATTCTACCACATAAGATAAAACATATAATTTGAACAAAATACAGTATTTTTATTAACTTATCATCATCATTATATGTTTTTATAACATTTTTATATAATTTTTTGTCATTTTTCATTACTTATAGCATGGATGCTTCAGGTTTAAAATTTCTGCAATTTCCAGCGCTCTTTATAATATTAGTATTAGATGTTACGGTTAATGTGATAAATTGAAAATTATTAATAATAACCGGTTATTATGAATAATTACCGACAGTTGCGGTAAAAGTGATAAATAAATCACCTTTAACAGTGATTATTTAATAATTCAACCTTAGTACTAACAAATTTCATAAAAGAGAACAACATCTTGTGTACGTGCTCGTGTACAGCCAAACTTTTGAACGTTTTGATATCATAATAATATATTAATTTAATTTGGCATAATGAGTTTTTAATGATTCTTGCATAATATTACTTTTCCATGATGCCTATAACATAATGTTTTGATTTAAAGTGAAAAATAGGTTAAAGTGCGGCGGGGGTGGCCCAAGGGCCACCCCTAAGCCGCCTATTTAGTTTTATACACACATAAATGACCTCATATTAATCACATTTACCAAATCATGCGGTGATTGTTTATAATAACTGGCGATTATTCATAATTTTCACATTTATCACTTTGACCGTAACAAAGATATAATTATAACACTTTTAAAATTAGTACTATTTAATAACACAAGTTTTAAGTTTAATTTCATTGATAATTAAAAGTACTTCTTAAAAATAAACCCTTGGTTTGAACGTTTGAATTTTTTTTATGTCGATATTAACAACACTAGCCAATATGTGGCAACATTTGTGTGCATTGAATTGAACTGTCAAGTTAGTTCGCCTTCATAAAGTGACCATAAACGGACCCTAAAGTTCCTTTTTTTCTGGCCTGGATTCTCGGCTCGGTTAAAATTTAATTTTGGACTACCATTTATTACAATGTTCTAAAAATACCAATTATCTACCAAAATCTACTAAACGATTTCGCACTACTAAATCATCGTTCTCTTTGCCTCAAATCTATCAAAAAAGTAGAAATCTACTAAAAGTGGTCACGAAAAAGTTTTTCGTTTTTTTATCAAGGTTTTTTTTAATGAGATATTTTACGGCTCTGGGTATAAGCTTTTTGAGTTTTGATTTAATAGAAACAATAGAACATACCTATTTTAGGTGCTTCTTTACAGTTCTATTGCTTTTCGTGGAGTACGGAGTACCTATAAGTAAGTAGGTAGTGCCCGTAAACAAGATTCAAGACCCCATCAGGTCCAACCAAAGCGGGTTGTTCATACGACAGCCCATTCTACACTCAATGCGCGCTATAATTCGAAGTGTTTCCATCACAGAGCAAAGTTTCCATGATGTAATATATTTATCACCTCACTGCACTTTAAAACACAAAATAACACCAGATTTATACACTAAAGTCCATTAGGTACTATAGATCGACCATGCTTTCCGTTCAACTACCCACATATTCCGAATCTTCATTTCCCTTTTGCTGCCAAGAGAAAGTGTCACAGACCGTTGTTCTTTCATTTTAGATGCTAGGGCTTCGTGCAGTTTGCATGAAATCATTTTCAAGTAAATATTATAATAATCAAGTCAATTTAATACCCAGTAAAGGAGATCTTTAAAAAAAATATTTACCTACGTAGAAGATAAGCTCACTCAATCCTAAGAAGATTTAGTAGAGAAGAAAATCGTTATGAAAATCTAAATCCACACGAGCAAAGTCTCGGGCAGACACTAGGTTTTACGTAAATAAATAATAAAATAGTTTGTTTCAACGATTCGACCCTGTCTACCAGTTAAATAATAAGAACAATTATCTAACTCTACCTACCTAATCGACGGTTTTGATAGGGTTAAATAATTATTGATAGTACAACATCTAGCGCTGCCATACGCGGCTATCACCTACTTTGAGTAGCACTAATTTCACGTGCAATGGAGAACCCAGGAACTTCCGACGAGACAAACAAAATCTCAAGATTCTTTTTTCAAGTCTGTCGGCTAATATACCTCCTCGGATTACCAAACTTTTGGTCAAAGGATTTCATATTTTCCAAATCATTCATTACTTTTTACGACTCTTTCACGAAAATAATGAACGTAACGACTTACGTATTTGTGGTTACGGAATGGGGGGCGTTTTATACCCAGCAGAATCTGAATGAAAAGCAGCATTCCGATAGGCTGGTATTTTGTATCTCTCATCCCATATTAGCCAGTTACCGGTTGATCCTGACTCACCACGGGGAAAAGTTAAAAGAACTGGTGTATCTACTCTGCTTGGACCTTAAAGAAAAAGCCAATGACGAAAAAATTGAGAAAGACACTATTAGAAAAGCCATAATTTATGCGACTGCATTAGTAGGTCTATGTATCATATCCATTGTATCTTACGGGATTGACGCACTCGCTAATTCAATTTCATCAGGTAAAGATTTACTTTATTATTTTACTACGAAGGATATATCCTGCAGTTAGCTCTGTCCATTAGGTAAATACTATATTGAATACTCAAACAATACAATACGGCCCGTTTTACCGTATAAAATCACTTTTGAAACTTTCCTCCGAACGTGAATTTACCCACACTGCAGTCAATCTGACTGAACTCATATTCAAAGACAAAAAAATGTTATCTACAAAAACCTAATTTGCCTGCAAGTTTTTGCAAAGCTACATTTATTACTTAAGGGGCAATTTTCGTACTTTTATAGAACTCAAAATTAGCATGCCTACTTACCTAAATTGGTCACAATACATGGAAAGTTGTTTATTTCAGATGCAACGTTCACGACGGTGGTTACTGCGTGGCCTGACGTAGGAGACAGAAGCACGCTGGCTGGTATGGCACGGATCATGTTCTACGTCATTTGGTGGATCTTCATGTCCCGAGTGTTTGGAGCCTTCATAATTATGATAAGCATAATAGTCGCACTTGAACACCAGTATAAGAACTTGGGAAACTACTTCCGTAACCTCAGTAAGGTCTTCGAACAAAACTTGAGTCCAATAGAGAAGGAAAAAAAATATGAAGAATCTCTTAAAGTTGGGATCCAACTTCACGCGAAGACTCTCAAGTACGCAAGTATTAAAAAAATTGTGTTAAATAGTTAGGAGTGAGTGGCCATACCTAACTAGCTACAAAAAATAAAACAAACACTAAATTCTCTCTATCACGGGATTTGACAACACACAAGCACTTTTAAAAATATAAAAAGGTATTTCTTTCCCGATGTTTCGTTCGACTCGGTTGCTGCACGAGTGATGGTCGCGGGCAGACTGAAGAGATGCGGCGTTGTCTGCTCGGGCGCGATGAATTTTCTTCACCCACCCGCATTTGCACAATATTTTTGTCCGTGGTACAGTCAGTCCGACAAACTACACTAACAGTGTTCGGGTTTCTTTGAGACGGCCTAAAACGATATTATTAATATTAATATTGAGAATTTAGTAAGAAATGTAACATGAAAGTTTAATATAAATCAAACACTTGATGTGTCTTTCAGGTGCATCGAACTAGCCCAAGCCTCATTCGGTCCAATTTTCGGGGCCCAAATAATATTGAACACCTACGTCATAGTCTTATTATTGTTCCAGATGGTGGTAAGTGTACCTACAGTTTGCGAGTAGATAAACATTTTTTTATTTGGCATATTTCTTCAGGGATCATTTTGGTCCTTCAAATTACCTGAGCATTTGGTACCCAATATGTCATTAGTTTTACTGTTCCTCAGAGCTCCGAGCGAACACTGGGGAATGTTTTGGCGACGATCTTCACTGGACTTGCGATGCTACTCAGCACTGGTTTCCTAATGTGGTCTGGCGGAGACATCACTATCGAGGTATTTTATATTTAGGTTAAAGTTTTAATTACTTTTTTTTTTATACACAACGAGGAAGCTCTTGGCCTGTATCTCACCTGATGGTAAGTGACGATCAGGCCGAAGGTGGAAGCGAGCTTCGCCCGGAATCCTCAACCACGGAGGAACTGGCTATCTTACCTCTAACTGCCGGAACACAACAATGCTGTTAACATTGTTGTTATGGCGACAGACTTAGACACTTATTATTATTCTGTGCTTAGACTTAGTTATCTCGATGCCCGCGGTTCTGCCCCCCTAGATAGTGGAAAATCTTGGCGATCTAATTTTGAAAGGCATTCGCTTCGGCGTTTTGTATGCTCCGTGAAGGAATTCGATTTTCGGAGCAATCAAAAAGTGCCACTACTTAGTCTAGGTCCCTGAACTTAAGACAAGACTGAAATGTTGGTGACGTTTAGACAAGCTGTGCTTTTGCTTTCAGGCAGCAAGTCTGTCTACGGACATGTACTGGTCCGGCTGGCAGAACTGCCAAGCCTCCACCACTGGCACTCGGAAGCTGCTGGCACTTGCCATGCTGCAAGCACAGGTAATTTACTTGCTTTTTGATAATTATGAATGATGATGCCCTCAACAATGACAGTAACTAAGTCCTACCTCCAAAGGTTGCAAAAATCAAGATTTTGTAGCTAAGATTTCCCACTCAGATTTTTATATCATTGTTATTTTTACAGAGACCCGTGATGATCAAAGGTCTTGGGGTGATAACAATTTCTTATCCCGCTTACCTTTCGGTAGGTGTGATAAACTTTGATACATTTCATTTTTATTGAAATTTTAAGTTCTCTTATTGTTAACCTACATTACATAAACGTTTTCAATTTCATTTCAGATCGTGAAATCAGCATACTCCGTTTTTTCAGTTCTATACTGAAAATTAATGAGAAAAATAAGAAAAATCTCTTCATTTATGTTATTTTAGAGTAGATTATAACATTTCTGAAATAAAACATTTCATTGTAACGTTATTCAGATTTTCATCCGAGTGAAGCCGCAGGCAAAAGTTAGTATTATAACACGTAACGTAGCTCAACAGCGAAAAGGGGTTGAGTTGATTACTTAATACGGGAAATTTTCTTAATTTGCCCTTATTAAGCAATCAAACATCGTGATCAAGTGACAAATTGGATAACTATTTTCTAATTGTTACGAAGTAGTTACTGTAAATTGGCTCAGATAGGGGATAATTAATGGTAAATTGACGTTATTAAATAAAGACGCTATAGCAATTAGACAAGCAAAATTATTTAGTAATTATAATTGATGCTTCTTTTAAATAACAGAAGGGTTACTTACCGAAAAAATAGAAGGTCTTAGGAGTTAGGAGCTGCAATTATCCTTAGCTATAAACTAATTATATTGCACCTAAATAAAATTGTCATTTATTTGTGTCTACCCTACCTACAAAGACTACAATCTACCCCCTCAACAATAACAGCATGCGAGTCTACCGCTGCCCTACCATATGGCGGATTTACACTATGCGGAAATTAGCCGAGTCAAGTCAAAAAAACAGAGGAGTGGGGATGAAATTAATTCATTCATCCCCACCCCACTGTTTTTTTGACTTGACTTGGCTTGATTCAGCTTAACGGCACAGGCAAACATCGGCGACATAAAAATAATTTTTATCGTCGAATCATTTATTCGTTTTAGACAAACGTTCAATGCTGGACAAAGGCCATCAGGATTTCCACAAAGAGTCCTGCACCGCATCCAGGTGCTTCTCGCGACCTTCACCAGACAGATCGTTGGTCCTTAGTGGGAGGCCTGCCCTCATTGCGTCTTCCGGTCTATGGACACCACTTGACAATTTTTTGACACCACTTAATTGACAATTTTTTTCACACCACTTGACAAATTTCAGATTCGATCACGCAGAGAAACTCCGAACATAGCACGCTCTATCACCCTATGGGTGACCTTGAGCCTTCCCATGAAACCCATATCTATAGTAAGCAATCACGTCTCCATTCCGTATGGAATCGCTGCTAGTTTACATAGTTTTTATCCCGGTTTCTGAAGGAGGGACAAGCGCGCATTGATATTGTTGAGCGACCACTGAAAGTCCGAGTCACACAAGATTCCGATGATGGGTCGAAAAATCTAAATGCACAGTGACTTTTTATGTTCTCAGTGAGAAATAGAGGTGATTTTGCAATAGAAATGTAGGTATTCTTAGATTGATGTGCTGTCTTCTGTACACCTTAGTAAAGGAACGTGTTTGGTCGCTTACTTATGGTCCTTCGAGCCAGATATTATAATCGGTTTACTTTTAAATGTCAACAGTTTATAGGTACCTACCTACGTTTTTAATTACTTTTGGTTTCAGATTGTTAAATTATCTTATTCAGTATTCTTTCTCCGTTCTGTTTTAATAATTTTACTGGTAATAAAATACGAGTAGAACACCATAGAGGGCTGGTTATCTAGCACCATACTGTAAGGTGTGTACTGTATTTGATGCCAAGTGTAGTAAAATAATAAATCCGTATACACATTATAAACGTGGTTTATTCATTCAACATTGCCAACTCAATAAAAATATCACATTTTTTCATCATCTTTCAGCTATAACAATTTTACGTAATTTTTCTATTAAATAACATTTCCAGTATCAAAACAGCATCGAGACACTCACCGCTATTTATAAAATATCTCCATACACAAAATATGACGTAGATATCTACAAAAGTTCATAAAAATAAATGCATCTTGTTTATTGTCTGCGTTGACATTAACTACAGGCACTCGAATGAGATATTTAATTGAATAAATCTATAAAAAGAATTGCACTTAGTTCTAGGGAAGTTGTAACTTAATGCAAAGGCTCATTCACACTATCTCTATCTATACAACTCGGTGAGTCGTTATGAGTCTATGATAAGTTTTCATAATATAAGTTTTGCAATAAAACAGTAACAAGACCGATGAAGACTAGAAGAGCGAATGTATGTAAATTGACATATTCCGGTTCGTGAATAGCAATCCTTCGCACATATTACGATGTCGCGAAAAATAGATTAATTTGAATTTATTATTCACATACTTTGGTCCAGGCTGCACTTTGTATTATAAGTATTCATTTCTGTCGAAACTGTCGATACTATTCGATCCACGATTTTGCTATATTTAGATACAGCTAAATGGCTATCAATATCAAGAAATGGCTCATAACAGCATAATGCAACTTGAACCTTACCAATGACCACCACCAAAGACTAAGCTACTATGGCTATACTACTAATTAAAGATAATCCCTTTGTCTCAAATAATCCAATTCCAGGTTCTTTAACCAATGACGATGTAAATCTACCGGTTATTTGACACACAGTTTAAATAGTTGCGAGGGCATACTTCTCACGCCGGATCCCGCTCATTTAACTAATTGCCAACTGTGATGCTAACTACAATCATATTTTATTACACTTATATTATTATCATAGACGTAATGCTATACGACACGACACTGTGTTGTTTTTATGGAACATTTAATTTTTACGAATCATATTTTTTTTGCTAAACGTAAATAGCAATCTATGAAGTAAATAATGTATAAATTCAAATAATTACATTATAAGTACGAAAATTGATTTCAAAATATACTTTTTACTTCAATTATATGAGAAAGTAGTTAATTTTTCTACTTATTTCTAAACTACAATGCACCAATCATTACATCAAGTTGTTTCACAAGATCTGACATGATACCTCCTCTGATCTGACGTCTTAGGATAAATGAAACTAAAAGCGTCACTGTGACATCACACCTATACTTACTATAGATAACCCACGCCGAACTGTCCCACCAAACTCAATGACAGGGGGGCGCTACCATCGTTCAACTATATGGTTTCCAACATGGCAAAAATCGGAACCAGCGATCCGGTATTGACGGTGGCGCCCCACTGTCAATGTCATGGATAGGACAGTTCAGTATTTTGGAACTTTACCAGAATTCGTGACTCATGTGATTCCAATAGGAAGAATTTCAATAGGAATGGACCAATTTTTTGTGCGCAGTATCGTTCGATTGCTTCAAAAATACGCATCATAATATGCGGTTACTTTGATTCAAATTCAAAGCACTTTACAAGTGCCAAATATACTTACGAGCAAAAATATGGAATCACCACCTTGTGTTTTGTTCCGAGCGATCTTAAGAACTGAATGACTATGCATGTATCTGTGGTATCAATTTAAAGTTTATAATATTACCTTTAAAATGGTACCATTTTTATTTGTCTTCTATTAGTCATTTAGTTTTTGTGATCGCTCGAAACAAATAGGATGATTCCATATTTTTGCTCGCGAGTGTAGTTTGTTCTATCACGTTATTTCATGACTCAAATGAAAACAAACGACGGTTCAGTCAGTTCTTGCGAGACAACGTACTAAATGCACCCGCCCGTAACGTGAAACTGGCTCACAGCTTGGCGTCGTGGAAGACGAGCTCCTGGTCTTGCGGCAGCTTCTTGAAGTAGCTCTCCACGTAGTCGTCGTCAACCTCTGCCAGGGTCTTGTGCTGCCACTTGGGCGCGTTGTCCTTGTCGATGAGGAGTGCGCGAACGCCTGTTGAGGAAAAGTGTGATAGTCAAATATCTAAAACATCAGCAAATCGGATTGGAGTTTTAAGTTATTGGAAATAATCTCGTGTACTGAAATCAAACTTGAAGCTAAACACTGTGTGTCATTTTATAACGATTTAATGCACTATTTTTCAACAAAAATCTAATGCATTATGCCCCCACCACCAGCTTTCTCCCTCGTTAACTTTTAAGGATGTGTAGCCAGTGATTTTTCAAAGTTTACAGGGCAGGGCAGGTAAGGCGTAAGTTAAGATAACATTTATTTCCAAGAATATGGTAATGATCTTAAATGTAGGTACAAAGTCTATCAGATTCTACCATTGATAGAACAGACGGTGAAACGCAACTGCAACGAAACTGCAACTTTGTGATGATTCTGATGAATGAAACTGAAACTGAAAGTTTCAAACTGGTCGCGTCATGTGTGGTCTCTCAACGGACGCTATGGCAGAAACTTAGATGCAACTCAAAAGTAACTAGCAGTTGCAGTTTCGTTGCAGTTGCGTTTCACCGTCTGTTCTGGGCCTAAGAGAAGAGTACAACCACGTCACAAAATCACTCAACCTGGTGTTCTGAACAACAAAATGGCCGTATTGTCATGACTCACCCTCAGGGAAGTCGTGGTTCATGGTGGCGCGGCAGGCGAGGCGGTACTCCATGCGCAGACACTGGCCCAGCTCCAGCTGTGCGCCGCGCTGTAACGCTCGCAGCGTTATCTTCAGCGAGCCGGGGCACATCTGGTGCAGCGTCTGCGGACACAATAGCTTTTGCTACACTTAAGTTATAGAAGAGACAGAACACACCTCAAAGTTTGCACCCTTTGCCCTGTGGCGAAAAAACACAAAGTTCACCGCCATTAACAAAAGTAGAAGAACTAATGCGGCATTTTTTGTGTGTGTGCTTGCAAGTATGCAGCTTTGCCTTTAGTCAGTTTGGTAAAAACATTTTAATTATATTATACTCCACAAGAACATTACATAACTTATTTTTATCAATAAAATCTGAGATGGTATTAAATTATTGAATAATTGATAATGCTTCTTGATAATTTATTATCATGCAGTTAGCATTATTTTTCAATGTAAAAACACTTTATAATCATAAAATGGAACAGTAACTAACCTCCAATGTTTTCACCGACCAGTCGTTCTGGACCTTCTCAAGCCTCTCAATTATTTCTTCAATGGTTGATGCCGCGAAGCAGTAGTTGATGTGTTTAATATGTGGGGCCAGGGAGAACTCTTCCAGTGGTTCGTGGAACTTGTTGATTAACGAGTCCACCTCCATCTCATTGGTGCAACGGGACAGCAGCATTTCTAACTCATGCAGACGTTTGCTTGGCACGTAATGAGTGGCAATGCCGGCTTTTACCACATCACTGCCTTTTAATCTGTCCCCTATAATTTAAAATGGAAAAAAGTTTTAAATTCTCATCAAATTATTTTACATTTACATTGTGAATTGCAAAAATACAAACCAGTTAATCCTAAGTATAACCCAAGGTTGACCTGCAACCGTGGCAGGAAGTATGAGCCACCCACATCAGGGAACAGGCCAATCTTTGTCTCAGGCATCGCTATCACAGTCTTCTCAGTTGCCACCCTGTATCTCCCATGGACAGACATCCCCAAGCCTCCTCCCATTGTGATGCCATTGATAATCGCTACATATGGGATCTTGTAGTTACCGATAACATAGTTTACATTATATTCAGTTCTGAAGAATCTGGGACCCTCTACTTTATCGATTGCTGCTTTAACGTCTCCGCCAGCACAGAAGGCTTTCTCCCCAGCACCTTTAACTATAACTAGTGTTTTTTGCTTCTCCCATTGCTGTAGTTGGGGCAGCAATTTTGTTACCATGGACGTGTTCAATGAGTTCAAGGCTTTTGGTCGGTTTAGTGTGACGATGCCAGCATTATTCAGTGTTTCAAACAGAACATCAGGTTCTTGGGAAGACATTGTGCGCTTAAGAGCTAAAGAAGTACTTCTAGTTAGGTTTATGCTTAGTTTAAACATCTGAAACAAACATTTTTATTTTTATTAAAAGTTCCCAACATGAATTATCCCATGTGCGATTATTATTGCTTTTTAACATAGTTTGCATCATGGTTGCATTGAGTAACTACAATGAAGTAGCAACGATCATTAAATTATAAGTTCAAAGGTTTCGGACGCCTGAAATCGCGAACTCCCACTAGGCACTGATAAGATAACAAGATCGTTTGAATAAGTCTTATATCGCGACCTTGAATACTATACGCTAAAACATACCAAGCAGCAATTACACAAACATCCTCACTATGTAAAACACACTGAATAGTAATATTCAACAGCTTTACCTTCTGTGTAAACTTCGTCACTACTTACCTCGATTGTTTGGAGCTAATTAATTGTACACAAAACACTTATAATGGGCACAGTGATTCTAACTAAACATTCACTAATATGTAAATAACTTTACTGCATACGATTAAAGTTATTAGGCTAATAAAATAAAAAAATCGAAAACCGGTAGGCCTCGCGGAGCGATTCCAAAGTAAAAAATGACAGCTCATCTGACAGTTGACAAATAAGCAATAGGGTTGCAACAGAGTCCAGATGTTTGGTAATCGATGATATCGACTATGATTCTGTTTAAGTGCAGGTATATACGCAGGTGCACGTATGGTGCACGACGTGCACAGGTGCACTTGCACGCAGTCACATGCGCACTCGGACACTTGCGTTGATAAATGGATTCGCAAAAAACACGTGCGTAAAAGAATATCACGCGCTTTTCGCGCAGTTACATCCGAAAAAAGAAACGCAAACGCAAGGCATTTCGCCTGTACTATCGATACCTGCTAATCGAATAAAAGCTAAATATGGCATCACTATTTTGTCACAAAAATTGACATTGACATTTGCTTCCAGCTGACTGCATAACCTCAAATTTAAAAACATGATTAAATATTGAAATAAATAATTAGTACGCTACGTTAATAAACGTTTAAAATGGGTGCTATGAGGAAAGTTCTAAACTGGTATGCTCGCTTGTCTCCCAGCCGAGGGAAAACATCGCCTCCATATGAGCATGTCGTTCAAATTGGAGACCCTAGGTTACGTAAAGTATCTGATCCAGTTCCAGTGGATAAAATTAAAAGTGAGGAAGTCCAGAAAGTGATAAATAAGCTCCGACTCGTTCTGCATAAATACGGCAGCGTCGGTATGTCGGCACCACAAATAGGAGTGAACATGAGAATGTTTGTGATGAGACATACAGCCAAACAAATCTCTGCAGTACCTCCTGAAATCGCAAAGTCGAAGGGTATGTCAGTCGTACCGTTCACTGTAAGTAAGTATTCTTTATAGTTGAACTCAATAATATTGAATTGGAATCATGTTTATTCAAATTAAATCCTTTTTTAGGTGTTCATAAATCCAAAGATAAAGGTGGTTGATTATCAAAAGGTAATTTATATGGAAGGATGTGAGAGTGTACAAGGGTATTCAGCAGAGGTGCCTAGATACAGAGAAGTAGAAGTAACAGGTAAGAATCATTATCAGTATATTTTGATATCTTGTATGTTTAGCACAATAAATAACTTAAGAAAAATCTTGTTTCAGGGTATGACGAAAATGGCGAGAGTGCAACTCGCGTGTTCAAACTCTGGCCAGCTAGGATCGCGCAGCATGAGATGGATCATCTAGACGGAAAGATGTTCACGGACCTGATGGAGCGAAGGACCCTGACATGCGCTTGCTGGGAGGAAGTCAACCTGTCTAAGGGAAAAGTTGTAATACCATTCAACCCTGAATAAAAATTAGCAATCTATAAATTGTATTAATTGAAACATAGGTGCATAAGCTGACCCTATTCATAAAAGAAAAGGTCAAATATTTTTAAGCATAATTTATTCAAGTATTACATGTTTTTAAAGCATAACTGCATAAATATATAAAGACCTGCTTTACAATAATTATACTTTTAATGACCTGAAAAATTATTTAGCACTTTTACAAGGATAGCAATTGGAAACATTGATAAATAACAGGTTTCAAGTTATCTAAATTCAGTACAAAAATAATGAGCCTACAATCTAATATTTCTGCAAAATAGTACCGTGACTGAAAATTTTCCTTATATTATAGCTGCAATAATATGTAAAGCAGAAAAAATCAGTAACTATGAATCAAATGTTTCTAAGGAGACAACATCTTATCACCTTATTCTATTAGAGCTATGTTGATAGTATCCAAACAGAGATACCTATGTTAATATTTGAGATATTTAAATGTTTTTAAAATAATATCTATTTGATCTAAAATTAATGTTGTTATATCTGTGCTATTATAAAGTTTATAGTGATTATAATTTAATAGTTGGTTCTATCTACCTACATAAACATTAACATTATAAAAGTTCTGAATAAAAAGTTATGGTATGCTTGATATAGTATACCGAAACAGTAAATTCATTTCACCTTATCATACCACCAAAATTTTTGACAATCCTGCAGAATCAACCAATAATTCCAGAATAATATCTTATTAGTCCATCACTAATCAAACAACCAAATTCATCTCCAACTCTTCATCTCATAACAATTTTCGATTGCAGATTAGTTACTAATTCTTGTTGGTTAGTTTAGTGAGATAGATGACTGGATAGCACAAGTCATCAAGCTTCCAAGTATTCTTCAAATTCATTAGGCCCTTTTCAGGGCACCTATTTTATCTTTCTTGCCTCGCTGTAATCAGCAAGCATAACATGATCTTTTGAGATCAATTTGATCCAACACTTACTACCCTCTTTACACTGTAACATTGATAATATAATTTTAATGAGATATTCTTAGGGGTGTCACCAATTCTGATAAGTTTAGCTATTGGTTTTCCAGCCCAAAATAACTGGCAAGTGAAGTAAGAAAGAGCATGTTCATGGTAAGTGTTCTTAGCAGGGTGCGACCTGGTCACCCGTGCGGTTTGCGTTCCCATTGAGGAACCAAATTGGAATAATGAGTTTTGCGTGTAGAGATGCCGCTCGATAGCTTCTATCAATATCGATAACTATAGTCAGACTATCAACAATGCAAAATATGACAATACCATTGATAACTTACAAATAGTAATAATAGTTCCACGATTCTTCACTTTTTTGTAGCAGCTCTGTGAAATCAGGGAAACAGTGATCCAGTATTGACGGTGGCGCCCCCATTCAACGGATCACGGGTGGGACGGTTAGGAAATCTATGCCACTTTATACGATTTTGGTTCAGTGTAGGACATCCATGCCATTCTATACGATTTGGTTCAGTGTAGGACATCTATGCCACTTTATACGATTTTGGTTCAGAACATCTATACCACTAAACGATTATCGGAGTCAAAAATCTATCGTTATCTAAACTATCGATAACCGGTCATCTCTAGTGGGCCCGCCTACCGCAGCGGGTTGCTGGCGAGCGATGTGAGCGACGTGAGCGACGGCGGGCCGGAGGCGGCCAGGCTGAGGCGGTCGCTCTCCTCGTCCGCCTGGTTGTTGCGCAGCTCTTGTAACGTGTACACGAACTTGGTCCACTCGTCGTGCCGCGGTTGGGCTACGTGCTGGAACGATACCTTGTTGTTAGTATTTTATTAACAGTCATCATCTAAAGTCTTGGGCATTCAAAGATCAAGAAAAAGGATCGATTTTTTTTGTTCTGGTACACTTGTGCGAAAGACAAGCGCGAAAAACGATTTGCGTGGATGGACACTTGCTCGAAAGGACATGAGCGCGATCGGTCGTTTGCGCGAAAATATGCTAGCTATAGTCTGATCGCCGAGCACGTAGAATTTTGTCCAATGACTCCAAGCTATCCATCCTTATCGCTCACGCGTAATAATATTGCTGTCGCGACTGTGCGACGGGCGGCCGCAGTGAGTGTGCGAGCGTGACAGCAACATAATTACGCGCGAGCGATAAGGATGGGTAGCTTGGGGTCATTGGTCAAAATTCTATGTGCTCGGAGACCGGTCTTTAGCTATTCACAGGTTAGGCTACTGCATTTTTTCCCCTTAGTTAGAATTAGATGATGGAATCTTAAACATGTACTCAGAATGGCCAGTAGCAAAAAAGCAGTAAACAGATTCAATAAACACATTGGTGAACTATGTAGTACGTGCGTACCTCAGCCAGCTCGTAGACCCATATCTTGCCGGCGTCGTCGCCGGCGGTGACGTGCGTGCCGGCCGGCGTCCACGATACACGGTTGAACGCCACGCCGCCTTCTGCTTGGATTGACGCGATCGGCACCTGCGGACATTTATGTCTAAATTAATTGATGTAGAAGTGCTGTCAGGTTGTTCCGCTGATTGCAGACCCCTAATGATATCAGTAGGACTTCTCTCAAACGCCGTTTAAAAAGTTGCAGGTATATTAGTTACCGTCGCTCATGCTGGCATTTCGGTTTGCATGAGAGAGATGGCAACATTTGTTTTTCGGAGTAGCCCCGCTATATTAAAGGTATAAAAGGTGGATCACACCCGTTGTCGTCAAACGAGCACAGCACTAAATGTCACTTCGTTGTGGATGAACATCGCTTGTCATTACCTAGCTGTCCGCTAAGCTGCTCAAGCTACTTAAGCTCACGCTCAATCGAGCGAATTCTCGCCTCATTGTGGTCGAGTGAGCACAGCGCTAGTCATAACTGTTGTTCTGTCGCTATTGTTCACCGTCTAGCCGCTAGACGCTAGCTGTACTCAGTACAGCGAGTACAGTTATCGCCTCGCATTGGTTGAGCAAGCACAGGGTTAGTTATCATAGGGATGTTATGGATATGTAGTTTCGGTTATGGATATAGGAATAATATTATACCGGTTTCGGTTACGGTTACGGATATTTTTTTATTTCGGATATCCGAAAGTTTCGGTTAAGGTTACGGATATCCATAACATCCCTGGATCACCTAGCTGTCCGCTAGTGCTCACCGTCCAGAGTGCACAGCGCTGGTGCTTGCCTCGATGTCCTCGAGCGAGCACAGCGCTAGTCATCGTCTGTCCCCTGCTACAGCGACAGTGCTCGCTCACACAGGCCTCACCTCGGTGTCGCGGTTGAGGTTCCACAGGTCGAGGCGGCCGGCCGCGTCCACGGCGGCGAACAGCGCCGGGTGCGCGGGCGACCAGCGCACGTCCGACACGTAGTCGCCGGAGTCCTCGAACGAATACAGCGCCTTGTTCTCCTGAAGAATTAGAAAGACGTCTAAATATAATTATGATCATATAACCTAAAAATTATTATTTCTAATTAAATTGATTCATCATCAACATTTCAGACATCCACTCTTCCAATGATTACAGATTGGCCGGTTGTAAGCTGCAAGCGTCCTGACTCCTGCGGCTGCATGCAATTTTTTAGCTGTGTGTGATTTGTTCGACATCATCCAGGCCAGAGAGCGATAGGTGCCGCGTGCGCTCATATCGCACCCAGCACTAGTGATGTTATATATTAAATATCATGGTTTTAGTTCCAACCAAATGACGTCCACTGCTGAACAAAAGCCTCCCCAAGGATTTCCACAATAACCTTTCCTGCTATGCCCGCATCCAAGTACTACCCGCGATCTTCCTGACTGATCGTCGTCAGAAGCAGAACCATTGAAAGGCCTGCACAAACTACGTCTGCCGACCTGTGGTCGCAACTCGAGAAATGATCTGCCCAGTGGTCGTTAGCTTTACGAGCTATGTGTGTATCCCGCCCACTGGCACTTAAGTTTGCCGATTTTGGAGCTACTTTAATTTTCCTGATCTCGATCATGCAAGGCATGTCTCCGACCATAACGCGCTTCATCGCCCTGTATTTATCACACTACCTTCCTACCCAGCCTAAAGGCTTCCACAGACCAAACGCGGGTCAACTGACCCGTAGCAGTAGGCACACTGAAGGCAGCGGCAGTTTCAAAGCAGTTGCAACGTGGGCGGTTGTAAAAAAATTAATATTCGAAAACCGCTTTCAATGCGCTGCTACCGCCCGCTGCGTCCGGTGTGTCATGCTAATATGGCCGCCATAGTAATACAACAGCGCGGGCCCGCGTTCGCGTCGCTTCTGTCCCGCGCCCGCGCCGCCTGGTTTGTCGTTCGGCAGTTGCAGTATGGCGCGGTTGGAGCGCGGGCCCGCGTTCAAATTTGGTGTGACACACTTCAAAGAGTTTCTTGTATTAAAACTTGCGCGGGCCCACATTCAATCAGCGCTGCTACTGCCCTGCGTTTGGTCTGCCGAAGCCTTTAACGACCGCACTGACCTTGGAGCTCCACAGCTTGACGCTCCAGTCGACGGACGCGGTGAGGTCCAGGTGGCCAGGTCGGCGGCGGGCGCGGCGTGCCACGACAGCGCCGTCACCGGGCCCTTCATCACACTACACCCGACCCAGCCTCAACTACCGCACTGACCTTGGAGCTATACGGGTGCTTCAGGCAGCGTCTACATAAGATGACGCTGTGCGAGTCTGCACTATGCCCATGCGGCGAGGAAGTCGAAGAGAGCCGCGACCACGCGCTTTGGGAATGTAACCTATATGACGAAGCTCACAGAAGATGCTGAATGCGATACGGAGAGCCGAGCAAGGACCTGTTTATCAACAGGACCTCACGAGTAGTCGTAGTAATTGGATCGCGCTGCGCGAGTTCGCGCACTCCTGGCACACAATCAGGCGAAGTTATGAGAAGAAGTGATGACATTCATCAACGCTAGCGGCCCGACGCGAAGTACCGTATTTGTGGTGTCAAGCCCCAGAAGGGGGAGAATTGACAATGAGAAGGGACAAGGATAAGAGAAATTTGAAGGGAGTCAAGCGAAGCGCCCGGGGATAGAGCCCAGAGCAAGTACCCGCGCGCTCTCCCGAGATTCGGTTCGTACGCCGTGAGGCAGGAAGAACCATGGGTGGTGGTGGGATTCGTACCTTGGAGCTCCACAGCTTGACGCTCCAGTCGACGGACGCGGTGAGGTAGAGGTGCGCCAGGTCGGCGGCGGCGGGCGCGGCGTGCCACGACAGCGCCGTCACCGGGCCCTTCATCACACGACAGCGCCGTCACCGGGCCCTTCATCACACGACAGCGCCGTCACCGGGCCCTTCATCACACGACAGCGCCGTCACCGGGCCCTTCATCACACGACAGCGCCGTCACCGGGCCCTTCATCACACTACACCCGACCCAGCCTTACTACACTGACCTTGGAGCTCCACAGCTTGACGCTCCAGTCGACGGACGCGGTGAGGTAGAGGTGCGCCAGGTCGGCGGCGGCGGGCGCGGCGTGCCACGACAGCGCCGTCACCGGGCCCTTCATCACACGACAGCGCCGTCACCGGGCCCTTCATCACACGACAGCGCCGTCACCGGGCCCTTCATCACACGACAGCGCCGTCACCGGGCCCTTCATCACACTACACCCGACCCAGCCTTACTACACTGACCTTGGAGCTCCACAGCTTGACGCTCCAGTCGACGGACGCGGTGAGGTAGAGGTGCGCCAGGTCGGCGGCGGCGGGCGCGGCGTGCCACGACAGCGCCGTCACCGGGCCCTTCATCACACTACAGCGCCGTCACCGGGCCCTTCATCACACTACACCCGACCCAGCCTTACTACACTGACCTTGGAGCTCCACAGCTTGACGCTCCAGTCGACGGACGCGGTGAGGTAGAGGTGCGCCAGGTCGGCGGCGGCGGGCGCGGCGTGCCACGACAGCGCCGTCACCGGGCCCGCGTGCGCCTCGATGCATTCTGACACGCCCGCGCGTTGGCCGTACAGGCTCCCTGGGAATATACAGGGTTTATGTCACGAATTGTTTCGAAGGTTCTACCAGGCCTGTTCATCTCCGTGAGTTTACATCGAAAACAAAACACGCACGATGGCCCACCTACAGGATACTATTCGACACAGCCTCACATACGAGCGAACATTGACTCACGCACGCGTATTCTTGTGTATGATAGAAGAAAATAAAAAAAAATGGTGTACTAAATACTGTGCAGTATTTAACNTAACGCGTTACTAGAGGAATGGCAGACATTGCCCCAAAATACCCTTCATATCATTAACTGCAGCATGCTCAGATGAATGGAAACCATCATCAGAGCAAGAGGGGGAAATACCCATCATTAATTCATTCATTTGGATAGTGATAAGCTACCCTAATTTTTAATCTGGCCACAATTTCTAATTTTTGTTCAAAACTGAAAAATTGAAATTTCGTTTCGATGATTTTTTATTAAATAAAAACGACTAAATATTTAAAAAATATATGTTATTTTATTTTATTTTAATTATCTCTTTATTTTGNCCATATTGTTAATGACATTGAGCATACATTTTTTTAAATACCTTCGCGAAGTAAAACTTCTGTACGTAGTACTTATTATTATTCTGTGGTTCTACCCTCTCTCACACTAACGTCTTTTCAAAATCGTCGTCTAGCCAGCGCCTGCGCAACGTCACTACGCAGCGCTGACGTCACGTCTGCAAGACACCAACTCAACTTTTTTTCGGACAAGTAACACATCTCCCTTACCCCGCTGTATTCAGCGTTAGATTCGACTGACGACGTTTAAAAGACACTAGTGTAGCAGTGGCCTGTCTACATAAAGCTTTGAATACATTAGAGGGTGGTGTGTTGCAACGACTTCAGACACGTTACTATATTCTTTAGCTACGCGTTCCAAGACAGTCAGCTATCTTGGGGACCACTCAACCTTTATTGTTTGCCTATAACTATTGGCTACAGGACAAGAGTTTTGTTGGAACAAACTAGATGTGAAATGCTATTGAGCTGCGTCTGCGCATCTCTGAAACAGGACTGACTGGTGTATGGAAACTAGATGTGAGACGCTGTTTGGCTTAGTTAGGATCTCTCTAAAATACGGCCAACGAGAAGCGATACCAAATGTAAACAAACCCAATGTCATGGTCATTTGGAATTGACTTGCCGTCCTCGCTGCCTAGCATGAAGTTATTGACGTAGCTAAATGAAGCTTCGGCGTTCGGCTTAATCCTATTCTGTTGCGCCAGCGCATCTCTGTAACAGTAGCCACTCACCAGTGTACATGATGCCATTCTCTGCATAGCACGAAGTTCTTGACGTAATTAGTTGTCAGGATAAATGCTGAGCGGGAGCCTATTGACACAGCGGTGGTGAAAACAAGATTTGAGATTAGTCCTATTTAGTTGCGCCAGCGCATCTCTGCAACAGCAGCCACTCACCGGTGTACATGTTGCCGTCCTCGCTGCCTAGTACGAAGTTGTTGACGTAACTATACGAAGCTTTAGTGGTGAAAACGAGATTCAAGATTAGTCCTATTTGCCTGCGCATTTCTGCAAGAGGATCCACTGACTGGTGTATGGAAACGAGATGTGAGACACTATTCGGCTGCGCCTGCGCATCTCTTAATTAGGATCTTTCTAAAGCCTGGTCCGTGAGCACGTAGAATTTTGTCCAATGAACCCAAGCTACCCATCCTTATCGCTCGCGCGTAATTATGTTGCGATAAGGATGGGTAGCTTGGGGTCATTGGACAAAATACTACGAGCTCACGGACCAGACTATAAATGAAGCTTCGGCGTTCGGCTTAATACTATTCAGTTGCGCCAGCGTATCCCAACAGCAGCCACTCACCGGTATACATATTGCCGTCCTCGCTGCCCAGCACAAAGTTATACGAAGCTTCAATGGTGAAAACTAGTTTCGACATTGTTTTTAATCCACAACGAGGAAGCTCTTGACCTGTATCTCATCTGATGGTAAGTGATGATCAGGAATTTGGCTGCGCATGCGCATTTCTGAAACAGCAGCCACTCACCGGTGTACATATTCCCGTCCTCGCTGCCCAGCACGAAGTTGTTGACGTCCCCGTGCGGGAAGCCCATGCAGGTGACGGCCACGGCCTTGCTCTGGCGGTGCTGCAGCTCCAGCGTCTCTTGCGGCGCGGAGAGCGTGTCCCAACAGCAGCCACTCACCGGTGTACATGTTTCCGTCCTCGCAGCCCAGCACGAAATTATTGACGTGGCTATATGAAGTTTCAGCGGTGAAAACTTGATTTGAGATTAGCCTATTCGCCTGCGCATCTCTAGGGCAAGATAACTCACCGGTGTAGATGTTGCCGTCCTCGCTGCCTAATACGAAGTTGTAACGTAACTATACGAAGCTTCAGTGGTGAAAACGAGATTCAAGATTAGTCCTATTTGCCTGCGCATCTCTGCAACAGGATCCACTGACTGGTGTATGGAAACGAGATGTGAGACACTATTCGGCTGCGCCTACGCATCTCTTAATTAGGATCTTTTCTAAAGCCTGGTCCGTGAGCACGTAGAATTTTGTCCAATGACCCCAAGCTACCCATCGTTATCGCTCGCGCGTAATTATATTGCTGTCGCGACTGTGCGACTGGCACCCGCAGTGAGTGTGCGAGCGCGATAGCAACATAATTACGCGCGAGCGATAAGGATGGGTAGCTAGGGGTTATTGGACAGAATTCTACGAGCTCACGGACCAGACTATAAATGAAGCTTCGGCGTTCGGCTTAATCCTATTCAGTTGCGCCAGCGTATCCCAACAGCAGCCACTCACCGGTGTATGTACATATTGCCGTCCTCGCTGCCCAGCAAGTTATTAACGTAGTTATACGAAGCTTCAATGGTGAAAACTAGTTTCGTCATTTTTTTTAATCCACAACGAGGAAGCTCTTGACCTGTATCAGGCCTGGCTCACTCCGCGCGGTACATCCGATAATTACCTACAGCGAAGCGCCCCGCCGGCGGGTATTATATTAGTCGAGTGTCACGCGCGCGCTCGTCAGGACGCTGGCGTGCGTTGTAGTATGATTATAATTCTATGATCGAAGTATTATTTAAAAATGAAAATAAAGAGAAAGAAAAATTGTGCGGCGTTCGGGTGTTTAAATTCGAAAATAAATCTACCGGATTTATCTTTTTTTTTCGCTTCCCAAAGATGCTGAAAGGTATGTTGGCCATGTAGGTAATCAATAATTCTTAGGATAGTATAGGAACCTAACCTACTATGACTACTGCTCAGAATGCGTTCGTTCGTTTCAGCCAAATGACGTCCACTGCTGGACAAAGGCCTCTCCCAAGGTTTTCCATAATGAATGCATACTTACCTACACACACCGGCAGATTTAGAGGAACGGAAAAAAAAGCATCAATATCATCATTATTTTAGGAAAAAAATGCCTAATTATGACATTATTTTTTAATTTAATTCTAAATATGAAAAAAAAAATTGCCAACAGTATATTTTTTTAATTATTTTGTTTAAATTACCCCATCAACAGTTTCGTTGAGTGTTTTGAATTGAATGAAGCTTTTGCTAATTTGGATTTCTTTTACGTGAAAGATGTTTTTTTCTGAGAATTTTGTTGTGTAAGCATTCAGTTACTTATAAGGGTTTATTATGCCCAGCTTAGCACCATCAGAAATCATTAAGGCAGATGAAATGAGAAGTAACGGCCATGCATACAAATCGGCTGCCGTAAGACGTCGTTGATCAGTATCGACCACCCATGGCAGTAACCAACGGTACAGATTGATCATTTCTGTCGTTAGGAGGAGGGTTCAAGTCAGAAAAAGGCGTACTTCGCGACGGGATGACCGTTTTTTACAACTTCGAGTTTTCAGAAAGTCGCGGTTACCTGCTGTTCAAGCCAGAAATAACCTTAAAGACACTCGAGGAGTAAGAGTGACTGAGCCNTACAGGACAAGAGTTTTGTTGGAACAAACTAGATGTGAAATGCTATTGAGCTGCGTCTGCGCATCTCTGAAACAGGACTGACTGGTGTATGGAAACTAGATGTGAGACGCTGTTTGGCTTAGTTAGGATCTCTCTAAAATACGGCCAACGAGAAGCGATACCAAATGTAAACAAACCCAATGTCATGGTCATTTGGAATTGACTTGCCGTCCTCGCTGCCTAGCATGAAGTTATTGACGTAGCTAAATGAAGCTTCGGCGTTCGGCTTAATCCTATTCTGTTGCGCCAGCGCATCTCTGTAACAGTAGCCACTCACCAGTGTACATGATGCCATTCTCTGCATAGCACGAAGTTCTTGACGTAATTAGTTGTCAGGATAAATGCTGAGCGGGAGCCTATTGACACAGCGGTGGTGAAAACAAGATTTGAGATTAGTCCTATTTAGTTGCGCCAGCGCATCTCTGCAACAGCAGCCACTCACCGGTGTACATGTTGCCGTCCTCGCTGCCTAGTACGAAGTTGTTGACGTAACTATACGAAGCTTTAGTGGTGAAAACGAGATTCAAGATTAGTCCTATTTGCCTGCGCATTTCTGCAAGAGGATCCACTGACTGGTGTATGGAAACGAGATGTGAGACACTATTCGGCTGCGCCTGCGCATCTCTTAATTAGGATCTTTCTAAAGCCTGGTCCGTGAGCACGTAGAATTTTGTCCAATGAACCCAAGCTACCCATCCTTATCGCTCGCGCGTAATTATGTTGCGATAAGGATGGGTAGCTTGGGGTCATTGGACAAAATACTACGAGCTCACGGACCAGACTATAAATGAAGCTTCGGCGTTCGGCTTAATACTATTCAGTTGCGCCAGCGTATCCCAACAGCAGCCACTCACCGGTATACATATTGCCGTCCTCGCTGCCCAGCACATAGTTATACGAAGCTTCAATGGTGAAAACTAGTTTCGACATTGTTTTTAATCCACAACGAGGAAGCTCTTGACCTGTATCTCATCTGATGGTAAGTGATGATCAGGAATTTGGCTGCGCATGCGCATTTCTGAAACAGCAGCCACTCACCGGTGTACATATTCCCGTCCTCGCTGCCCAGCACGAAGTTGTTGACGTCCCCGTGCGGGAAGCCCATGCAGGTGACGGCCACGGCCTTGCTCTGGCGGTGCTGCAGCTCCAGCGTCTCTTGCGGCGCGGAGAGCGTGTCCCAACAGCAGCCACTCACCGGTGTACATGTTTCCGTCCTCGCAGCCCAGCACGAAATTATTGACGTGGCTATATGAAGTTTCAGCGGTGAAAACTTGATTTGAGATTAGCCTATTCGCCTGCGCATCTCTAGGGCAAGATAACTCACCGGTGTAGATGTTGCCGTCCTCGCTGCCTAATACGAAGTTGTAACGTAACTATACGAAGCTTCAGTGGTGAAAACGAGATTCAAGATTAGTCCTATTTGCCTGCGCATCTCTGCAACAGGATCCACTGACTGGTGTATGGAAACGAGATGTGAGACACTATTCGGCTGCGCCTACGCATCTCTTAATTAGGATCTTTTCTAAAGCCTGGTCCGTGAGCACGTAGAATTTTGTCCAATGACCCCAAGCTACCCATCGTTATCGCTCGCGCGTAATTATATTGCTGTCGCGACTGTGCGACTGGCACCCGCAGTGAGTGTGCGAGCGCGATAGCAACATAATTACGCGCGAGCGATAAGGATGGGTAGCTAGGGGTTATTGGACAGAATTCTACGAGCTCACGGACCAGACTATAAATGAAGCTTCGGCGTTCGGCTTAATCCTATTCAGTTGCGCCAGCGTATCCCAACAGCAGCCACTCACCGGTGTATGTACATATTGCCGTCCTCGCTGCCCAGCAAGTTATTAACGTAGTTATACGAAGCTTCAATGGTGAAAACTAGTTTCGTCATTTTTTTTAATCCACAACGAGGAAGCTCTTGACCTGTATCAGGCCTGGCTCACTCCGCGCGGTACATCCGATAATTACCTACAGCGAAGCGCCCCGCCGGCGGGTATTATATTAGTCGAGTGTCACGCGCGCGCTCGTCAGGACGCTGGCGTGCGTTGTAGTATGATTATAATTCTATGATCGAAGTATTATTTAAAAATGAAAATAAAGAGAAAGAAAAATTGTGCGGCGTTCGGGTGTTTAAATTCGAAAATAAATCTACCGGATTTATCTTTTTTTTTCGCTTCCCAAAGATGCTGAAAGGTATGTTGGCCATGTAGGTAATCAATAATTCTTAGGATAGTATAGGAACCTAACCTACTATGACTACTGCTCAGAATGCGTTCGTTCGTTTCAGCCAAATGACGTCCACTGCTGGACAAAGGCCTCTCCCAAGGTTTTCCATAATGAATGCATACTTACCTACACACACCGGCAGATTTAGAGGAACGGAAAAAAAAGCATCAATATCATCATTATTTTAGGAAAAAAATGCCTAATTATGACATTATTTTTTAATTTAATTCTAAATATGAAAAAAAAAATTGCCAACAGTATATTTTTTTAATTATTTTGTTTAAATTACCCCATCAACAGTTTCGTTGAGTGTTTTGAATTGAATGAAGCTTTTGCTAATTTGGATTTCTTTTACGTGAAAGATGTTTTTTTCTGAGAATTTTGTTGTGTAAGCATTCAGTTACTTATAAGGGTTTATTATGCCCAGCTTAGCACCGTCAGAAATCATTAAGGCAGATGAAATGAGAAGTAACGGCCATGCATACAAATCGGCTGCCGTAAGACGTCGTTGATCAGTATCGACCACCCATGGCAGTAACCAACGGTACAGATTGATCATTTCTGTCGTTAGGAGGAGGNTTTTTTTGCGTTCCGCTAAATCTGCCGGTGTGTGTATATACGTACCTCGTTACAAATAAGTAGATTAATTATTTTTTCACTAGACAGCAACCCTAACAGCGTAAGAAGAGTTCAGAGGCACGCGATAGAAAGAGACAAAACTTTTAGGTGAATAAAATTGTAGGTACGTAGTGCTGTGCGAGCTGAATTCCACTGTATCGCGTCGTAGCAAGACTCGCATTTATTTAAATCGTCTTGCGGAGTAATCCTTCTGTACCTGTACTATTACTTATTCTGTGCCTGTATCTCATCTGATGGTAAGTGATGATCAGGAATTTGGCTGCGCATGCGCATTTCTGCAACAGCAGCCACTCACCGGTGTACATATTCCCGTCCTCGCTGCCCAGCACGAAGTTTTTGACGTCTCCGTGCGGGAAGCCCATGCAGGTATGTTGCCGTCCTCGCTGCCTAGCATGAAGTTAATGACGTAGCTAAATCCCGGTCCATTGCTGTCGTGACTGTGCGACTGGCACCCGCAGTGAGTGTGCGAGCGCGATAGCAACATAATTACGCGCGAGCGATAAGGATGGGTGGCTTGGGGTCATTGGACAAAATTCTACGAACTCACGGACCAGACTATAAATGAAGCTTCGGCGTTCGGCTTAATCCTATTCAGTTGCGCCAGCGTATCCCATCAGCAGCCACTCACCGGTATACATATTGCCGTCCTCGCTGCCCAGCACAAAGTTATTAACGTAGTTATACGAAGCTTCAATGGTGAAAACTAGTTTCGACATTTTTTTTAATCCACAACGAGGAAGCTCTTGACCTGTATCTCATCTGATGGTAAGTGATGATCAGGAATTTGGCTGCGCATGCGCATTTCTGAAACAGCAGCCACTCACCGGTATACATATTCCCGTCCTCGCTGCCCAGCACGAAGTTGTTGACGTCCCCGTGCGGGAAGCCCATGCAGGTGACGGCCACGGCCTTGCTCTGGCGGTGCTGCAGCTCCAGCGTCTCTTGCGGCGCGGACAGCATGTCCCAACAGCAGCCACTCACCGGTATACATGTTGCCGTCCTCGCAGCCCAGCACGAAATTATTGACGTGGCTATATGAAGTTTCAGCGGTGAAAACTTGATTTGAGATTAGCCTCGCCTGCGCATCACTAGGGCAGGATAACTCACCGGTGTACATGTTGCCGTCCTCGCTGCCTAGCACGAAATTCTTGACGTAACTATACGAAGCTTCAGCGGTGAAAACGAGATTCTAGATTAGTCCTATTTGCCTGCGCACTGCGCATCTCTGCAACAGGATTCACTGACTGGTGTATGGAAACGAGATGTGAGACACTATTCGGCTGCGCCTGCGTATCTCTTAATTAGGATATTTCTAAAGCCTGGTCTGTGAGCACGTAGAATTTTGTCCAATGACCCCAAGCCACCCATTCTTATCGCTCGCGCGTAATTATGTTGTTGTCGCGCTCGCACACTCACTGCGGGCGCCCGTCGCACAGTCGCGACAGCAATATAATTACGCGCGAGCGATAAGGATGGGTAGCTTGGGGTCATTGGACAAAATTCTACGCGCTCACGGACCAGGCTTTACCTCTGTAACATTATGAATGCAATAAATAATTAAGTCTTGAGTATCCTCACCGGTGTACATGTTGCCGTCCTCGCTGCCCAGCACGAAGTTGTTGACGTCTCCGTGCGGGAAGCCCATGCAGGTATGTTGCCGTCCTCGCTGCCTAGCATGAAGTTATTGACGTAGCTAAATGAAGCTTCGGCGTTCGGCTTAATCCTATTCAGTTGCGCCAGCGCATCTCTGTAACAGTAGCCACTCACCAGTGTACATGATGCCATTCTCTGCATAGCTCGAAGTTCTTGACGTAATTAGTTTGTCGTCAGGATTGCTGAGCGGGAGCCTATTGACACAGCGGTGGTGAAAACAAGATTTGAGATCAGTCCTATTTAGTTGCGCCTGCGCATCTCTGCAACAGCAGCCACTCACCGGTGTACATGTTGCCGTCCTCGCTGCCCAGCACGATGTTATTAAGCTATACGAAGCTTCAGTGGTGAAAACGAGATTCAAGATTAGTCCTATTTGCCTGCGCATCTCTGCAACAGGATCCACTGACTGGTGTATGGAAACGAGATGTGAGACACTATTCGGCTGCGCCTGCGTATCTCTTAATTAGGATCTTTCTAAAGCCTGGTCCGTGAGCACGTAGAATTTTGTCCAATGACCCCAAGCTACCCATCCTTATCGCTCGCGCGTAATCATATTGCTGTCGCGACTGTGCGACTGGCACCCGTAGTTAGTGTGCGAGCGCGACAGCAACATAATTACGCGCGAGCGATAAGGATGGGTAGCTAGGGGTCATTGGACAAAATTCTACGAGCTCACGGACCAGACTATAAATGAAGCTTCGGCGTTTGGCTTAGTTCCTATTCAGTTGCGCCAGCGTGTCCCGACAGCAACCACTCACCAGTGTACATGATGTCATTCTCTGCATAGCACGAAGTTCTTGACGTAATTAGTTAGTCGTCAGGATAAATGCTGAGCGGGAGTCTATTGACACCTCGGTGGTGAAAACAAGATTTGAGATTAGTTCTATTCGGCTGCGCCTGCACATCTCTGCAACAGCCAGGGTTCGAAAATATCCGATATTTATTATAAATATCAAAATATCGGATATTTATGATATATATCCGATATATATCAACTTTGATATATATCAATTTTGTATGAAAGCCATAATATTATTTTATTGCATTATTCATGAATACTATGCATATGTGTTACATAAACATGTTTTTAATGTTTTTAAAACTTAAAATCAGACAAATAAAGCAAAAACATAAAATATCTTTGAAATACGGCCAAATCAACTAAAAAAATAAAAATCTTATGTCAAAAAGTACAAATACAGTAACAAATTTTAAAAGTTGATATATATCATCAAAACCGGCTTGATATATATCGGATATATATCCGATATATATCTTGATATATATCCCTTGATATATATCCTCGAACCCTGGCAACAGCAGCCACTCACCGGTGTACATGTTGCCGTCCTCGCTGCCCAGCACGAAGTTATTAAGGTAGCTATACGAAGCTTCAGTGGTGAAAACGAGATTCAAGATTAGTCCGAGAAAAACGAGAATGGAAACGAGATGTGTGACGTTATTCGGCTGCGCCTGCGTATCTCTTAATTAGGATGTTTCTAAAGCCTGGTCCGTGAGCACGTAGAATTTTGTCCAATGACCCCAAGCTACCCATCCTTATCGCTCGCGCGTAATTATGTTGCTGTCGCGCTCGCACACTCACTGCGGGCGCCCGTCGCACAGTCGCGACAGCAATATAATTACACGCGAGCGATAAGGATGGGTAGCTTGGGGTCATTGGACAAAACTCTACGTGCTCACGGACCAGGCTTTAGATGTGAGATGCTATTGAGCTGCGTCTGCGCATCTCTGAAACAGGATCCACTGGCTGGTGTATGGAAACGAGATGACTGTGATGACTCTGTAATATTATGGATGCAATAAACAATTGAGTGTTGGGTATCCTCACCGGTGTACATGTTGCCGTCCTCGCTGCCCAGCACGAAGTTGTTGACGTCTCCGTGTGGGAAGCCCATGCAGGTAACGGCCACGGCCTTGCTCTGGCGGTGCTGCAGCTCCAGCGTCTCTTGCGGCGCGGACAGCATGTCCAGCGACCAAGTGCACATGCGACCGTCGGTGGACACCGAGATGAGGTTGTGCGCGTTCTGGCTGCCTACCACTGAGAGGCAGTATACTGGGTGCTGTAGGTATACGAAGGATGATTAGTATCATGACTAAAATTCCAGCAATATTTCGCAAAGTAACGCAAAATAAAACACCTGTAAAGACACTTGGAAAAGACGGCTTTAGGTCATTAGCACTAACAGTTCATTTCATATCTACTTCAAGAGCACGACCCTCTCCAAATTCTGCGAGTCAAATGGAGTATTTAACCTATTTAAGGTAAATACTAACCCTCTCTCTGATGTTTTGCTATGCCCTTGTAAGGCGTCACATGTATACCTCTATTTTGCAACAACATATAAATTGTAATGTGACATGCAATAAACGTTTGAATTTGAATTTAAATTTACATTCCCCACGCATTTCTAGTCGGGTTGGAGAAGCCTGATATTCCCATACTTGTCCCAAAGTCGCACTACAACCACTGGAAGAGTGGGAGTGGTTCTATTCCACGCTACCACCGCACGTCTTCTATGTACAGTGTGTCCGGGCATGTAGTGATCAAACTTTAAGGGCGTAATCTATTGACAATTTTATCGATGAAAATACTTCAAATTTGGGGCCTGACCCATATCTCGAAAAATTACATCGATTTAAGTTTTTAATTTTTAGTTTACACCTCTTCTTTAAAAAACAAGTGAAAGCGTGGGTAGCTTCACATTAATAGGCAAATATTTTATATCATGCAATAGCCAATAAAATTATCTATTAGTAGAAGAAGAAAGCAGACACAAGTTTCATACATTTTATAGGAGTAAGAATGGATTCAATTAGAAAAATACATTACTTTTTTCAGTTCTTTTTCAGTTATTTTCCAACACAAGAAAAACCAGGTCGTTAAGGTATGTTTTATTTGCATTGTATTTTTAGTATTTGAGCTATTCTACAAAACGAATGTAAATTTATTAGTCTACGTCTATTAGTTTCGACGTAATTGTTGAACAAAGATACCCCTTCCCAGCGGTTTCCATAGCGCACGCGACATGCGAAAATGCACTGCCTGAAAGAATCACACAACCTATTCCGATTACTATGGAAACCGCTGGGAAGGGGTATCTTTGTTCAACAATTACGTCGAAACTAATAGACGTAGACTAATAAATTTACATTCGTTTTGTAGAATAGCTCAAATACTAAAAATACAATGCAAATAAAACATACCTTAACGACCTGGTTTTTCTTGTGTTGGAAAATAACTGAAAAAGAAGTGAAAAAAGTAATGTATTTTTCTAATTAAATCCATTCTTACTCCCATAAAATGTATGAAACTTGTGTCTGCTTCCTTCTTCTACTAATAGATAATTTTATTGGCTATCGCATGATATAAAATATTTGCCTATTAATGTTAAGATACCCACGCTTTCACTTGTTTTTTAAAGAAGAGGTGTAAACTAAAAATTAAAAACTTAAATCGATGTAATTTTTCGAGGAATGGGTCAGGCCCCAAATTTGAAGTATTTTCATCGATAAAATTGTCCATAGATTACGCCCTTAAAGTTTGATCACTACATGCCCGGACACACTGTATATCTGCAAGTCAGCAAGTATTGTTAGCTGTAATAAAAGTAGAATGGAAAAGAATGGGAGTGGTCCTATTCTATTTGGAACCAGAGAGCTGCTACTGCTACTATATCAGCAAATTAGTAAGTACCATTAGATGTAATGACGCAGTTACACTATGCGCAAAATTTATAAACACGCACTTCAGTAGTTTTTCCGTGTGTCGGTGATTTCCCGCTTAGTGTAACTGCCCTATAGTGTAGTACTAGTGGCTGCCCGCGACTTCGTACGCGTGGATCCCATTTTACCCCCTTCATCTATCTTACGCGGTTTAGATTTTTTCATACAAATGTTTTTTCCCGCTAACTTCCGTTCCCGTGGGAATTTTGTAATATCCTATTGTAACTAAGCTTTAAGTTTACTAAGGTACCTGCATGCCAAATTTCAAGCGTCTAACTTAAGCGGTTTAGATTTTTCATAGAAAAGGATTTTCCCGCTAATTCCCGTTGCCGTGGGAATTTCGGGAATTCCTTTCTTAGTGCACCTCTACGGTACCTAAGCTACCGTCCCTTCCAAAACCAGAGGCATATTGAGAATTGGACCAGATGGATTGGAGAAGCCCAATGTTCCTATACTCGTCCCTTAGTCGCCTTTTAAAACCACTAGGAGAGTGGGATTAGTCCTATTCCCCTATGCTGGAACCACACGTCTTCTTATATCTAAGACTGCAAATTAGTAGTAGTACCACAGAATAATGATAAGTACTACGTACAGAAGTTTTACTTCGCGAAGGTATTTAAAAAAAATGTATGCTCAATGTCATTAACAATATAGTGTAAATTCAGCTTGTCTCAACAAGCACCATTTTGTTGACAAACGTCAGTGATTGGTACTGCGCCGAAGCTATAGGGCTGACTTCGGTAAAATGATGTGACGTGAGGTGCCAAACTGCAGAAAATGGCGGAGGAAATACATGATTTAACAAGAATACGTGTTCGTGTCAATGCTCGCTCGTATGTGAGGCCTTGTCGAATAGTAATCCTGTAGGGGGCCATCGTGCGTGTTTGTTTCGATGTAAACTCGCGGAGATGAACAGGCCTGGTAGTACTCGTACGGTACTAGCTAGGTGAAAGTGTATTTACCGTGTGCGCGAGCGAGGACAGCGGCGTGCGCTGTACAGGCGTGCGCTTCTGCACGCGGTTGTCCCACAGCACGATCTGCCCCGAGTACGTGCCGCCCAGGATCAGGTTCGGGTGGAACCTGACGTCAACACAATAAAAATTCATAAATTCATAAAATTCATTTATTTTTGCAAATAGGCTTTAAAAAAGCGCTTTTACACGTCCCAATATTAACCCTACCACTGCTTCGGGACAATAAATGGGCCAGTGCTGAGAAGACAATCATTTATTAATACAGCAGTTGGTGCTTAAAACACTGAAGTAATTTTAATGAATTTTGGTAATGAGTTGACCAAAGTTGCAAAAACGCAACATAATGCGGTCAAATAAGTAACTGGAACACGACGACGACGACGAAATATCGTAAAGGTAGCAGGGAAGCGCTGGACGCAGGCCGCTACCAATCGATCAACGTGGAAAGCATTAGGCGAGGCCTATGTTCAGCAGTGGACGTCCTATGGCTGAAATGATGAAGTAACTGGAAAGGAATTATTGTGAGTTAGTGTGACTTTGAACTTGACGTTGGGTTTTGGGACACTCTGTATAGTTGTTGTGCAGTTGCTGCATGCATTTGTATACAGAGCTGCTGCTTTGCAGTGAAATCTAATTAAGTCTAAATCGCGTCACGTGGTCCTCACCTAGCGAAGGTGGCGCTCATGACGGGCGACTGGCAGTGGAAGATGTCCTCGGGCGTGTTCTTCTTGAACTTGGTGTTCCACACGAGGCACACGCCGTCGCTGTTGTGGCAGGACGCCAGCATGGGCCCGGGTGTGCCTAGTGTGCAGCGTTGCCAGTTTTTTTTTTCGCCAAGTCGGGACTTTGGTACTTTTTGAGTGAAAATAGCGGGATTCTTCCGTCAAAATCGGGACATAGTTAAAAAACGTATAATAATCAAAGGTTTTCAAATATTTATCTTTTTATTTGACTTAAAATTACGTTTACGTGACAATAGATAGCAAAAGTAGCCATAGAAAATGTATTTTTACAAAAAAAAATATTTTAAATCAGTACTACTAGCACGAAAATCTTTCGAGTTCAAATCGTTTGCGTACTCAAATCGCCATCAAAAGATTTAGTACGAAAACTACAACAGCACCCTTGTGGACGTGTCGTAAAGTGAACTTAGTGTAAGAAATGGTTGCAGGAAACTTATTTTAAGAATCAAAATTGTCACGTTATCGTTTAATTCGAAGGTTGAGTATCGAACTTTATCGAATACGCAAACGATTCGAAGACGAAAGTTGTTCATGCTAGAGGTACAGATTTACTCTATCATTAAATTCGTCTTTAGAATAAAAAAAGAAAAAATATCGAAATTAAAAAAGTTTTAGGTATTATTTACAATAATATGGCGTTTCAAACAATAGTCTGGTGAAGTGAGTGTTTCTCTCCGAAAAGCGGGACCGAGCCTGTCCCGCGCGGGACATTTAAATTTGATTAAAAAATCGGGACGTCCCGCCAAAATCGGGACGTCTGGCAACGCTGCTAGTGTGGCACTCACCTAGCGAAGGTGGCGCTCATGACGGGCGACTGGCAGTGGAAGATGTCCTCGGGCGTGTTCTTCTTGAACTTGGTGTTCCACACGAGGCACACGCCGTCGGGGTCGTGCGGCGCGTCGTCGCTGTTGTGGTAGGACGCCAGCATGAGTTCGGGATGAGCCGCGGACCAGTCCAGGCACGTCACGCAACGTCCGCGCGACCAACGCTCGTCGTAGAATGTGCGGACGAGGGATAGGCGAGCGTCGGACTTGTCGTCGCTGGAAAACAAAAGAATATATTATTTCATAGCCTGTAAAGCCTGGTCCGTGAGCACGTAGAATCCCGTCCAATGACCCCAAGCTACCTATCCCTATCACTCGCGCGTAATTATGTTGCTGTCGCGACTGTGCGACGGGCGCCCGCAGTGAGTGTGCGAGCGCGACAGCAATATAATTACGCGCGAGCGATAGGGATGGGTAGCTTGGGGTCATTGGACGGGATTCTACGTGCTCACGGACCAGGCTTTAGCATAGTCAATACTGAATTACGTTTTATAATTTGGAGGAATGGGAATCTATTCTTTTCCGGAATCGATAAGAATGACAAAGCGCAAAAAGCGGCCAGCACACATCGTAGAATGTTGAGCGGGTGACTTGGTCGTCATTGAGGAGACATTGAAGTGTAAGGGTGGGACTTGATGACGCGGCCGGCGCGTCTGATGACTCGCTGGAACTATGTAACTGGAACTATAACTCACAGCGCGTTCTCGGCGTCGCCGCCGCCGGTGTAGTCGGTGTAGATGTCGACGGACTCGGCCAGCGCGCGCTCGATGACGCAGCCGGCGCGTCTGATGACTCGCTGGAACTATGGAACTAGAACTATGACTCACAGCGCGTTCTCGGCGTCGCCGCCGCCGGTGTAGTCGGTGTAGATGTCGACGGACTCGGCCAGCGCGCGCTCGATGACGCGGCCAGCGCGGCTGCTGACCCGCTGAACCTATGGAACTGGAACTATAACTCACAGCGCGTTCTCGGCGTCGCCGCCGCCGGTGTAGTCGGTGTAGATGTCGACGGACTCGGCCAGCGCGCGCTCGATGACGCGGCCGGCGCGGCTGATGAACCGCTGGAACTATGGAACTAGAACTATGACTCACAGCGCGTTCTCGGCGTCGCCGCCGCCGGTGTAGTCGGTGTAGATGTCGACGGACTCGGCCAGCGCGCGCTCGATGACGCGGCCGGCGCGGCTGATGAACCGCTGGAACTCGGCTGACAGCATGATGGTTTGCTTCTCATCCACGCTCAGCTCGCGCACTGGAAAACATTGCTACGTTACGTTCTGCCTCTGTGCGTGTTCAAACTTGGCTTTGAATTTTAACATTTAGAAAGAAAGAAAGAAAGAAAGAAAGAAAGAAAATAATTTTATTTTGACAACAACAGATTCAGGGAACAAAGACATACATAAAAAAGAAAAAAAATTACTTAGTTGCCAAAAAAGGTCACCCATTTATTCCATTTACTCTCAAAGACAGTTACAAACTCTTCCAAATTCCGATTCGCGAGGTAGAAGAAACAGGGGTGGAAGAAGGATTGCGAATAGATGTTTTAGTAAGAGCATTAAAGCAATTTAACTTTTCAATGTAATAACTTAATGTACAGTCACGGAATGAAAAGGTTCGTCAGTTTTCAAATTGATTCCTTCAACGAATCGCGAGCACATATTACCTTTTGAAACTATGTTACAGAATAATCTCGAGTTAGAGAAAATCATCTTTAACTGTTCGTCAGTAAAGTTCAAAATTATTCAGATTAAAGTTGTTTGACGATTTATCTTGTCAAGAAGATTATTATGATTGATAAACTAAAACCTTCTTGTTGGTTCAACCTGCCATTATTATTTCTATTAAATAAAAAAAAACTATTGTCAATTGGTCAATGTCATCATTGCATTGCACTGATGGGATAGAAAAATAAACAAGCAAAACCTTATTCGTTAGCAAACGTCATATTTATTTCGGCCGTTTGGTGTAGTGGTTCAGAACGGACTACTATGCCGAGAGGTCCCGGGTTCGATTCCCGGCCGGGCAGAAATTGAAATGATGAATTTTAATTTCTGTGACGGGTCTGGGTGTTTTCTATGTATAATATGTATGTATTTACAAAAAAAAAAGTATATAAGTATGTTTATCCCGTCGTCTAGTACCCATAGTACAAGCTTTGCTTAGTTTGGGACTAGAGGCGCAGTGTAAAATGTCCAAGGATATTTATTTATTATTATTTATTTATTTAAATGTTAGCAGGACTGTTTCTTGCACTGTTATGTTGGCAGGTTTGACTCTTACAGTACCTAGTGCAAGCGAAAACCGACACTAAGGTGACGAACCTTTTCATTCCGCGACTGTACATCAGAACAGCACATAGGTAGGCTATAAATTAACGAAACCCGCGTAAGGCCCGGTTTCCACCAAAGCGGAGCGAAAAAGTATTTTGAATTACCAATCCGATTTCCTGGATTCCTAAATGAAAAAATCTGATTGGTTATTCAAAACACATTTCCCCTCCGCTCCGTCTAGGTGGAAACCGGGCCAAAACCACAATAAAGTATCAACTATCAACGCACCTTTCTTCTCTTTCTCCTCCTCTTTCTTCTCCACCGGCGCGGCGGTAACAGCCGGCTGCACCTCCTTGACGGTGGGCAGGCCGTGCGGCAGGATGCCGGGCGGCAGTTTGCCGTGGAACGCCGCCTCCTCGTCGTCGCCTTGCCGCGCGCCGTCGCCGTCGAATGTAAGCACTGGACGGTGAATAAGAATGGCCCTTGCCGCGCGCGCGGGAAGCTACAGCCTGTTGCGCACGGCTGATTTACTAAAGAAAGACTGGTTATCTTGACGATATGTTATGTTACTTTACTTTGGTGGAAACAGGCCTCAATTTATGTTGAAAACTGCTGATGCTTGCAATTTCATGTGGTCGAGGCTCCAATCAGAATTATTTACGTTTGCGTAAATCGGCCGTGCGTAATAAAGAATTTAATTACATGAAGTTACTCATTTTCACCTTTAACGGCCAAACTATACACGATGCTCTATTAGAGACAGATATTTGGTTAAATTCTATCCCTTGTAGGGCAATTCATGGATAGATAGAACATTATATTTTGTCACTGAATGAACAACTGAAATGGTAAGGCTCCTGATAAACATTAATTGAAAGGTTTTGAGAACTTCATGAAAATAGATCGTGTAAAATCAATCGTTGCACTATATGATAACTACTTTTGTGCCCTAACTAGATGATTTAGTTCGGTAATACGTAAGCAGTTGGCAAGCTAGTGTCAGATTAAATGGCATGGAGATACAGATCAAAAAATGGATCAGTAGCACTAAAATACGTATTGTAAATGGAAATATTAATGTAAATTGATAGGCTAGCAAATGTAATGCAAAAATTAAAAATCCAAAGATTATTATCACAAGTAGGAATGTATAATGCAACAAACTGCTTACATATTAAGCAAACCATGATAACTACGTGTTCATGGGTGATGATGATCGAGTGTATTAGACTATGGTCGGAAATATTAGCACAACTTAAGCGCGAGGTTTCACATGACACACACGACTGCTGACGAACCGTTGTGGTCTGTCAAGAGAAGAAAGAAACTACTTGCAGGCTGGAATCTTTTCTTATTTTTTTACTAGCCTCATAGCCAGGGTCTAAAGATCAGTATACGTGCTGGTTTATTGGTGATTCGTTTCGCGCTAAATTTGAAACATTCTGTTCAATCTCTGGCCACTGCGATACAAGCATATGCTTAGTGCAGTCTAAAATTGGATCTTTCGGAAATAAATACTTTTTTTAACTTTAATTATGATATTTTCTTTTACTGTTGAAAATATCTGTTTTAATGTCATTAAGAATATTTTGTTTTGTAGGATATCGTAACAACTTGACAGACCACAGCATATTTAATGCAGATGAAGCGAAAGTTTGTATGTAGTGTCAATGTATGATGAGATTGATAGTTACAGTAAAAATCCCAGCATTTAATGGGCTTTAAGGGTTCCGTCGTAACTCGAGAACACTTTAGTCCTACATATTATCACAGGCATTTTGATAGAAGAATTTCAAGAGCATAAATTCTGCGTACAGAGTATTTTCTATGTTTAGCACTTCCTATTTTTTTGTCATTTACTGCGGAACTCTACAGAACCATTTACTGCGTGTGCTTTTTCACGCAATTTAGTTACATGTCTAAGATTTACTATATCAATAAAAACTTTTTTGTTTCAGAGAATTTTCAGATCGACTGTTAACGGAAGTGCTGAAGATGATTAGTGATTACCTACTCAGTTCTTGAATTCAATTTTGCGCAGTTTAAACATTTAAAACAAGACAGAACATCTAGTAATGTTGTTATAATGACTATTAGCGCTCCAAGTGGCCAAATAATCAACTAAATACGAATCACTCAACAGCAAAAGGGCTATCTAATTTTCAAACAGTCAAATCATTAAGCTTTGTATGATCCTAGTTCACTTCTAGCTTAGAAATACAATTGAAAGCAGACATTTAATAAACGATTAAATGAATTAACCGTTTAACTACTTGGCTGTAAACTTAGGCTAGTTCTAAATATGATAAAATGAAAACATCTTTTGTAAAAATCTAGCGAATCTTAGTTCTAAAACACATTAAAACCAATTAATAAAGCGCGTTTAGATGACGACTAATCTACTGTGAGAACTACGTCCATGCAGCGCTGACCGACCGAAGCGGAATCATACCACGTTCTTGTGTACCTTCTATGTTAGCAGCATTAAACGAGAAAGCATTACTGTAACTATACTCTCATGAATCATCATTTCAGTTTTCAGAAGCCGTAATAAAAAGGCAAAATTTAAAAATGAAAATTCAACTCAAAAGCTGTAAGCTACTAACAGCTACGGAAAACTGAACGTTGTGTACGGTTGTCCTACAATTAATAAAAGCAATATCGAAATCTGGTATTACTATGTAACCTTACAGTTAAATCAGCGATGGATTTTAATATCACCTTGAACTCAATCTGGTCTAATCTACAATCATTACTGCGTTTGCAACTCATCACACAAATCATTTAATTAAGCGTCAATTATTAAGTGACAGAAAGCTTCGAATTACTTAAAAAAAATATGCAAAAAATCACAAAACTTCCCGAGCTCTCCACTAGAGAGATACATGTCTCACTATAATAAAAATAAATATAACCATAATAAAATATAACCATTTTCAAATAATTAAAAACAATATGACGGACTTTCATGCAACACATGAAAATAATTTCTGTCACATGCACAATGTCTCAAAACTATAAAATTATAACGGGGCTGACAAGGTCATTTTAGCTCAAATATTAGTCGTATGTAATGCATGAAATAAAATGGTACTTGTCAGGGCTACATTAAATGACTGGACCGTATACAGGCTGTTAGATTATTGTTAAAAGATTCACAAGTTTCAAAATATAAAAACTGTCATCAACCTGTATACGATCCGAATATGTATATTAGATACTGTATGTGCTAGAGTTAAATGTTGTTGTTAGCTATTATACTCATAAATAGCGTTACATATATGAAGAATAAGGTAAGTAACCAAACAAAAACATGCTAAGTGACAGTGGCACAGGCTCTACAAGGGCAAATTTAGTTCAATAATGATTGATTATGTTTCGGATTTGAAACCTACCTGTGAACTCGTCCTCCCACTCTAAACCCGGGTTTAGATTGTACTCATCTTGAAAAAGGGAGGAAAAACAAAAATATGTCAGTATTTTTTGACCATTATATATATAAAAAATATTCAGACTATACATAGATTAGCATATCCACAGTGCTCTCATTTACAGCATGACCTAACGTGGCTCGCTTGTGGAACTTTGGACTTGAAGCAAAGAGTCAAACGACTGCTCGTCAACCATGAGGCCTATTTTTGAATAGTACGAATTACAATTCGCCTAATCATTTGCACAATACATACAGGAATACATATGCAATGTGTGCGAACGCGTGTGCGAAATACAGTTCGAATGATTCAAAAATACGTCTCTACTTTATAGATCACTGAAAAACGCTTTTGCTTTTATCTTGACCATTGGAAAGACGACAGAGACATTGTCGTATATCCACATTTCAAATGAAAGCAAATTAATTTCTCAGCGGTCCTCACAAGTCTACGAGTTCCACCAGTCCCGAGCTGATGTGTTAAGACCTGTGCAGTGTTTGTTAGTAGAATTGGAAGGGTAAGTCAGCGTGAGATGATATGGCGAACCCCATACTACCACCATAAACGATATACACAATATAATTATTATATTTTATAACTTTTATATTATTTTTCTTCTTTTAAAATTTGCGGCCATATCTGCGGGCTTGGGAAGCCCCGTGGAGAACTCTGGAAGGCCACATTATATTTTTTTTATATTAAATGGACATCACAACAAACTAGTATTAATCTGCGTGTCACTCAACCCCCGCAAGTCAAGACAACCTATTCCAGATTTCTTGATAAACAACTGTATGATGTATGATATCGTGACATCTATTTGTCTATGACTATCCATAAATCTAGATTATATTTTATCAAGTAATCTGCGACTAATCGCGCCTAGACCTTGTTAGTAAGAAATAACTAGAAGCGTGAAAGAAAGGATTCTCTATGTACAGGTCTAAACCGATATGAGGGATATATTACAACCGACACCAGTTAATCACGACATGAAAGATAGTTAACGTTAAGAAAACGACAGAAAGCGACCGGGAGGAATAATGACTTACCGTAGTAGTCGGTTGCGTGTGCTAAAAAAGGACAAAAAATAAAAACATTACGTCAGTCAACAATTGTGATTCAGCGACGTGTATACATAGGAGACTGCTAATAATATTGTCTTAATAAAAATCCCAAATGAAGATCTCTTTTCAAATATAAATTATATTTACACAGATACTTATTATACCCACATACAATAAAACAAACGGAGTGATATTAACAATGAGGTTTTGTTATTTATTCTCATGAGCCCATGCGAATGTTTCTCGTGTGCGTTAATAATGAAACATGCTTGGACCAATCAATGAATCCAAAATTTCAACCCCACGTAAATTAATAAGTGTTTGTTATTTAAAAAAACGCATGCATTTTTATATTTTAATGCCTAGCCAAACCTGTCAGACATTTTCACACTAACATTTAGACTTTTATACATTTTTATGTATGAATAGACTAGAATGAAATAAACTATTAAATAAACAATTTTCTCTTTTTAACACGGATTGGCTAAGCATTTTGAAATGATTGTCCTTCAGATTAATAAAAAGTTTTAATGTGATTTTATGATATGGACAAAATTTTGATGGCTACCACGAACAAAGTACGAAATGGTGAACCATATCAGCTTTTTGTGTAAACATAAATATAATTTAAAATGAAATTAATGAATGAACTTATTTTTTTCGAAGTCAAAAACACGCATAACAAAAGAATAAATCATAAAAGATAAATAAAACAAAAAGGAAACGGAATAAATTGAAATAAGGACGTCATAAAACAATTGAACAATTTAGCATCTATTTTTTAAGCTGTACCTTGTTCGTGGTCGCAAAAAACATCGATATAAATAAGTTAATGAGTTGTTTTACCTTTGCGCGGCCGCCACCAGTCCTCCATGTATCCTGCAAGCGGTGAGGCATTGGAAGAGCAGCCTTTTTTATGGTAGCACGAACACAAACATTGCACCGAAACTCATACAGTATTTACTTTTGTTATTCGATCGTGAGGTGGACAGCACGAAGTGAGAGACAGCACGGTATAAGCTGACAGAAACTAAACTTCGCATCTAAGGAGACTGCGGCCTGAATCGAATGAATGTAGCGTGTTTCTTTTTATTGGATAGCTCCAAATATCCTGATATTCCTGATGTTTTTTTATTTTATTATTACGCTCGGAAAAGTAAATCAATAATCCGTTGGGGCGCCTTCAAATTAGAGGCCCGAAAAAGCGCTGCAGTGGCGCCACAATTTTCAGAAGCGCACAACGCGCGAAAACTATTTCGTAACAGCAAGATAGAAAGATATTGTGCTGTGAAGCTTACTAATTTTCTTTTTCTTTTTAATAAAGAAGTAGGAGAAGCAAAAAAGTAATGGTATTATCTAAACTATCACAAGGAAAGGAAACACGCTGTATATTTTTAAATGTTTTTTTTTAATGTTGTGTGTGAAGTTAGTTGTGTTAGTCAATTCAGGCAACAAGCCGAAGGCCAAATAAAATAAAACGTGAATGAAAAGTAAATACTGCAATAACTACAGATGTCGTTGGTTACAATGAGTCAAATCATTTGCAAATCACACTGAGAACTCTATTTCATTAGAATATTTTATATCAAATAAAATCCACACATGATCATGTTACTTTGAAATTGTAAACTTATTTTGATTGATTTTCAATAGTTTTATGATAGTGATGGTTCAGATATTGTTTAAGTTAGAAAAAATGTTAGACACATGTTTTTGTAAACAATATCCAATCCACATAGTTTGCAAATGACACGGTTAACCAGCACCCAGACATCACAGTTAATCACGAGGTTATAAACTTCACAGTGTAAATGCAAATTCTCAAATCATAAAGAAAAAGAACACAAAAACATACAATAATATATGTGATTGTCGAAATATAAGTCTGGAAAACAATAAAATTCTACATAAGATAAAAATATAATAAATTAGTTCCACACATTAAAACAGACAGTGCATATAATTTAAGTTATAATATTGTTAACCATAAGATTTGTAACCAAATTTTTCAATATTATGAGAATTTGCACAATCATTTTATTTTATTAAATTGCAAAGGGGATGGTCAATTCTATAAATCCACAAAAGGACATTCTCTCTTTTTACAAATGTTTACAGTCTTTGTTTAAACCAGAAAGGAACTTGGATTTTACATGCATAGGTGCATTGTAAGAAACCAAAGAGATCAAAAATCTAAAACATAAGAGAAGATTATACTTTTAACAGCAGGAATACTTTTAAATCTAAATAAGGAGCATGTAGAATAACCCAAGTTCCTGTCAGTTTTAAGTTCATTATTGTATTGACATGTTAAAATCATCTGGTATTTAAATCCCAATTTTTTAACATTGTTTAATGAGAAATATTTCATTGAAATTCTAAGGTAGTAATAAAATTCAAACTTACCATCTCTGAGCTCGGTGACACCGGAGGCAGTGGTCTGAGTCTGCTTGGCGTACGTGACATTCTCTTTAGGAGGAATGTCCGTGGACTGGACCGACACAACTTGCAACAGGTTGGGCTTCTTCACACCACTGTAAAAGACATGTTGAAAGTTGACAAAACCTACCAAACCAAACCTACAAACAAACGTGTACGTATAATTTACTAGATTTCCGCCCGCTGCATAGCCCGCGTGACATTTTGTCCGTCACAGAAAAACTTTACCGCGCGTGTTCCTGTTTCAAAAACCGGGATAAAAACTATCCTTTGTTCTTTCACGGGACTCACAGTATCTCTCATCAAAATCGGTTCAGTGGTTTAGGCGTGAAAGCCACATAAGACGGACAGACAGAGTTACTTTCGCATTCATCCCTAGGGCTCCATATCAAAATAATGCCAACTCTAACAATAGTCCTCAATGGAGCGCTCGAAATCTGAAGGAACTACTAGTGTTTAAAATACTGAACCATGCGACAGCAGGCTGGACGACAGCTCCTCCGGACTCCGACGACAGCATCTCGTCCAGCGGGGTTACTCCGAAAAACGTTATCCGAACTTTCGAATGTTGCTATCCCTCTTACGCAAAGCGATATGCCAGCGCGAGCGACGGTAACAGATAGACCCGAAAGAACGTAAACGGTGTTTCGGAGTAGCCCCGCAGGTCCCGGCGGCTGGATGCGGCCGATGCTCTTTGCTGAAGAAACAAAGTACTGACCCATGCGACGGCAGGCTGGACTTATCGGTGTGCGGCAGGCTGGCGTCAGGCGAGGCGGCGTCAGTGACGTCATGGAGGACAGCGACGACAGCACGTCCTTGACTGGAGCCACTCCCAGCGACGACAGCATCTCGTCCAGGTCGCGGCGGCTGTCCAGGCTGGATGCAGCCGATGCTCTTTGCTGAAGAAACAAAGTACTGACCCATGCGACGGCAGGCTGGACTTATCGGTGTGCGGCAGGCTGGCGTCGGGCGAGGCGGTCTGCGGCGGCGTCAGTGACGTCATGGAGGACAGCGACGACAGCACATCCTTGACTGGAGCCACTCCCAGCGAGGACAGCATCTCGTCCAGGTCGCGGCGGCTGTCCAGGCTGGATGCGGCCGATGCTCTTTGCTGAAGAAACAAATAAAAATGAATCATATTTTTTTTGAGAAAGGTACTGCAAAAGCAAAATACCTAGTAAGATTATTACATTGAGGACACGTAATAAGATTATTATATAAAGGATTATAGATTTACAAAGTGGTTTCAGTTTAAATTGTATATTTTTATTTTATTTTATTTGTTTAACAATGTTTCATAGCATAACAAAATTAAATGTTTAATGTAACATTTATTTAATTTTATACATGTGTGAATGAAAGTTTTGTATTTATAGTTGATGCAAGTTAATAAGCAATTAAGCAGCTGCATATGTTACTGATATAAGCTATACCAATATTATTACGATTTAAAAATATTGAATCATTTTTTAGCTGATCATTTATTTAGATTACTAACAAAAAGTTAAAAACATTTCACATCCCCAGTAGAGTGCTTGGATGCAATCAGTACAGAACCAATCGTGGTAATCCTTTGACCAGCAGTGGATGTCATTTGACTGAAATAAGCGAATTAATTAAATGTATACTTTCATTCTCTTCGGTCCAACTAATACATTTATTTGGACTTGTAGGGATAGGGTAAGTGAATTGTTGTAATAAGATTGAGTGAAACTGTCTTTTGTTTGTAAGCCCGTTTTTTTTGTTATTTCTTTGTTATTTAAATGCTGTGCCTGGCTCTAATCGGAGTTCAGACTTAATATTGTGCTATGTTGTTGTGTTAATTGTATTGTTATTGTTTGTTCTCTGTAGCTGTGCCTTATATAAATAAATAAATAAATTCATTTCTCATACTTACCAAGGCCTCTTCTGCATCTTTCTGTTCTTTTTCCCTCCGACGGCGGTCCTTCTCTTCGCGGAGAGCCTGGAGCTTGGCCTTCTTGCGCTCCAGCTCTGCCTTTCTGTCTGACATGCTTGACATGGTTGCTTCTGCAAATCGTGTGTAAATTATGATCAATAAATATTATAAATACCTACTAAGAATATTAAAACATTAAAGTTAGATTTTGTCTCGTCAATGTTTACATATTAATATAATATTACACTGATAATGCAAGGAATTCAGTTTTCAATTGCATTTGTTTGTCAGAGTAAATAAACAACAAAAAGATGTATTTTTCCAAAGTGAGCAGGTAGGAAACTAAAATAAACAATAACTTTATCAAACTCCAGCTGATTTGTGTGATTTTGACATAGCTGGGCACCGTTAATCAAATAGTTAACTTCGTTAATCGTTAAACCGTTAATAAAAAAATTAACTTCGTTAAACGTTAAAAAGTTACATTTCGCAAGATTTAACGCAAGTTAACGTTAATCGTTAATCCGTTAACACATGATAATAAAAAGAAAAAAAGAATTGTATGCAAGGTTCAAATAATTTCGAAAGCTTGTATCGCGCATGGAATTTATTCCTCTTTATGTTTGCGCTACAAGCTTTCGAAATTATTTGAACCTTGCATACAATTCTTTTTTTCGTTTTAGTACAACTGCATTTCAGAATAAATGCTTGTTTTTAAAAAAGTTTTTTAAATATTATAATTTTATTTTACACTTTTTAGTAGTATCTCAATCTCAGAGCCTTGGTTCAATTACAATACAATTTAGCACCAAAATGCTCGAAAAGACAAATCCAGCAATAACACAAACTTGATAAGTTTCCACCGTTTCGTTTAGGAATTCCTATGGCCACCTCCTGACTCCATCATCAGGACCCTGGACATCATCTAGTAGTAAAGTGCTCGAAAAGGCAAATCCAACGAACCCAAATTCGATGCGATGCCACCGTTTCATTTAGGAGTTCCTATGGTCACCTCATGACTCCATCATCAGACCAGCTCAATGGTACCATAACATTGCATTGTCATCGTACTTACATAAGATACCAAATTTCAGCTCAATCGGTTGAGGAAAACTGGTCTTAAATTCAGTTGCAAGAGTTGTCCCACACATACTAACAAGTGTCGTTAGTGATCTGGTTACAAAAAATTGTTGTTTCGGGTTCTGGAAGTTCTGGAAGCCCGAACGTACTTGTCAGAACGCGTTTTTCAGCGTCTTTTTGGTAAATAGTAGGTACTGGATTAACGATTAACGGACTTAGGATAATTTAACGGAAGTTAACGAGTCCGTTAACATTTTTTAAAGTTAACTTAAAAGTTAATCCGTTAAGAGAAATGTTAACTTCGTTAATTAACGATTAACGGATTAACGAGTTAATGCCCAGCTATGGATTTTGAATAGTTTATACTTTATGGCACAAGGTAATCTTTGAAATCATTTGAATCGAAAGGAAATAACAATAATTAGAAAAACAAATATTACGGGCGGAGCCGAGCGCACCGCGAGCAAAGGCTTCGCCATCGCCAATAAGAAATAACCAACTTTGTTTTAGCTTGTAGTATTATTAATAATATTTAAAACTGCAACACACCTGTGATGGAATAATAAATTGATTTGATTGTTCCTTACATGGAAGATGTCAAGAATGTATGCGATGCGATGTCTTCCAGTCTGATGTCATCATTTCACTGATCGATTTATGATTCACATTATTATAATTCACTTTATTTATGCATCTTAGTACTCACCTATTTCTGTGTAAGATGTTACAAAAACATTTCACATCCTCAAGAACACCAGCAGAACGTGGCAGAAAATATACTTAAGGATAACGGGAATTAGGAGAGGTAATCGACAGGAACTTTAACAGGAGTTTGAAGAATTTACGAAATACACTTTATGTGATTCTATTACAGTTAGTTCGTGGCAGATTTGTGCCAATATAGTTTCAGAAAAACTTGGAAAACTGGAGAAAGTCGAAGCAGGTACACAATCAATCAATTGGACATTTCCTTTTGTAAAAAAAAAATAATGGAAGTTGGAAGAAAATTACGGTGTTGCTAGGTTGCTACCACTAGTTTTTGATCATTTCTACTCAATCAATTAAAAGCGCCCTATAATTCTAAAAATCAAAACAAAGCCAAAACTTGAGGTACCTACCCTTTGCTGATTTTTTCACTCTCGTTTCATTTCATTTTGTTTTTGTTCGTTAAGTTTTAATAAATTCTACCAAATCGTCTAATAGTTTTAACATGGAAACACTTGTTACGAAAACGTTCAAAAGTCTACAAAATATTTTTTACGCTTATTTTTAGATTTTAAATTACGCATTAAATTTCATTTACGTGCACATTTTTAATATTGCATTAAACTTGTTATTAATAACTTTATTTTTTTAAGATAGTATAATTTATACAATATGATAAATGAAAATAAAGCAAATAAATATTTTTGCACCAATTGGAACATATTTTGGTATTTGAGCAGATTTTTATGACGGCTGTTTTCCTTGAAAAAGTCAAGTTTTAAATTTCGGTATACTTATTTGTGATTGGCTGCTAATTCCATGACTTTTCTATCAACCAATGCTATTTCGTTAATCTGACAGTTGTAAAATTTCCATTTGAATATTCGTTGAAAAAAACAGACTTTAATAGGGTGTTGTCCGGCTTGATGAGTTTTGTGACAACGCTAACGTAATGATCAAACAATTTTATTAATTTTCTGACTGATTCGGTTGTTTCTGTTTCTTGCTTTTGGTTGAAACAATAATGAAATTATGATGAGTAATTTTGTGTGTTATTTAGTTGTGTTGCTTTGCTATGGCACTTCAAATCTATATGCAGGTTAGTTGTACGTTATTTATTTCAATTTTTGAAGTAATTTCTGGCTGTATTTTGTACTTCTCTCAGTTGGAATTTTACTTATTGAAGAATTAATTATATTTTCTGTGTCATGGACTAAGTTAGAGTATTCTTTTTTAGCGTCATAATATGTGTTGATCAAAAGACTCACAAGTTCACAAGTACTTTTTCTGAAATTAAGAATGTTACGGTGTTAGCGTCGTAACCAAGGGTACCCTTGGTTTCTATTGTCATTATTCCCATTCCTATCTCTCCATATAGTAATCACAAAATACTTAAGTTACTGAATTTAATAGAAGGAAGTGGAGATCAGCATGATAGTTTCTGTTATTATGACANAGACATCATTATAAATTTTATGATTACAGACTCCGTAAGATACTATTTCGACTATGAATGCAACGAGCCACTGGTAGCAAATGCTAAGTTGACCGCCACATCCAGTCTCAGGGACAGAGGGCCAGAAAATGCTAAACTGTATGGTAAGTTGTGTTCATTTGTTACACAAATAGTTTGGTAAAGTTTCTTGTACACAGTTGAGCTTAATGGCAAAATATTTTTCACTTTTTAATTTGCAATTTCAGTAAACTTTTTCATGTCCAAAGTTTAACTTTGTTTGGTAAAACTTTAGTCCAAATCATAAGAGAAATAACTACAAGCTCAAACTCTTGGACATTAAAAAGAAAGTCAATTTGCGTTTGTATTAGATTGTAAATAAGTTTTTGACTTGCATGTAAATAGAATTATGACAGTGTTTTCTATAGTTGCTAGAATTTTGCTGTCTAGAAGCTTCTAGGTGTGTCAAAATAATTTAGTGCTTTTGCACAAAATGTTTATAAAAAAATATGGAGGGATTATAAATGAGGAATTAATGCTGTTAATTAATTCCTCAACAGGTCCACAAAGTATCTAATAAAGTGAGCATTTGGACCATAAGTAATATTTGGAGACATAATCTCTTTACTAGAATAAAAAACTTCAAAATGCAGAAAGCATACAACGTAAGATGGGCATTTAATGCTTCAGCATGGAAGCCAAACGAACAAGACATCCTCCTGGCTTCAAGCTGTGTACAGCCTGAAGAAAAACAGAGAATATCAAGGTTTTTCTTCCAAGATGATGCTAAATCATCTCTGATTGGTCGCCTTATGATGAGGAAGTTTGTGCATTTGTCTACTTCAATACCATATGAGGATATTAAACTGGGCAGAGATGGCCATGGGAAGCCTTATCTAATGGGTGCAGGAGAAATGCCATTGAGCTTCAATGTGTCACATCAAAGTGACTATGTGGTGTTGGCTGGCTGTGTCGATCATAATGTTGGTGTTGACATCATGAGAATAGAGCCACCAACCAACAAAGATGTTCCAGAGTTCTTTCGTTTGATGAATAAACAATTCTCCCACCAAGAGTGGAAAACTATTAAAAGTTTTACAACAGAGATGGAGCAAGTTGCGTGTTTTTATCGCCTGTGGTGCCTGAAAGAGAGTTACGTGAAGAACACAGGTTTTGGCATTACTGTTCCCCTTCACGAAATAAGTTTTGATGTGAAGACAATGAAGTTAGAAGTTGGGAAGTTTGTTAAGGATACAACTTTATATGTGAGGGGGATTTTGAAGCAAGATTGGGTGTTTGAGGAGACATTACTGGATGAATCACATGCTGTTGCAGTGTCTATTCAAATGGGGAAGGATCCTGAGCTTCCCGTTGTACCCTTTACACACCTGACCTTTGAAGATATCATCAAGGAAAATAAACCCTTACATGAAAGTGACTCAGACTTTAGCAGAGACTTTATGAAGAAGAAGTTTAAATACTGATAGAAAAGTGTTTAATTTAAGAAATACTACATTTTATTTTATTATTACAAATGGGATAATNGGAATAATGGGGTTTTTAGTTGTTGTTAAGTGTTGTGGCGCGGCTGGGATGTTTCGATGTTTCTAGGCTTAAGCTATTCACACAAGCATTGTCATAGGCATGTTTGAGAAATAAACAGTAAAACCGAACCGACCATTCATTTCCGCTAACATACCATCAGAGTACTAACACGTCGCTGTGCCGCTGGCAAAGCCTTGAATGTGAGTTTCGGTGTAAGGTTTGAACGCGTGGACGGCGTCGGAGAACGACTTCGACCAGCAGTTCGTCATCGACTTCGGGTCGGTGAAGAACATCACTCGCATCGCCACGCAGGGCCGTGCGCACTCGCGCGAGTATGTGCAGGAATACCGCATCAGCTACGGGTCGAACGGACTCGATTATGTGCAGTACAAGGCGGCGGAAGGCGAAGTCAAGGTAAAGTCGACGCTATAGGGACGTAACAAGGTTCAGGTTCTTTTCAGGGTGTGTAAACTCTGAAATGAGCTTAGGTGAAGGGTGGTGATGGCTTGGGCTTGTAGGCAGACTTGCACGTTTTGGCAGTAGTGTGCTTCACGCTTTGTAGATAGATTGGGGATTCACGGGTTATCAGTTCAATATCTATTAATAACCGTGGACTATTAATACATAATCATTAAGCTTCATAAAAAACTAATGATTACAAAATAGTTTTTTATATTGTCATATCCACACACTATTCATTTGAAATCTCATTCCATTAGTATATTATTTTATTTTATCAAAATCCTACCTTGATTTCTAAAGTAAGTAAATTATGTAAGTAATTAGAAATCTACTTTGCAAAATCCATTGTTAAATTATTGAACAAAGCACTGATCGATAATGCTCCCATTTCAATAGAATTACAAATATTTATATAAATACCTTTTAAATACTATCACTACTAAAATATAATTTTTGGTACTTGATCAATAACAAGTTTTCTCTACTAATTCACAAGGTGGTTCAAGTCTACTTATACAAAGCAGCTTACGATTATTTGTGTCGTCAAGTCAATTGCATTATGTTGATATGTTCATAGCTTCTTGTTTGTGTTTCTGAAAAGACTGAATAAAGTTCATTTTTCAAATATTTAATTTAAAGTTGGGCTGAAAAGAATACCCACTGATAATTATTTGTTCCCACTAAATCTTAAGGGATTTGAAAGTCACACTGTATTTTTCTATTATTATTCAATTTAATTTGATTCTCGTAAAATTATAACTCAACAACTTGACGACACAAATACTCAATACCCAGTAGATTCGGACTAACTGTACAGCACTAACTAACAATAACGGTGAAGGGACCTCAAGCTGGACGTCGCAAGAGAGCTCGTACTACCAGCACCTGACCATAAACCTGCGCAAACGCATGGAGCTTCGCGGAATCGTCACCAGGGGGCGCTACGCTACCGACGAATACGTCACGGAGTATATGCTCCAGTATTCTGACAATGGCGAGAGCTGGCGAGCTATACCTACCGCCGATGGATATACACAGGTCTGTATTATTCCAAGGAGATATCAAAATGACTGGCTTTTTTAATCATCATCATCATTTCAGCCATAGGACGTCCACTGCTGAACATAGGCCTCCCCCAATGATTTCCACAATGGCTGGTTGGTGGCGCCCTGCATCCAGCGCCTTCCTGCTACCTTTATGACATTTTTTATTATAAAAGTCAATTATTTCTTGGAATTAGGCACTTTTACACGTCCCAGTTAGACCCTACTACTGGGGTCAATAAAGAGGGCAGGTGCTGAGAAGAAGCAGCGCAAGGAACTCGGTCACTATTGTCAGACTCCTTTTCAAATGCTTACAAAAGTGTTTTGTAATGTGAGTTAGGCTAATCTTTCTCACTTTTTGTATTTGACTGTCTTTGGCTAACACCCTGTATCTCATTCATAAAGCCGCCGACGAAGCTGAATATGGTTTTGTAATTTGTTTTACCAAGTCCATTCCAATTTACTGTCTAAATGTGTGGGGTTGCAAATGCACCCCACCCCTTCCCCTTTTGTTGTTGTAGACCGAAGTGAAGGGATTAAAAGGAGATTAGCGGCTATTCGACCCTTAAGTAGGTCAACGTTAACCAGTTGCATTGTGTTAAAATTGTTATACTGAGTTACTGGTTGACCAAGATTGAAAATAGTTGCTTTTTCGAAGTATAATAAATCAAATATTCATCCAGATTCACTAGAATAAATTTGATTTATAGTGTACTGTATAAACTGTATTATGCTTCCTGTTGAAGTGATCGCAAACATTTTTCTTGCTGCCATAAATAGCAGTCGTAAAATCTTCATTTGTAAACAGATATCGGCAAGATATTTGTTTACATCGATCCGTGTTGAATCTGACGGTAAACAGACCAAACATCTAATTTTCCTTCGAGATGATCACAGATTAAGAGTAGGCGCACACCGTTGATTTTTAGTTGGCCGATAGTTGTGCCCGATTTTAATTTGTATGAAGAATCGGCCAAATCGAATCGGCGTAGTGTGCGCACTCCCATACATGCCCATACTGATCAACTGCCCGACTAAACTATCGGCCGACGAAAAATCAACGGTGTGCGCCTACTCTACCTCAACAACAGATAATGTTGAATAAGATTTGTTTACTGAAAGTTCAAAGCTTCTTTTATTACCTCTGCTAATGCAATGCAATGAGACAGTCTTTATGTCATGAATCATAATCAATCTGAAGGATAGATGATCCAAATTGCAAAATATCATAAATTACAAAGATGCCACTGTTTTGAGGGCCTTATAATATTAGCAAAGTACCTAATTCTCATTTACTTGGACCATGTCCACAGATGTTCGAAGGCAATCAGGACGGCAACACAGAACACAAGAACGAGTTCGAAGTGCCGATCATAGCGCAGTACTTACGCGTCAACCCCATGCGATGGCGCGACAAGATTTCGATGAGGGTGGAGGTCTATGGATGCGATTATGGTACGTATTTCGTTAACAATACAGCTTACATTTGCTTAGTGTTTTTAGCGCGTGGTCAATGAAAGCTCTGTTCACTTAATCTTATCAAATAAACTGGTATCTATAGTTAACAGGCTCTGCTGTCCAATGTCTTTTAAATGTAAGATTTTAAACTTTCGCGTTCCATTTCAATTAAAATAGTAAGACACGGGTCTTAACGCGACGTTTATTAATGAGTTACATTATGTACTCACGGCTTGACGTTTCGGCTACGATGACGACGCCGCGAACCGCCAGTGTGCTTGTGACCACGGCTGCAGACCCGTGTCTTACTATTTTAGTCTCTTAAATGTTTTGGTCTATAGTTATCAGATGGGTCCAGTCAAAGGGATATTCCGATAGCATTGTAACTTTCGGAATTCCTATACCCTGTGGGGCAAAAATGTAGTACAAATTACGTTTTATTTTCCAGTCGCCGATACCCTCTACTTCAACGGCACATCGCTCATCAAAGTCGACCTCCTCCGGGACCCTATCTCAGCGTCACGAGAGGTGGTGCGGTTCCGATTCAAGACCAGTACCGCGTCAGGGGCCTTGCTTTACTCTAGAGGCACGCAGGGCGACTATATTGCGTTGCAACTGAGAGATAATAGGCTGGTGCTGAATATAGACTTAGGTCAGTAAAGTACTCTGTACCCTTTTTTTTTTCCAGAAAGTTTTATAAATATGGACAGGAGGCGTTTCTGCAATGACTTCAAGGAATGCAAATCGCAATAGACGCGCTGCCGAGAATTTCATACTATGTGACAGCGGATGCATGCCTTCACATTATAAAAACGCTGCTGCCGCGCTGCTGTTGCGCTTCTAACGCCCTAATGTGAAAGTGCTCTAATTAAGCTATATATTTTGGCATATTACGTTTTATAGATACAACAAAATATTTTGATGAATGTGCTGTCGGCTACAGGGGACACGGCCAGGTGAGTTGTAACAGAAAAGACTTGATATTGTCTATTTTTGAAAAACTATAACTATCGCAACAGCGCATTTGTTAGCTCGAGACTTGAACTTAAATACGCGTACTGTTACGAGCTCGTTAGTAGTTGATAAGTTCCAAAAAATTTACAATGTCACAATTTATTGTCTTCTGTTACAACCCACTTCGGTCTCCCCTACCAACCAATGTAAAGTCCTAAATGGATATTGATTTAATTTTCTTCCTCCAGGTTCCGGCACCCCCACTTCAATGGCGGTGGGCAGCCTCCTCGACGACAACATCTGGCACGACGTGGTGATCTCCCGCAACAGGAGGGAAGTCCTGTTCTCTGTCGACCGAGTGGTCGTGCAGGACCGCATTAAGGGCGAGTTCTCGAGGCTTAATTTGAATCGCGCGGTAAGTGTCCCAGTAGGCCTAGTATGTGCGCCGTGATGAACTTTTATCGCGCTATCTAGTTTATCGATTTTACGCGATAAGCCCATACGTTTGTCGACTAAAATCAATGATAAGATTTTATCACTTCGCAAATAGCAGGCACATTTAGCAAATAGAAAGATATTAGGAATCTTGTCAGATTGATAACTTGTAGAAACAAATTGGTGATTTTGGTGATTCTTGTAATTATAAACGTTTAACTGTCAAATATGTTGTAAGATATATTATTATGAGCTTTTGAGAGAACCTTCGGTAAAATGATGCTCTCTACAACTCGCTCGAGCTATTAATTTATATTTATATATTGAAAATATTTTTTGTTTCCACACTAGCTTTGCTGGTGAGATAAGCTGAGCTGTAACTATTTTAACATCTACCTTGTTGTATTACCTTGTCTCGGTGAATAAATGATCTTTTTTTTTTTCGTTTAGTTCTACATCGGCGGCGTGCCCAACTTCCAAGACGGCTTAGTGGTGACCCAGAACTTCACGGGCTGCATCGAGAACTTGTACCTCAACGCCACCAACGTCATCCAGCAGGTCAAGGGCGGGCTCGAGGCCGGCGAGCCCTTCAAGTACCAGAAGGTCAACACGCTCTACGCCTGCCCGGTCAGTACACGTATACGCTATGGCTGGTTTTAGTGTCACCAGGCCTGTTCATCTCTGCGAGTTTACATCGAAAACAAAACACGCACGATGCCCACCTACAGGATACTATTCGACAAGGCCTCACATACGAGCGAACATTGACTCACGCACGCGTATTCTTGTGTATGATGGAAGAAACTAAAATAAAATGGTGTACTAAATACTGTGCAGTATTTAACTGCCTAAATAATAATAAAAACTCAGAATGTACTTTTTTAAGTTGCCTGAAGACACTGAGAGGTAAATAAGTAGTTAATATTATTCATGATAATTCTTGCTACATCATGTATTTCCTCCGCCATTTTCCGCAGTTTGGCACCTCACGTCACATTATTTTACCGAAGTCAGCCCTATAGCTTCGGCGCAGTGCCGATCACTGACGTTTGTCAACAAAATGGTGCTTGACTCTTGAGACAGGCTAAATTACACCATATTGTTAATGACATTGAGCATACATTTTTTAAATACCTTCGCGAAGTAAAACTTCTGTACGTAGTACTTATTATTATTCTGTGGTGTCACGCGGACCGTCCGGTGCGGACCCGCTTCGCACGGCCGATCTGTATGAACTTCTAGGGAGCGTTTTAGAGTAATGCGGTCCGGAGGAACCGCTCGCTCCCTAAAGCCCGGTCTGTGAGCACGTAGAATTTTGTCCAATGACCCCAAACTATCCACCCTTATCGCTCGCGCGTAATTATATTGCTGTCGCGACTGTGCGACGGGCGCCCGCAGTGAGTGTGCGAGCGCGACAGCGACATAATTACGCGCGAGCGATAAGGATGGGTAGCTTGGGGTCATTGGACAAAATTCTACGTGCTCGCAGACCAGACTATAGCAGTTCATACTGATCGGCTGTACGGAGCGATCCGCACTAACAGTCCGCGTGACACTAAAACCAACCTATACGTATACGCCCGTATTCACCAACGATGCTTGCTTAAGTGAAGCAGCAAATCGAATGCACAGTGTTGAATAAAGCTGTGATTGGTTCGTGTGTCACCCTGTGCGTTCACGCGCACTGTGAGATCTTATTGTGAATATGGGCGTAATAGTTATAATTCAATATCCTCGTATTTTACCTGGATTACATTACATCTGGATGCAGGGAAGGATCGGTTGATGTGGTGGTAGAATCTGTAGAGCCCTTTGTCCAGTCTTCCAGCTGAAAAAAGAAACAAGAAGAATATTTTACTTTGCATGGTATTATTGTTAATAATAATGGCTGAATTGGTGATCATATTTTGTTATTTTCGATATTCTGTACACCCCATTCAAAGAAATATTTATATTCTATTTTATTCTCAATGCTATATGTTAGTTTTCAAACTAAACAAAGAATGCTTAAAACGGGCATAACACACGTTAATCCAAGATTATGAACTTTTACAGTTTAGAACTTGAACCACCTAGTCTGGCGACTGTCAATTTGCTCAAAATTCTCTTCAATATCACGAGATTTCGATGTAGTTAATTTAAATTATATTGGTGGTACACATCGCGGCAAACGTTACTGTGAATCGATATTCGCATTCCAGTTTAAAGCCGCGAACGAACTGTCCCCCCGCAACTATGCCGCCAGACTTTTTGGATCTTGTCATTGCATTTCAATACCCATATAGTAGACCATTATGAAGAACTTGAATTTGACTGTTATTCATTTGTAATGTACCCAAATTTATGCACAATAAATTATTTTGCTTTTGATTTGATTTGTTTCCAGGAGCCAATAATAGTACCCGTAACGTTCCTGAAGGAAGGCTCGTACGCGAAACTACGTGGGTATTCCGGCGCCAACACGCTCAATATCTCGCTGGAGTTCCGCACCTACGAAAACCACGGCCTGCTCATCTACCACAAGTTCAAGACCGAGGGCCACGTCAAGGTTAGATATACTGTTGTAAAATATAGTCTATTACAACTGCATAAGGTGTGTTTCGTCATAGTCTCGGGATTGAAGCACTCGCGTAGTACTCGATTCGCCTGAAGCGATGACGGCGATCGGCGGTCACGTGGCCATAGTTGAGGCAAGCATCGTTATTTGCCGTCATTTCGTTCTCGTCATCCTGTAGGCCTAGGATACGCGTTGCGACAACCGTTTATCGCGTCATTCTATCGATTTTACGCGATAAGCCCATACATTCTGACTTCTAAAAAAAAGAACAAAAATAAGGCGCGCATCCTAGCTCGGCTGGTGAAGTTGGCAATAGACCAATGACTTTGGTAACCGCGAGTCGTTCTTCAATTATGTTGCGCTTCTTAGAGTAGCCTTCATTGTAAGGCTCAAACACATTCCGCTATTCAACTTTCTATTTTCCAGGTGTTCCTGGAAGAAGGCAAGATCAAAGTGGAACTTGACACGCCAGGCGCGCCACGCGTGAAGCTTGACAACTACGCCGATACCTTCAACGACGGCCGCTGGCGCGCGCTGTCGCTCACTATGGGCCCTGACAGTCTTGTGCTAGCTGTGGACAAGCGGCCCGTGCGCACCACCAAGCGTCTGCGCTTCCTGACTGGCGGCACCTACTACATCGCAGGTAACTTGCTTTAGTGGCTCCAATGGGGCTTATAGGCCATGACAATGGACTTAGATCAACTAAAATCACCTTGATCTTCAACGACGGCCGCTGGCGCGCGCTGTCGCTCACTATGGGGCCTGACAGTCTTGTGCTAGCTGTGGACAAGCGGCCCGTGCGCACCACCAAGCGTCTGCGCTTCTTGACTGGCGGCACCTACTACATCGCAGGTAACTTGCCCTCGAGACTCGAGGGCTTATCTTAGTCGTACATCGTTTCAGCCGAAAGACGTCCACTGCTGGACAAAGGCCTTCCCCAAGGATTTCCACAAAGACCGGCCTTGCGCAGCCCGTATCCAGGCACCACACAGATCGTCGGCCCACCTAGTGGGAGGCCTGCCCACAATACGTCTTCCGGATCGTGGTCGTCATTCGAGAACTTTTCTGCCCCAGCGGCCATCAGCTCTACGAGCTTTGTGCCTCGCCCACTGCCACATGATTCTAGCCATTCTGCGGGCTATGTCAGTCACTATGGTTCTTCTGCGGATCTCCTTATTTCTGATTCGATCACGTAGGGAAACTCCAAGGCGAGCATAGAATGCTCCATCGCCCTTTAGGTGACCTTGAGCCTTCTTATCAGGCCCACAGTAGGCAACCACGTCTCAGATCCGTATACCATCACTGGCAACACACACTGGTGAAAGACTTTTGTCTTGAGACACTGCCAGGGCTTATAGGCCATCACAATAGACTCAGATCAACTAAGATCACCTTGACCTTCAACGACGGCCGCTGGCGCGCGCTGTCACTCACTATGGGCCCGACAGTCTGGTGCTTGCTGTGGACAAGCGGCCCGTGCGCACCACCAAGCGTCTGCGGTTCCTTACTGGCGGCACCTACTACATCGCAAGTAACTTAAACTTAACCTGTCCTAGTGGCTCTACAGGGGCTTGTATAGGCCATGACACTGGACTCAGATCAACTAAGATTACCTTGACCTTCAACGACGGCCGCTGGCGCGCGCTGTCGCTCACTATGGGGCCTGATAGTCTGGTGCTAGCTTTGGACAAGCGGCCCGTGCGCACCACCAAGCGTCTGCGCTTCCTAACTGGCGGCACCTACTACATCGCAGGTAACTTAACCTGTCCTAGTGGCTCTACAGGGGCTTGTATAGGCCATGACACTGGACTCAGATTCAACTAAGACACGGTAATACTATCTATACAGTACTCCAACTCGACCATATTTTTGAAATAAATGTCAACAGCCGCGCGGTACGTCACGGAATGACAACATGCGATAGGGCTGCCCACCTGCAGACCCTATTTTCATTACAACTGCCTACTTAGAATTTCTATCTAGTTTTGTAAATGTTTTTTGTGATTGTAAATTTTTATTTTATGTTGACAAACAAAATACTTTGTGAATGAAATAGGATAAAAATGCATGTTGTTTTGTGATTAGTAGATTTAATTAAAAAAATATATTTGTGTTAAGATTTAGTAACCAATCTTATTTTGCGACCGTAAAATGTATGCGCCTCGACTGAGACGTACAAAATGCTTGATTATTATACAGGGTGTTAGGTAAATGGGTTTATAAGCCGACACTAGCCCATGTGCATATAAATGGTATGGTGAAGTCAGAAAATTGCTATCATCATTTTAAAAATTTTAATTTTCATACCAATCTGATTTTATAAATGTTATATTGTATGAAAATTAAAAAAAAATAAAGTGGTGAATATGATGATATCACTGACTTCACCATACCATTTATATGCATATGTTAGCATGGGTTAGTGTCGGCTTATAAACCCATTTACCTAACACCCTGTATAAATAGGTACTTGTAATTATATTTATAAAAAAAAGAGCGCTTACTGTTTAAAAACAACACATCGTCCGTTTATTACTGTGGCACATTCGCGACACCCCCGACTTTTGCATGTCGAGCGCATACCGAGATTTGAATTTCGAAGGAAAGCTCGCGATTCTTCGGTTTATATGAAGTTACAATACTGTATGATAATATTACCGTGACTAAGATTACCTTGACCTTCAACGACGGCCGCTGGCGCGCGCTGTCACTTACTATGGGGCCCGACAGTCTCGTGTTAGCTGTGGACAAGCGGCCCGTGCGCACCACCAAGCGTCTGCGCTTCCTTACCGGAGGCACCTACTATATCGCAGGTAACTTAACCTGTCCTAGTGGCTCTACAGGGGCTTGTAGGCCATGACAATGGACTCAGATCAACTAAGATCACCTTAACCTTCAACGACGGCCGCTCACTATGGGGCCTGACAGTCTTGTGCTAGCTGTGGACAAGCGGCCTGTGCGCACCACCAAGCGCCTGCGCTTTTTGACTGGCGGCACCTACTATATCGCAGGTAACTTGTTCTTGTGGCTTGTGATGCTGTCGCGCGTTTCGTAAACGAACGACAACATCGCTACTAACGCGCGTTTGCATCGCGCTACAGAAGTGATACCAACGCGCTACTAACGCGCTACAGCTGCAGCAGCGTGACTGTATCGATGCAAACGCGCGACCGTGACGGACGACATCGGGGAGAGAACGGAGGGAGGGTCACTGAATCGCATGTGCATCGCGACAGAAGGGCGATAGTATCTATCGCGTTTGCATCACGACTGAATCGATGCGAATGCGCGACAGAATCGCTACTGCATTGCTACAAAAGTTGCCGTGGGCGAGGGGCCTAATGCAGACGGGCCGATTTCACGACCCCAGCCCGCTGACCATCACCGTGGAGGGGAATAAGAGCTTTGCTTACTTTTACTGACAACGGGGATGGAGGAGTAAATTATTGTAATAAATCTGCTTACGTTATACTTGAACGGCCCCTCTCCTCTAACTAACACCTTCAAACATCAAATACCTTATTATAATTAGATCTTAACAAAAATCCCCATGTGCCCAGGCGGCAAGGCTCCGCCGCGCGGCTTCGTGGGCTGCATGCGGCGCATCGCGGTGGACGGCAACTACCGCCAGCCCACCGACTGGAAGAAGGACGAGTACTGCTGCCCCAACGAGGTCGTCTTCGACGCCTGCCAGATGATCGACAGGTACTATAGTCTGGTCTGTGAGCACGTAGAATTTTGTCCAATGACCCCAAGCTACCCATCTTTATCGTTCGCGCGTAATTATATTGCTGTCGCGACTGTGCGACGGGCGCCCGCAGTGAGTGTACGAGCCCGACAGCAACATAATTACGCGCGAGCGATAAGAATGGGTTAGCTTGGGGTCATTGGCCAAAATTCTACGTGCTCACTGACCGGGCTTTAATACAGTGGAGAGGACGTAAACCTTCCATCAACCTGTAAACTGTCTCCTCAACAGAAATGAGACCTCTGCGAACTTCAGAAAGCCTAATGAAAGCTTCTCATCATTACCAAGGCCCTAAATTCCTTTTGATTTCACCCTAATGTTCAAACTGCGACTACTTGGCTCTGCCATAGCGACAAGATCAGAATATATCTGACCCTAAGCCGGTCACAATCGCAATGGAAGTCAAACTTTTAGCTGTAAATATTCCAAACCTGGCCATAAACAAAATAAGAAGAAGATCACTTTGAATATTGCTAAAGTAATCGATAAAATTCACCCATAAGGTGGACCGACGACATCATAAAGTTAGCAGGAAGGCGCTGGACGCAGGCCGCTACCAATCGGACAACATGGAAAGCATTGGGGCAGGCCTATGTTCAGCAGTGGACGTCCTATGGCTGAGATGATGATGATGATGAATCGATAAAATTGCTTTCATAATGTCTTCCTAAGTGTCTGAAGCTATAATGATATCACCAAACATACGTTCAAATACAAATTTCGATGTGTTCCAGGTGCAACCCGAACCCGTGCGAGCACAATGGCGAGTGCACGCAGACGGCCGAGGAGTTCACGTGCGACTGCCACGGCACCGGCTACGCGGGCGCCGTCTGCCACACGTGTATGTTTCACACTACAGTCTGGTCCGTGAGACGTAGAATTTTGTCCAATGACCCCAAGCTACCCATCCTTATTGCTCGCGCGCAATTATGTTGCTATCGCGCTCGCACACTCATTGCGGGTGCCAGTCGCACAGTCGCGACAGCAATATAATTATGCGCGAACGATAAGGATGGGTAGCTAGGGGTCATTGGACAAAATTCTACGTGCTCACGGACCGGGCTTTATCAATTACTAGCTGACCCGGCAAACTTTGTTCCGCCTTAATGGCAATAAATAAGCAGACTTTTTTTATTTCGAACGGGATAAAAAGTATCCTATGTCCTTCTCCTGGCTCTAAACTAGGGATGTTGCGGATCCACTTTTTTCCACATCCGCGGATGCGGATGCGGATTTTAAGAGGCTCACATCCGCGGATGCGGATGCGGATCTGTACAAAAAACTTAAGTGTTGGCTTAGTAGAGAAAGAAACACAGCCTTATTTATCATTTTTTATTTAATAATAAAGTAGAGAATGAATTACTTTTAGTAATTATTATATAACTTAATAATTAAATTTGAAAAACTGTCTTAAACTACACTTTTAGCTAAATTTTAGTACATATGACAAATCTAAGATTTTGGATTCAAAATTCAGTTTTACGCAACTCGTAGGAACGGCCCTTATTAAAGAAATGATGTCAGACAATAATAAACGCCCGACTTAACAAAAAAAATATTGCATAAAATATAACTTACCGGCATCATTTTTTATTTTCTGTAGCTTTTCGTTATTTGCTTTTTCAAACAAAGCAAACTCCTTAGCGTGCATTGATTTCAAATGATTTATTAATGACGATGTTGTTCGGCCCTTTCGCGAATATGTTTTGTTACATATTTTACATTGCGATTTCTCCCGGTCGTTGTCCACAGGTTTGAAATACGTCCAAATTTCACTTTGCGTAGGTGTTGGCATAGTTCACTTATCCAAATAGTAAATAAAACTTTACTTAAGGTACGTAATACGAATGAAGGTATTACGTATTACGTTAAACAATACAGTTAGTTCAGTTCTTAACAAAAACCACAATAAAATCAAACGTACGCTTCAGTTCTTGTCACTTGTCACAACTACTCACTAGTAATTACAACAAAACAATAGCAAGACGCGCCACCGTCACCGATTCACTGAGGTCCAAAAACAAAAATCATTGCTTTCCTATTGGTCAATCAACACATTCGGTTGACGCGCGCCACTCGCCGGGACTGCTCCTTTCTTTCTTGTCGCGACCTGCTACAAATCCGCATCCGCATCAGATCCTCGTCGATTTATGCGGATGCGGATGCGGATGCGAATGTCAAAATCAATGCGAATGTTCCGCATATGCGGATGCGGATGCGAATATTCGCAACATCCCTACTCTAAACTACCTCCCTGACAATTTTCAGCTAAATCGGTTCAGCCGTTCTTGAGTTATCCGTAATCGATTATTATTATTTTTCTTTATTCAGAAAACCACAGCTCTTTATAATGTATCGATGTTGTAATTGATATTCGCAATAAAATCGAAATGGAGTAAGGTCGATGCGGGAAGGGAGTACGACACAATTTGGTTATTACAAAAAACTAAAATGTTCAGTTAGGAAGTATGGAAGAACGTACATGTAAATTGCAATGCTCACGTGGTGAATTTGAAGACAATATTGTGTACATTTTATATAATATCTACTCTGTAAACCATGTAAAAAAATATGCAAAGAAATAAGCGAGGATCACCATCATCAGACGCCCACGCTTTCGACGCTAGCCAAAGAGGTTGTATAGGTAGATGACCCACGCTGAACTGTCCCACCAAACTCAATGACAGGGGGGCGCTACCATCGTTCAAAAATCGGAACTAGCGATCCGGTATTGACGGTGGCGCCCCACTGTCAATATAATGCATAGGACATTTCAGTATTTTGGGACTATAGATGTGTGAGGAGATATGGATCCCTCAACTCGTGCTTAACTGTTTTTTTTATTATTTTTTATTTATGTGTGTGAAAATTCTCCTAGCCTTGTGTGTGTAAATATGAATCCCCTATGGTCCCCAGCGGTGCACCCCCTGTCGTGCCAGGCCTACAAGAACGTGATGTCGGTGTCGCGCTCCGTGGACCTGCACATCGACGTGGACGGCTCCGGCCCGCTGCCCGCCTTCCCCGTCACCTGCGAGTTCCTATGTGAGTAGCTGCAGTTATTCTTAACGCTATCACGTAACGGTATGTACAGCCCCCCAAGACAAAACGCACTTTTTAATCGAATCGAAAATCGAATCCGTCAAAACTCCATACAAAAAAGGGACTTTTCGACCACTTTTCGACTGGTTTGCGATTATAATTTGCACTTTGTCTAAACTAGACTCACAGGAAGATAACTTGGTAGTGTTGACTTGAGCAGAAAAGGAAGCTATGGATTTTTTTAATGTCGTAACTTACGTGCTTATAGTTTTTTTTGCATATTTAACTGAATCTCAGCCGTCTTAAATCTCAAGTGACAGTAATACAGCATATCCTAAAGACCTGTCTTCCAGGATCCTGAGAAGAATATCGACTCTTAAACAATACGAGTATATGTAAAGGAAAATGTTTAATATAGACTTCTCTCGCGGTGTCCTAAGTCAGCTTCGAGAGCGATGCGACGCGGCAAGCGTGACGAGCGCTATCAAACTAAAGCTTGGACGAATAAACCACTGGACACGAAACCTACAAGATTTCTAAGGAAACACGATCAACCACTTTTTGCGGGGGGAGAGGTTTGACAATTGTCAAATAATGACATTTAGTGCTGGGAAAAGATCGTAAATTTTTATCGATAGTTATGTAAATGAATGAATGAATGAACTTAACGAGATAAATGAATTATGGATTGATTTATTATTGAAAGTTTCTTTAATTAAAAGACTATAATTAATTAGTAAAGTAACTTTTTGTATTTTCTTCTAAGGAATTTTTATTAGTTAAGTATAATACATGAGTCAAATGACTATTACTCCTAAACTAACTGATGTATCTTAACCGTTATAGTTTTCCTTGAAAGTTCATAAAATAAATTATTATTATGAATTTTCCCAGATTTTTCAAGCTAACGGTTTAGTTTTTAGAGGGGACTCGAAAAAAAAATTGGCACTTTAAACTTTAATAATTTGCAAACAGATCTCTAAATGGAAAAATAGCCTTAGAAACCCCTAAGCAATTTTAAAAGACCTGTCCAACGATATCCCACACGATGAGGTAGAAGATAAAAAAAATTCACCCCCACTTTACATTTACTTTACCTAGATGTAAAGCAACTAGCTACTGTAAATTTTTTTTTTTTCAAAATTTTATCTAACTGTTTTATCAGCGTGATTAATATAATAGCCTGACCAGGAATATAAAAACCCTGGCATAGAGGCGCGTCAATTGCATTTGATAGTGCAACACTGGGTACAGTCGTACCTGTATTAAATTAATAGGCTAATTTTATGTATCAGGATTCAGGATTATAGGCTAATTTAATGTTTTCATAAATTAACAAAAAAATATTACATTATAGGTAAACTGGTTTAAATAAATTAAATGAAACCATCAATCGAGCAAGTAGGATTTTATTATTATTCATCAATAATAACATTCTGAACTTGAATATTCAACTACAATGTCTGCTCATGAACGCTTCAAACTCGGTACTTCTTTCTCAATTCCATAAAATTCAACACTTACAAAGTGACAAAAAACTTTAAAATAGGTAGTTGAAACAAACCACAGCTAATTTTCATAGTTGACTGTACTATACGATAAACATGTCAGTCAATTTGACAACCTTTGTCGGAAACATTATTTAATGAAAATATTGTCCGAACCCTTAGTATTTCTCTTCGACAAATACTTTAACACATTGTGAACCACTTTTCTTTTACGACTATAAAAAGATTTTAGCAATTTAATTCAGAAAATCAATTGCACACATTTAAAATAAAGTTTGTTTACACTTTGACAGCAATAGACTGACATGCAAGGTGACATATGAAGTTTTCAGTTACTGTTGCCATTAAAAGAAATTAGTACCATTAATTTTCCGCAACATGGCGAGGGTTTTTATGTTCCTGGTCAGGCTATACATACCTCCACAAAATTACAGCTCTCTAGTGCCAATAGTTTCCAAGCAAAACCTCGGACAGACAGACATAGCAAAACTCTAAGGGTTCCTTGTCAGGACTACGGAACCCTAAAAAAGGTAGCCCTTCAGGGCACTTTATATGTCTCCTTNATGTCCTTTAGGCCGGATATCCGGCCTACCGGATAGTTACCGGATATCCGTTTCATCTCTAATAAATACCTTTCTCAAATACTATCACTACTAAAATATAATGTTTGGTACTTGATCAATAACAAGTTTTCTCTACTAATTCACAAGGTGGTTCAAGTCTACTTATACAAAGCAGCTTACGATATTTGTGTCGTCAAGTTAATTGTATCATGTGCATAGCTTCGTGTCTGTGTTTCTGAAAATACTCAGATGGATAAAGTTTAAAAACCTGTGTTATTTTTCAAGTATTTAATTTACACTTAGGCTAAAAAGAATCCCTACTGATAATAATTATTTGTTTCCACTTAAAGAATATTTACAATATTTCTATATTATGGGATTTGAAAGTCAGAGTATCTTTCTTTATTCTATTTAATTTGATTCTGGTAAAATAACTCGATTTCTTACAATGACTCGACGACACAAATACTCAATACCCAGTAGATTCGGACTAACTGTACAGCACTAACTAACAATAACGGTGAAGGGACCTCAAGCTGGACGTCGCAAGAGAGCTCGTACTACCAGCACCTGACCATAAACCTGCGCAAACGCATGGAGCTTCGCGGAATCGTCACCAGGGGGCGCTACGCTACCGACGAATACGTCACGGAGTATATGCTCCAGTATTCTGACAATGGCGAGAGCTGGCGGGCTATACCTACCGCCGATGGATATACACAGGTCTGTATTATTCCAAGGAGATATCAAAATGACTGGCTTTTTTAATTATCATCATCATTTCAGCCATAGGACGTCCACTGCTGAACATAGGCCTCCCCCAATGATTTCCACAATGGCTGGTTGGTGGCGGCCTGCATTTAGCGCCTTCCCGCTACCTTTATGATATTTTTTATAATAAAAGTCAATTATTTCTTAGAATTAGGCACTTTTACACGTCCCAGTTAGATCCTACTACTGGGGTCAATAAAGAGGGCAGGTGCTGAGAAGAAGCAGCGCAAGGAACTCCAGTCACTATTGTCAGACTTCTTTCCAAATGCTTACAAAGTATTTTCAACCGACTTCAAAAAAGGAGTAGGTTCTCAATTCGACCCGTATGTTTTTTTTTTCTATGTTTGTTACGCGATAACTCCGCCAATTATGAACCGATTTGAACAAATCTTTTTTCCGCGTATAGGTAATACCTCAAGGGTGGTCATGTCCAGAAGTATTAATCATGGTATACCTACATAAATATTAATAATTCGTCCTAATAAATAAGTAGGTCATTAGTAATTATTTTTCTAAGTTTTAGTGTAGGTAGGTTTTTTGGAGTCGGTTTTTGTAGATATGAGCTAGGCTAATCTTTTTACTTTTCGTATTTCTGTCTTTGAGAACGACCTGTATCTCATTCATAAAGCCGCCGGCGAAGCTGAATATGGTTTTTGTAATTTGTTTTACAAAGTTCATTCCAATTTACTGCCTAAATGTGTGGGGTTGCAACGGCACCCCACCCCTTCCCTTTGTTGTTGTAGACCGAAGTGAAGGGATTAAAAGAAGATTAGCGGCTGTTCGAACCCTATGTAGGTCAACGTTAACCAGTTGCATTGTGTTAAAATTGTTATATTGAGTTACTGGTTGACCAAGGTAGACAATAGTTTTCTTTATTCGAGCTATAATAAATCAAATATTCATCCAGATTTACTGAAATAAATTTGATTTATAGTGTACTGTATTATGCTTCCTGTTGAAGTGATCGCAAACATTTTTCTTGCTGCCATAAATAGCAGTCGTAAAATCTTCATTTGTAAACAGATATCGGCAAGATATTTGTTTACATCGATCCGTGTTGAATCTGACGGTAAACAAACCAAACATCTAATTTTCCTTCGAGATGAACACAGATTAAGAGTAGGCGCACACCATTGATTTTTAGTTGGCCGATAGTTGTGCCCGATTTTAATTTGTATGAAGAATCGGCCAAATCGAATCGGCGTAGTGTGCGCACTCCCATACATGCCCATACTGATCAACTGCCCGACTAAACTAACGGCCGACGAAAAATCAACGGTGTGCGCCTACTCTAAATAAGATTTGTTTACTGAAAGTTCAAAGCTTCTTTTATGACCTCTGATAATGCAATGAGACAGTATTCATATTGTCATGAACCATCAATCTAAAGTGTAGATGATCCATATCATAAATTACAAAGATGCCACTGTTTTGTGGGCCGTATATTAGCAAATTAATTCTCATTATCTTGGACCATGTCCGCAGATGTTCGAAGGAAACCAGGATGGCAACACAGAACACAAGAACGAGTTCGAGGTGCCCATCATAGCGCAGTACTTGCGCGTCAACCCCATGCGATGGCGCGACAAGATTTCGATGAGGGTGGAGGTGTACGGATGCGATTATGGTACGTATTTCGTTAGTAATACAGCTTTCATTTGCTTAGTGTTTTTACGCGTGGTCAATGAAAGCTCTGTTCACTTAATCAAATCAAATAAACTGGGATCTATAGTTAACAGGCTCTGCTGTCCAATGTCTCTTAAATGCATTTCAATTAAAATAGACACGGGTCTTAACGCGACGTTTATTAATGAGTTACAATATGTATTGACTTGACGTTTCGGCTGCGATGACGACGTCGCGAACCGCCAGTCTGCTTGTGACCACGGCTGCAGACCCGTGTCTTACTATTTTAGTCTCTTAACACATTGAACGCCAACGCGGTCAATGTTGTCCGACACTGCACTTTCCTACCAGGCCAAGTAAAAATTTCAATTTTTTTCAATTTTCGTCGATTGTTTTTTTTTGTTAAATATAAACGTTACATTATAAACATAAATAAAGGATTTTATTAACATATACCTAGTTGTTTTTGAGTCTCTGCATCGAATTATTAAGCGTCGGACATCATTGACCCCCATGGCCCCAGCGAGCGAAAATT